TTATACGCGTTGGTGGACGCCACCATCTTTGTGGAACAGCCGCACACCTACGGAGAGGGTGACCCCAGGGTCTGCCAACTGAAGAAGTCCCTCTATGGGATCAAGCAGGCGCCTCGTCTCTGGCAGCAGCACCTGCACAAAATCCTCCTCGAAATCGGTTTCAAGCAGCTTCCACACGACCCGGGAATGTATCGCCTTCACTTCAGCGGCGATTACATCCTCCTGACAGTCTACGTCGACGATCTGCTGTACACGGGCACCTGCAACAAGCTCCTCGATCAGTTTCAGGAGAACCTGGCGCAGCGCGTGGATATCACCATCAACCTCGAAGTGAAGCAGTTTTGGGGGTTAAACATCACCTACGCGCCAGAAGCAATCCATCTGTCAGCCTCAAAATACGCAGAGCAGCTTGGAGAACGCTTCAACATCTCACCCGCACCACTCTCAACTCCCTACCGCAGCCCCAGCACCAACTACAAACCAGACAACAAACCTCTGTCGCCCGCAGGACTCCAAATGTACCAGCAGAAGTTGGGGTGCCTGCTATTCGCCTCTGTCACCTGCCGACCCGACCTTTCGTACATCGCCAGCCAACTGGCGCAGTACTCCCGCAAGCCAGTAGCTGAGAACCAGCTGTGTCAGAATCCCAACCACTAGACCACTGGGATAAAAGGGCTTGTTTCAGTAGCGGGTCAGTGCGCCCATAACCCCCCAGGCAAACGCGCCTGTAACCCCCCCTAGGATCGATCGGGGATCTCACAGTGCAGCTCTACTGACACCCCCCCACACTGGGAGGCCCAGGACTGAGCACAGTGGCAACGGCCTACATGTGCATACACCGGGATTCGAACCCGAGACCGCTCTGATACCATGTCAGAATCCCAACCACTAGACCACTGGGATAAAAGGGCTTGTTTCAGTAGCGGGTCAGTGCGCCCATAACCCCCCAGGCAAACGCGCCTGTAACCCCCCCTAGGATCGATCGGGGATCTCACAGTGCAGCTCTACTGACAAGCTGGACCTGGAGCGCGCCCTGCAGTACTTCATCTCCACTCCTGACATTGGGCTCTCCTACTCCACGCTGACGACGACCTCCTTCAACCTCAACGGATCACGCAGCTGATCCTGCAAATCGACGGTCCCGAACCGGCTTCGTCTTTCGCCTGGAACCCACTGGGCCAATCTCCTGGAGCAGGAGCTGGTTGCCCTGTCATCGGCTGAAGCAGAATACATCGCCGCGACAGCAGCAGTTCGCGAAGGCCTGTACCTGCAGGAGCTGCTATAGGAGGCGAAAATTCCAACTTCGCCTACCTTTCGCCTTCACTGCGACAACCAGAGTGCCATCAGGATCGCGAACAAGCCAGGTTTCGTGAACCGCACGAAGCACATCGCGCTTCGGTACTTTTTCGTCAAGGACGAAATCGACCAAGGCAAAGTGGACCTCGCCTACTGCCCGACTACTGAGATGGCAGCAGACTTTCTCACCAAGCGCCTGCCACGTCAGCAGTACAAGCACTGCTCTGACCTCACCGGAGTAGTCAAGCGAGTCAGCTCCACCCGCGTCCAGGAATGAAGGGGAGTGTTACGATATGAAGTTTCGTGAGAAGGCATTCTTGTATGCTGCAGGAGCCGACTCTACCGAGTACGAAGTCGAGGAGTCAGAAGAGTCGAAGCGACGCAGCAACCGTCTGACCAAGACCGATGCTGGCAGAAACATTTGAAGTGAAAAGAGCGGGAACAGGTTTGAAACGGGCTCCCGAGCCGCACGGTTTGAATTCGGTTGTAATAAGGGAATGTACCCCTTAGAGTACATGGCTAGTCTAGGTCTTTTCGTATTCCCCTGTACTCTTATATAAACCCGATGTATGCATGCTATTATCAACTCAGTCATTTACATTCACTCTGACCTGAGATTCAAACTTCCGCTGCAACACTACTCTGCGATCAACCCTGAGCGATCCTTCGCTAAGTCCCTTTTGGGATTGTAACAATAAGCATTAGGTGTAAATGATTATGACAAAAAGCCGTGCTAATCTCGTTCATTCCTTTTCATGGCGCACGTTTATAAAACCATTTTGTAGAACGGTGCAATACCTGAGGATGTTTAGCAGACTGAATACCCCTCAGTATTCAGACGTAGCCAACGAGTTGCCCACCTCAATAGCACTTTAGCCAGGGTTACATCGTCCTTATCGCGATTCAGGAGCAACGACGTCCACCTGCCAAATGCCACGACGGCAGGCTGCAAGTCGTTGATAAAATTGCAGTGAGGGATTGTCTCATTCGGAGATGCGATGTGCTCATTTTCGATTGGCCCTAAAGTGATGGCGTGTGTGTGAATCTGATCGTCCGATGAAGAGATGGGCGGTTATACGATCGGTGTGTTCGAGATTTTGCGAGTCAAAATCTTTATGTATGACAAGGAGAACTGTGTGTGTCTTTGACCATGACAGGGAGTCTTCTGTTCATCGTGAGTTGGTGCGTGGCACTACCGTTCCGTGGCTCACATTTGATGGTTGCGTGTAGTCTGTTACTGTACCCATTTCATGTTTTTTTAACCGACTAGTGTACAACTGTCATGCATATCTCAACTAGTGCAACCTTGACTACACTCGCTTGAGCAGACTGAAACTCATGCTCGGCAATTCCAGTAGCCTAAATTGGTTTACGGGCACGTTTAGCTTTGAAGGAATGCCCGAGAAATGTGGGTAAATGTTTCATCATCTGAGTGACAACTTGCAGCATGTTACTTGTCGTCACGATTGTCGTCACGCCTGCCTTCTGTTCAGTTGCCAGACATTGCTTGCTGCTGAGGTCTTTGTCTTTGCTTGAAGGGTTTGTAACTGTTTTGGTGTCGGCGGGTTCTGCAATGGTGATCTTTGCAGGCTGAGTTTGGCAGTTTTTACCTCTGTGAATAGTGCTGTTTGAAATTTTATTTCCACAAGTCCAGCGGGCGGGCTACATAGTGTAATTGTGCTCGTATTGAGGGTCATTGAAATAATTATACTTTCTGATACGAATTCCAGGCGCGAAGCAGAACTTTCTGTAAGTAGACTTTCTGATACCTTCCCCACCACGCTCGACATTTCTGGAACGAATTTGTTCATTCATGACTATGATTCGAGGAAATTCCACACTAGCGTGTCTAGATTGTGAGAATGAGATCGTCAGGGTTGTGAGATGAGAAGCGAAAACAAATGACTCCGAATCTCTTAAAAAATGGTAGGACTGTTTCACAAGTATTGTTCTACCCAAACGTTTTTTAAAGTTCCGCAAAATGTTATTTCTTTTACTGGCGTTCCCCAGCGAGCTTTCCTTGCTGGCCACGACACGAGCCGTTGCGTGCTGGTGAACAACATTTGCTGACAAGGATAGGGTTTCATCGCTCAGATCGTGTTGATCCCCCGAATCTCTGTGTGGCTCAGCATTCCGCGCGCGCTATTCTTTCCGAAATCTCGTTCTCTTGCGCCTGAAATTCCATTCCCATGCTCCAACCCCCCCCCCCCCCCCAACCTCCAGCGCATTCCCTTTCCCCTGCCCCAACTTCTCCGCCGCACTGGACCTTGTTCGGGGAACGGGGGAAGAGTTTTATTTTTCAACCACTAAGGGTGCTCCTTTCCCACCCCTCGCTTCAATCTTGTGACACATACATTCTGCGCCATTCTTGCAGTCGCGCTGGCAGAGCCCATCCCTATCCGCCCCTGGACTGGCCTTTTCCCCCAGAAAAATCCTCTGCTGCTAGTGCTGGAGGGGGCTCACACACACACCCCTTCTGCGCCACAAATGCTGCCACTGCAACCCAGTCACCTCCCCCCATCTCCCCCAAAGGAGGTTCCGCAAAAACCCTCCGCCGCCAGCAACAGTGGACTCCGTGTTTCCCTTTGCCCCGCGGTCCTCCGCGGCTCCGCCCCCACTTTCCCCCTTCCGTTCCCCTCCCCCCCCCCCCCCCCCCCCCTCTTTGATACTTTCACCTTTTTGACATCGTGAAGGACGAGATCCGTTCTGCTTTGCGTCCTATACATATCATCGGCGCCGACGCCATTCCTGACAGCTCCAAGTTTGTTTTCGTTTCTTGCTCCCTTTCCAAGGCCCATCGCCAGCACGTCTTCCTTTCCCCCGGTCTCGTCCATCACTTTCCTTTCCGACAAGCTAATCCTCGCACCCTCCACTTCACGCTCATTGCTGCACAGCTGCTTTCGTCGTCCTCTTCCCGCTGCATTTTGTGGCACGCTTCTGCGAAGTCCCAATACCTGCGTAACGCCTCATTCTATTTTGAGCGGCGAAGCCTTCCTGTCCTGATTAGAGGACAAATTTAGTTCTCTCGCGCATTTGATAGAGAAAAACCGCCACTTGATTGATCATCACCTCATTTTTCGCGGCGCTCTTCGCCATACCTTACCTTCGTGAAGGACATCGACAACCTGACAAACACGCATCTTCGACCACAACCTATCATTTTCCGCAAACAAGTTCTTGTGAAGAACGACAGTTGTCGTCAAGTCTCGTCCAAGTCTCGAAGTCTGAGCCCTTGTTGAGGACATTCATCAGTTTCATTCAGCGGTTCTTTCCTCTTTCTTCGCTGCTCTTCTCCGTTGCGGAACGTGGTACTCCCCTTCACGTCGTGTCTCGGCTTTCACATCAAGCTTACTCAGCTGCGTCGTCGAGACGTCGCGCGCATCATTCTGTGTTCGCCAAGAGAACCATTCCGAAAGGAGTATTTTCTGTGACGAATATTTACCGCCATGGCGTACCAAGATGCGCAGACTCCGCCGAAGCTCACGCTTCAGTATCAATGGTCGTCGTCGCTTCACGCTCATGTAAGTTTCCGTCACGCGTTTTTAAATCCCGAACATTTATCGCGCAAGCATTCTAAGTTTTTTTCAGCCTTTTTTCTTTCGCTCCTTCAACGGATGGTAACTATGGTAACTCCGGGATTCAACGGCGGAAGTCCTGACTCTGCTTTTCTCGTGCATTTTGTTGCAAACGCTTTTTTTTTGCAGATGAAAGTTTCTCGGATGTCTCAGCCTACAGACATGCCGGTTAACGACGGTTCAGACATTCCGACGTCGCAAGGCGACAACGCATTGGATGCGGGAATGATATTTCTTGGCGGTCATCGCACGCGCCCGAATTGGTCGCCTCAGGTAATTGAGTCCGATAGCTCTTGCGAAACGGTCGAAGTACATTTCTTGGTGTCTGCGCTTGGTGGGCGAGTAGCTTAGTTCAATAAAAAATCCTGACGGTACATGGCTGAGAGACAAGCTTCCTATGCTTTGACGGATGATATGTCTGAGTGAGTTGACTATGGCTGCTTGAGTCCTGACTCGTTTACCTGTTATTTTATTCGCCCATGGGAATTTGTTCGTGCTTGTAACGAGTCTTATCCGACAACTCTTTCCTCCTATTCGTCCTCGAGATTTCGTTTTGCTTTCGTGGTTTTGCTGTGTGTTGGTTCCCCCCCCCCCACCTCATTTTGTCAAAATTCGAATTTCTCTGCGATACAGGATGACTTGATTCTGCTGCAGCATGTGGCTCGCCATGGCACGCGCAACTGGGGCTCACTCCAAGCGAGCGGTTTTCTGCCGCTCCGCGACCAGAAGGCCTGCTGCAACCGCTTCGTTCTCCTCAAGAAGTACGACATCAATTTTTTTTATACATTTTCCCAAGTCGAATGCATCAAGCGCGTTTCGCTCGACGGGTTGGTCGACGCGCGTTTCGCGCGTCGGGTGGTTTGATCTGACGACCGTAGTCACAGTTTCTCATGTAGCGTCGTTGCTGACCATATTTTCCGCGGTTCGTTTGCAGGCGGTGCATCAAGGACAAGCGAAGCCTCTCGCATTTGCTGCACCGCGCGAAGGAGTCCGTCGTCGCACCCGAGACTAGCGTGCAGCAAAACCAGATTGCGTCGTCGAGCTCCTTGGCAACTCCTTGCTTTTCGAGCCAACTGCAGCTTCCGGTACGCCGCATATTAGGGTTGCGTTTGCGAACCTACTTTTTTGTTTTGTTTTTTTTCTTGCCGACGTAACCTAACAAGTCATTGTGTGTTTTCGTCAGGCATTGAGCGGCTCCAGCCTTGGCCTCAACAGCAACTCGCGGCCCTCCTTCAAGAGCGGAAGTCCCACCAGCGCTTCCGCCATCGCCGCCGCTACCGCGGCCTTCAATGCTCCTTCCGCCACCGCGTCGCCGACCGCTGTGCGAAGTCCCGTTTCCCTGGTGCAGCAGCAGCAACAGATTCAGCAGCAGCAGCAGCAGCAGCAGCAGCAGCAGCAGAAGATCCAGCAGGCACTCGCTGGTTCCCCTTACTTACAGCAACCTGGTGTCAACACTTCTAATGCGGCTTTGGGAGATGGAAACTTTGGGGTTCCGCTTCTCCAGATGCCTGCGCTCAATCCGTCGACGTCTCTCAGCATGTCTGTGCAGCTCGCCAATCTCAAGTGAGTAACGCTCGCGGAACGCAACAGCACCGATCGCATCATCTGAATCCTTGACGCGTTTCCTCCCGCTTTCCTGATACACCTGACGTAAACTCACATCTCTCTGTTCCTGACGGTTTGCTTCGCTTGCCTTCGCCGATCCCGCTCTGCCCTCTTCACCAGGTCGCGATTGGCTCTCCAGCCTGGCTCGCTCCTCGCGCAAGCCCTTCGCCTGACGCAGCAGCCAGACTTCGCATCAGTCGCCGATCTTCCCCTCCTCGCTAACGTGCGGAAACTCGCCAAGTCCTCACCGTCGTCGTCTCTCACCGCAGCAGCATCCGCTCCTGCTGCGGTCGGCTCTCCTCCTCGCTCTTCTGCTCCCTCCGGTTGCTCCTCTCCGTCAGACGTGGCCGCAGCCTTCTCTGCTGCAAGTGAGCCGTTCATTACGCGTCGGTCTTCTCTTTCCTCATCTGGCCGTTGCCCGTCTCCCAATGCATCGTTCGTTGCTGCTGATGGTGGCCAAGGTAACGGCCACCTCGCTCCAGTTGCGCGCATGCCTTCGTTTGATGTCAGTTCAGTCTGCACAGGCCTGCCCTCTGCTGATGCTTCTGCTGAAGCTGTTGTGCCATCCTCCGTTCTTCCTGTCGGTTCCGCTGTAAGTGGACGTACTTTCACGGGCGGAGGTGGTGGAGTGGAGGGAGGTGGCGGTGGAGGCGCAGGAGCTTCCGGCATATGCGGCGATGATTCTTTCGCTTCTCTTCGCAGCTCCTCCTTCACTGCTCTTCTCACCTCCCCTGCTACCGCCAATCATCGCCAAGCTTCCATGGCATCAGCAGCACCAGCGCCTGTTATCTCCCACACGTGGAGGCCACAGGGCAACGCCAGGTGCCTTCAGAAAACGTTGCAGGTGGAGTCAGCGAGCAGGGAGAGCCGAGAGACGCAGATCCAGCAGCAGCGGGTGTACCAGTCCCAGCAGCAGGCTTTGAACATCAAGCTGCAACAGCACCAGCAGCAGCAGCAGCAGCAGCAGCAGCAGCAGCAGCAGCAGCAGCAGCAGCAGCAGATGATGCCGCAGGTCCAGCAGGAGAAGGGACAGCAGCAAGTGATGTCTCAGCGTCCTGACATGATGCTGTTGGAGGCGTTTTCATCCGCTCGCGGTTCTAATAATGACAGGCATACACCACTTCAGAACCTGGATTACAGTCAGACCGAGCCCCAGGAGACGTTTGATGCTGGTTCAGGCGATCCATGGGGTGCATTGAACACAACCGAGGATGCAAGGTTGGCTAATATTATTTCCAATGGTTCACTTGAAGCTGTGGTTGCGGGGAATGGGCGTATTTTCGAGTTTCCTTTGACTTCCTTCGATGATCAGAAGCCTTTGGCAGCTGCAGAGTTCCAAAGCGAGGAGGCGATGTTCTCGTCTCTCTCCCACAATGGCATGTTTGCTGACATGCCAGCGAGCTTCTCCGAGTCAGATATGCTCCAGGCGATACATGCTGAGATGGAGGTGAGTTAGTGTGATTATTTTGCTCGAGACTTTTAGGGTATTTTCGTATGTCAACAGCTTCCCGTGTACTACAGTTTGCTGACTGTTGTTCCGTTCTCATTCCTCCTGTTTGCAGATGCTCAGCTCAATTGTGAATGCATCTTAAAACCAGGGTGCACATTCAACGCGGTTCGGCTTGAGATGTTGGGAAGGGGGTTTGGAGAAAAACAGTGATTGGCTCACAAGGGGCGACAAAAAAATGATTCCGCTAGAGCTTCGGGCATTTCGTAGGTGGCGGGAGGGGGTGAAATGGCGGGAGTGGGTGAAACCGAATGGCGGGAGGGATGAAACAGATTGGCGGGAGGGGGGGGAAACGAAATTGCGGGGGAGGGGGGAAACAAAATTGCGGGGGAGGGGGGAAACGAATTTCGACGGGGAGGGGGAAATGAAATTGCGGGGGCGTGGGGAAACGAAATTGCGGGGGAGGGGGGAAACGAATTTCGACTTGAAGGGGTTGAAAGCACACCTCGTAACCCACTCAGTCAAGGGATAACCTTTGATGCACATTCAGCTGAATGTGCACCCCGGTTTTAATGGATCGTATTACTACGTTTGTAATCACTGGATGGTTTTTCTCAAGAGCCTTGTGTCTTGTTTGGCCATGAATCTAATTCATGTGCCTTTTTCCCACCCACACGGTGGCTGCAAGTGCGTAGGCCCTTGGGTTTAGATTCCTTCCCTTTTTATTGCTCGGTGTTCCTTGTAACAAGGAGTTCCATTAGCATATATGCATGCACGCTCTTATTCAAGCTAATTGAAAGGAGAACACGTCGGATGTAATAAGCCTATAAGCGAAATTACTAAGTCTAATTTCTGTATCGCTTCGCAATGTCCGCAACTTCACCTGTCGCTGGCATAGAAGCTCTCGCGAAAGTGGTTACCCTTGCGTGACAATTTCGCCTTCGTTCGTCGCAACTCGAGCTCCCCTGCTCGTGGCAGCTTTTGCGCGACTGAATCCTTCCAGGCAACCACGTGACTGTCCTTGAATCTGCTTCCAAATCACCACTGTAGAAGGTATGCCTATCAGCGAATCCAGTCAGACATTCTGAACCAGCACTATTGGTCCGTCGCCTCGCCCACAGTCTAGCTTTTAGTCTTCGCAAGCCTACGTCTCTAGACTGGGCAGAGCCTGGCCAGGCCACTTTGTCCTCGTCTGCCGAGCCGACTCGTCGAGCTAGCCAGGGAACAAGCGCTTACTGGTAGAAGCCCGTTATTGATCGACAGTCCGAGATGGTCTAGTTGAATTCGTGGTCGTGTGGGGTGGAAGATCTGCGGTTTTCAGAAGAGTGGAGAGGTATCAGCAGCCATTGCCGAACTGTCGACCATCAGATTTGCTGGAATATGGGCTTCGATTTGTACGGAAGCCACAGTTTAACGCATCTTATCTAGAACATATAGGCGCAACGAGTCTGGCATTCGTGGTTCGTGGGACTGCTTGTCACTTGCCAACATCTAGGAGACCGATCGAACGTGTGTGATTGTACGGCTCGTGACTGTAGGGCGGGCGATTCTTTCGGGTAGGTGGCTGAAAAACGAGTGATTATAGGTTCGGTGACTATAACGTCGGCGATTGTATCAGAGCGAGGCGATGGAGAGCCTCGCACATCTGGAGGGGTTGTGCGAGCGGCTGTACAATTCGCAGGATCCGGCGGAGCGATCGCACGCGGAGCAAACCCTATTGTGCTTCTCGACAAGCACGGAGTACATCACGCAATGCCAATACATCCTCGATAACTCCTCCTCGCCCTACGCGCAAGTGCTCGCCAGCTCGAGCCTCGTGAAGCAGGTCACGGACCACACGCTGCCGGTGCAACTACGACTCGATATACGTAAGATTCGGTACTTGTTATAGGGATTTCGCAAGGCTTGATGCTTGATGCTTGATGTTTGAGATTTGGTGTCCGTCGTTGCACATCCTACGCGGGTCCAGATTGAATTCTTTAATGCGTTTTGCAACGGCATCACCGCGAGGTTCACTGAACAGAAAGCCTGAGTCTCTCATGTCCTTCACTATACGTCATCAGCCTTGGGATTGCCGTTGTATATCAATTTAACCTCGAAATACCCCTGGCTTTGCGCATTGGCCTTGAGATTGTTTTGGAATTGCGCATTCAATAGAGTAACATAAGCTGCATCGTAGTGCGCATTTGAACCTTGGCTCCTCGCCTCACAACACGTCACCCAAAGCAGTCACTCCGTGCAGTTGCATGACTCCCAGGCATTGCCGTTGCTCGAAGCTCCAGGCAATTCTGTATCCCTTTCCGTCTCCTCTCCCTACCTGTGCATGCGTTCCCCTCCAGGCAACTACATTGTTTCCTTCCTGGCCACCAACGTTCCCAAGGTGCATTCCTTTGGGACACCGTCTCTACTGCAGTGCCGTTATTTCCATACTTTTGCTAAAAAATACTTTCCTACTTCCTGGATTGTGGGGTTTGCCCCTCCCTGCAGGCAACTACGTGGTGTCCTTCCTAGCCACCAAGGGTCCCAAGGCGGAGTCCTTTGTGACGGCGTCTCTAGTGCAGCTGCTGTGTCGGATCTCCAAGCTGGGGTGGTACGACGATGAGCGGTTCAGAGACATCGTGGACGAATGCACCAAGTTCCTCGCGCAGGTGCGTGCATGTACAACACACTGCTAATAACAGGAGCTGATTCCGATGGCTGAAAAGTGGTGATGTAGTTCAGCACTTGTGCCGGAGTTTTTAGCTGGGGTGGTACGACGATGAGCGGTTCAGAGACATCGTGGATGAATGCACCAAGTTCCTCGCGCAGGTGCGTGTGGGATTGCAGGTGAGTGTGGTTTTCGATGCGAGAGTATACAGGTACATCTGACGTCGAACCAGGCGTCGCTAGTGCAGCTGCTGTGCCGAATTTCCAAGCTGGGGTGGTACGAGAATGAGCGGTTCAGAGACATCGTGGATGAATGCACCAAGTTCCTCGCGCAGGTGGGTGTGGGATTGCAGGTGAGTGTGGTTTTCAAGGCGAGAGTATACAGGTACATCTGACGTCGAACCAGGCGTCTCTAGTGCAGCTTCTGTGCTGTGTCGGATCTCCAAGCTGGGGTGGTACGACGATGAGCGGTTCAGAGACATCGTGGATGAATGCACCAAGTTCCTTGCGCAGGTGGGTGCATGTGCTCACAGGTGTGCGTGCATGTGCTTCTACAGGGATTGCGGGTGCGTATTTTGCGTGGCATTGCATTGCGTTCAATGGCGTAGCGCTGCTGTGCATGTGCACCTTCCCCCTCACTTTGTGCTCCCTCGCTGCCATCCCCCACCAACCGTGCATTGCATTGCGGTGCATTGCTTGTGTATGTGTTTTTTTTTGCATGGCATGGCATGGCATGGCATGGCATGGCATGGCATGGCATGCAGGGCACAGCGGAGCATTTCTTCCTAGGGCTCAAGATTTTCAACCAGCTGGTTGCAGAGATGAACCAGGTGCGTGCGTGGGTGGATGGTTTTCCATAATGCCATCTCAAATGTCTTACATGCCAACTTGCCGAGTCTATTTGGAGCCAGGCATGACAGGCTGAGTCATCATAAGACAGCCTGCTCCTTGCATGACTTGCCTTTTCAACCCTTTTTCTGTCAAATTACCTCTCGCTCCCCTGCGTTTCCCCCCTCACCCCCTACCTTCCTACATGCTTGCAGCCTAGTCCAGACCGCTCACTCACCTTCCACCGCAAGACAGCCTGCTCCTTCCGGGACCTGATCCACTCTTTTTCAACCCCTCCTCTGCCCCATCCCCCTGCGTTTCTCCCCTCACCCTCTTACCTACCTGCGTGCAGCCTAGTCCAGGCCGGTCACTCACCTTTCATCGCAAGACAGCCTGCTCCTTCCGAGACCTGGCGCTATTCGCCATTTTCCAAATCTCCCTCACCAGCCTGCGGCAGCTGCAATCCGACGGTGAGTGCTGCTCGGTGCTACCTACATTGGTGACTGCTGCACGGCTCGGCTGTTCTGCCTAATCAAGCTCTGGAAATGCCGAGACCTGGCGCTATTCGCCACCTTCCAAATCTCCCTCACCAGCCTCCGCCAGCTGCAGTCGGACGGTGAGTGCTGCTCGGTGCTACCTACATTGGTGACTGCTGCACGGCTCGGCTGTTCTGCCTAATCAAGCTCTGGAAATGCCGAGACCTGGCGCTATTCGCCACCTTCCAAATCTCCCTCACCAGCCTCCGCCAGCTGCAGTCGGACGGTGAGTGCTGCTCGGTGCTACCTACATTGGTGACTGCTGCACGGCTCGGCTGTTCTGCCTAATCAAGCTCTGGAAATGCCGAGACCTGGCGCTATTCGCCATCTTCCAGATCTCCCTCACCAGCCTCCGCCAGCTGCAGTCCGACGGTGAGTGCTGCTCGGTGCAATCTGCAAATCAAGTCCGTCATGGTGCTGAACTCAAGCTCATGCATAGCCTTGCCTGTTGATCAACTTCATACTTACCTCCTTGCTTAACATCCCCACGCCGTGCCCTTCTGTCCCTCAACCCAAACCCCCACTTCCCTCTCTCCAGCTGACGACAAGCCGAGGGCGGAGGCTGTCTCCCTGGCGCTGCGCTGCCTGTCCCTCGACTTCACTCCCACCTCCCTTCCTCTGCGCTCCCTTGCCCTTCTTCCCCCCTAAACCAACCTATACCCACCCTTTTTCCCTCCAGCTGACGACAAGCCGAGGGCGGAGGCTGTCTCCCTGGCGCTGCGCTGCCTGTCCCTCGACTTCACTCCCACCTCCCTCCCCCGGGCTCCTCACTTCTCTTCCCCCTCACCTCTTCCCCTCCAGCTGACGACAAGTTGAGGGCCGAAGCAGTTTCTCTCGCTCTGCGCTGCCTCTCCTTCGACTTCGTCGGGACATCATTGGACGAGAGCTCGGAGGACCTGGGAACCATCCAGGTGCCTTCCCCATCTCTTCCTCAACCCGACCCCTCCTACCCCTACCGCTTCCTCCTTCCCTCCAGCGGACTACAAGCTGAGGGCAGAAGCGGTCTCCCTGGCGCTGCGCTGCCTCTCTTTCGACTTCGTCGGGACGTCATTGGACGAGAGCTCGGAGGAGCTGGGAACCATCCAGGTGCCTTCCTCGTGGAGGGCAGTGCTGGAGGACACGGCCACCATGCAGCTCTTCTTTGACTACTATGCCGCCACCAAGCCCCCGCTTTCAAACCAGGTGAATTTAAAGCCCCCGCTCTCCAACCAGGTGAATTTAAAGCCCCCGCTCTCCAACCAGGTGAATTTAAAGCCCCCGCTCTCCAACCAGGTGACGTCCTAGCCTCAGCTTTCCAAGCAGGTGGGCATCAAATGGAGTGAGAGGGGAGAGAGGGCAGTGCTGGAGGACACGGCCACCATGCAGCTCTTCTTTGACTACTATGCCGCCACCAAGCCCCCGCTTTCAAACCAGGTGAATTTAAAGCCCCCGCTCTCCAACCAGGTGAATTTAAAGCCCCCGCTCTCCAACCAGGTGAATTTAAAGCCCCCGCTCTCCAACCAGGTGACGTCCTAGCCTCAGCTTTCCAAGCAGGTGGGCATCAAATGGAGTGAGAGGGGAGAGAGGGCAGTGCTGGAGGACACGGCCACCATGCAGCTCTTCTTTGACTACTATGCCGCCACCAAGCCCCCGCTTTCAAACCAGGTGAATTTAAAGCCCCCGCTCTCCAACCAGGTGAATTTAAAGCCCCCGCTCTCCAACCAGGTGAATTTAAAGCCCCCGCTCTCCAACCAGGTGACGTCCTAGCCTCAGCTTTCCAAGCAGGTGGGCATCAAATGGAGTGAGAGGGGAGAGAGGGCAGTGCTGGAGGACACGGCCACCATGCAGCTCTTCTTTGACTACTATGCCGCCACCAAGCCCCCGCTTTCAAACCAGGTGAATTTAAAGCCCCCGCTCTCCAACCAGGTGAATTTAAAGCCCCCGCTCTCCAACCAGGTGAATTTAAAGCCCCCGCTCTCCAACCAGGTGACGTCCTAGCCTCAGCTTTCCAAGCAGGTGGGCATCAAATGGAGTGAGAGGGGAGAGAGGGCAGTGCTGGAGGACACGGCCACCATGCAGCTCTTCTTTGACTACTATGCCGCCACCAAGCCCCCGCTTTCAAACCAGGTGAATTTAAAGCCCCCGCTCTCCAACCAGGTGAATTTAAAGCCCCCGCTCTCCAACCAGGTGACGTCCTAGCCTCAGCTTTCCAAGCAGGTGGGCATCAAATGGAGTGAGAGGGGAGAGAGGGCAGTGCTGGAGGACACGGCCACCATGCAGCTCTTCTTTGACCACTATGCCGCCACCAAGCCCCCGCTCTCCAACCAGGTGAACAGTTCACCGTGAACTCATAGACCCCATAGATACCCAACCATATCTCCACCCCCCTCCCGCTGTCCCTGCTGTGCCCCCTCCCCCCATCTCTCCCCGCTCCACATTTCTTGACGTGCCTGGTGCCTCTAGCTTGCCCGTTTCCCCCCACCTTCACCCCTCCCACGCCGCTCCCTTTCTACTTCGTCCCTCCCCACTCGTTCCAGGCCCTGGAGTGCCTTGTTCGGCTAGCCTCTGTGCGCCGCTCCCTCTTCACAGGCGAGGCAGAGCGCCTCAAGTTCCTCTCGCACCTCATGAACGGCTCCACAGAGATCCTGCTGCTCCTGACCCGCCCTCCTCTTTCTTTCCTCCCTCCCCTGCCAACCAGGCCTTGTAATGTCTGGTTCGCCTAGCTTCCGTCCGCCGGTCGCTCTTCACAGGGGAAGCAGAGCGCCTCAAGTTCCTCTCGCACATCATGAACGGCTCCACAGAGATCCTGCTGCTCCTGACCCGCCCTCCTCTTTCTTTCCTCCCTCCCCTGCCAACCAGGCCTTGGAATGTCTGGTTCGCCTAGCTTCCGTCCGCCGGTCGCTCTTCACAGGGGAAGCAGAGCGCCTCAAGTTCCTCTCGCACCTCATGAACGGCTCCACGGAGATCCTGCGGTCCAAGCAGGGCCTGTCGCAGCACGACAACTACCACGAGTACTGCCGCCTGCTGGGCCGCCTCAAGACCAACTACCAGCTCGCGGAGCTGGTGAATGCAGACAACTATGCCGAGTGGGTGCAGCTGGTGGCGGAGTTTACGATTACGTCTCTGCAGTCCTGGCAGGTGCGTGGGTGGGTTGGGTTGGCCGCCTGCTAGGCCGCCTCAAGACCAGCTACCAGCTCGCGGAGCTGGTGAACGCAGACAACTATGCCGAGTGGGTGCAGCTCGTGGCTGAATTCACCATCACCTCGCTCCAGTCCTGGCAGGTGCGTGGGTGTTCTCCTCTCTTCTCCTCTCCTCTCCTCTCCTTTCCAGTCCGGTCTGCTGTCCAGGGGCCTTGTGGGTGCGCTGTTAAGTGCGCCTGCTGGGCCGCCTCAAGACCAACTACCAGCTCACGGAGCTGGTGAATGCAGACAACTATGCCGAGTGGGTGCAGCTGGTGGCGGAGTTTACGATTACGTCTCTGCAGTCCTGGCAGGTGCGTGGGTGGGTTGGGTTGGCCGCCTGCTGGGCCGCCTCAAGACCAACTACCAGCTCACGGAGCTGGTGAATGCCGAGAACTACGCCGAGTGGGTGCAGCTCGTGGCGCAGTTCACCATCACCTCGCTGCAGTCCTGGCAGGTGCTTCCTCTGGGTGGGTTGGGTTGGGTGGGGTTGAGGGGTTCGGTGCGGTTGGTTTGGGTGGGGTAGCTGTTTGCTGTGCCGTGTGTCACGGGTGGGTGGGTGAGAGGGCCTACACCAAGAGCCACTGCCCCAGCCTGCTTTATAGCAGCCCAGTTCTGCATGAAACAGAGACGTGCGCCCATAACCCCCCTCCTTTCCCCTTGCTCCCTGCTCTTCCCCTTCACCCCTTGTTCTCTGTTCTCCTCCTGCATATCCCCCCCGTCCCCACCCCACCAGTGGGCGAGCGGCAGTGTGTATTTTCTTCTAGGCCTCTGGTCGCGCCTGGTGTCATCAATGGCCTACACCAAGAGCGACTGCCCCAGCCTGCTCGACAACTTTGTGCCTCAGATTACAGAGGCCTACATCACATCCCGCCTCGACTCCGTTCAGGTCGGTACCGTGTTCTTAGAATGGTGGATAGTGCATGGTGGATGGTGCATGGTGCATGGAGCTAGGAGCGACTGCCCCAGCCTGCTTGACAACTTTGTGCCTCAGATTACAGAGGCCTACATCACATCCCGCCTCGACTTCGTTCAGGTTGAATTTTGTTTTTGTTTTGTTTTTTTTTGGTGGGTAAATGTGGTGCACGGGTGCATGGTTCAAGGTGCATGGTGCATGGTGCCTCAGATTCCAGACCCCTTGGTGCATAGCAGCATAGGGCGCAAGCCTGTTCCTCTTTTGTATTTCTACTATTTAGTATTCTGTTGCTTGTTTTATCCCCCATATAGGCCGTGCTTCAGAACAACCTATCAGAGGACCCGCTGGACAACGACGAGCAGCTACAGGACCAGCTAGACAACCTGCCCTACCTCTGCCGGTTCCAGGTATGCATGAGTGCACGTGTTGTTGTGTTCTCCCTTCAGGTATGTGTGTGCCAGTGTGTGGGTCTTGCTGTATGCTTCAGCTCCTACTCATGCACGAGCGGCTACAGGACCAGCTGTACAACCTGCCCTACCTCTGCAGGTTCCAGGTATGCATGCACGTGTGCTGCTGTCTTTCCCTTCAACCCATGTGTGTGTGCGTGTGTGCACATATACTGGATAACAATAAGCAGTGTTGAGACCAAGTGGTCAACCTTCCCTCTTTGTAGGTTCCAGGTATTCACTTGTAAAAGCTTGTCCTATCAGATGTGTACATGTGTGATTCGTGCGGCTGTGATTTCACCATAACTAAGTAACTTTCCGTATCCGTGTGCCTTTCTCTTTCTGTTTCCCATTCTGTGCAGTTTGACCGGACCAGCAAGTTCATCATCAGCCATCTAGAGCCCATCATGCAGTCATACACAGTGAGTCCCCCCCATCACACAGGCTTACTGCGTCAGCACTACGAGGTGTTGCTCCTAGTGCTAACGAACCTCTGTGTTGCTGCTCTCGTGGACCTCGCGTCCGTGTTCCTTGTTCCTTGTTTCTCAGTCAGTCATTTAACGCCCATCATGCAGTCATATGCGGTGAGTCCATGTCCCACCCCCCTCCCACCCACCCACATAACAGAAGAACTTGAGTTTGCCGGCAAAGTGCCTGCGTGTTTCAGCAAGTTCATCATCAGTCATCTAAAGCCCATCATGCAGTCATAGTGAGCCCTCTTCCTCCCCTCTCATAATTATCCCAGGAGGCGGCGCGGTGGCAGCCGGCTGTAGCGGCGAGCAACACGAGCCAAGCAGCGCTACAGGTGATGGAGAGCCAGCTGACGTGGATTGTGCACATCATAGGCGCCATTGTCAGGGGCCGACTCAGCTCCAGCAGGTGCTCCCTCACTCGCTCCCTCACTCACTCCCTCACTCGCTCCCTCACTCACGCTGTCACTCTCACTCACTGTCTCACTTTTGACACGCCTCAAGTTTTGAGTCGCCTCAAGCTCTGAAGCGCCTCAGCTGACATGGATTGTGCATATCGTTGGCGCCATTGTCAGGGGCCGCCTCAGCTCCAGCAGGTGCTCCCTCACTCACTCTCTCACTCACTTCCTCACTCACTCTCTCACTCGCTCACTCACCCACTCACTCACTCACGCACTCACTCGCTCGCTACCAATCTATTTGTCTTCTCTTATTCCCTTCCTCACTCACTCTTGTGCTCATTCACTCACCCACTCTATCACTCATTCGCTCACTTGTTCACTCACACTCAGTCTATCGCCCCTGCTTGACTCCGTTGATTCCCGCAGTGGGGACTCCCAGGAGTTGATCGATGGGGAGCTGGCAGCGAGGGTGTTCCAACTCATTCAAGTCACAGACACTGGGCTATTCATGAGGCGCCTTAGTAAACTCACCCACTCACTCATCCACTCATTTCCTTGCTCTCTCGACTCCGCTAATTCCCACAGTGGCGACTCCCAGGAGTTGATCGATGGGGAGCTGGCAGCGAGGGTGTTCCAACTCATTCAAGTCACAGACACTGGGCTATTGATGAGGCGCCTTAGTAAACTCACCCACTCACTCATCCACTCATTTCCTTGCTCTCTCGACTCCGCTAATTCCCACAGTGGGGACTCCCAGGAGTTGATCGATGGGGAGCTGGCAGCGAGGGTGTTCCAACTCATTCAAGTCACAGACACGGGTTTACACGCACAGGTGAGCAGGGCAGGACACCTGTGGGCAGGGCAGGTGAGCAGGGCAGGTGCATGTGCTGCCTGCCTGCCTGCACTTACCTCCTTCTCTTCCTTCTCAACAATCTCTTCCTATTCCTCTTCGTTACCTGCGCTTACTTCCTTCTCTCCCTCTCAAATGGTCCTTTGTATTAATTCAGCAGGGGGTACAGACATGCAGTGTGACTCGTGGTTCCCTTAGACCTTCCGACCCATTAACCCATCCCTCTGACCCTCTCCCCCCCCCCCCTTAGTGCCCTTCTACCCCTCCAGCGTGTGGAGGATGTCCCCTAGGTGCAGAGGCCATGGGTCCGCTGCCATCTGGGGGTGTGCTGCCTCAATCCCAGCCCTGGCCTTGGTGTGCAGGGCATTCGCCTGGGAGCGCTGGAGGGCCACGGACCAGCGTTGGCTGAAGTGGCAGGCCATCTTCTTGGCCCTTCTCTCCCTCTCTCCCTCTCTCCCTCTCTCCTTCAGCGCTACGACGAGCGCAGCAAGCAGCGGTTGGACCTCGTGGTGCTCTCCCGCTTTCAGAACTAAACCATCTCTTCCTATTCCCCTTTCATTCCCTGCCTTCCCTGCATTTCCTCTTCTTTCTACCTCTGGTTCTCAGCGCTACGACGAGCGCAGCAAGCAGCGGTTGGATCTCGCGGTGCTCTCCTTCTTTCAGAACTTCCGCCGCGTCTACGTGGGCGACCAGGCCATGCACGCCTCCAAGGTGGACACCGTTGAGCCATGCCTGGGTGCCAAGGTGACATGCATGGCTAGGTTTGGTTGTTGCACAGGCTATACGGCTGTAGCACACGTTTAATATTGGCGTGGGCGACCAGGCCATGCGCGCCTTCAAGGTAGCTCGTTTGCTGGTCGCTGTGTCGCTGCGTGGGCGACCAGGCCAGGCCATGCACGCCTCCAAGGTGGACCCCATTGAGCCATGTCTGGGTGCCAAGGTGACCGGTCATACGTAGGTTAGGTTGTGGCACAGGCAGCATGGCTGTAGCACGCCCACTGTAGCACGCCATGCCTGATAGATAGTCGCTACGCGGGCGACCAGGCAGGCCATGCACGCCTCCAAGGTGGACACCATTGAGCCATGCCTGGGTGCCAAGGTGACATGCATGCACAGGTAGCACGCCTGGTGTAGTGTGTACCTGATTGATGGTGGTCGCTATGTGCGCGACCGACCGGGTCATGCACACTTCCAAGGTGGACACCATCGGACACCATCCTGCCCTGTCTGGGTGCCAAGGTGACATGCTGAGAATAGATGACATGCGTATGACATGCATAGACACCTCCAAGCCCTCAGGTGATTCACCTAACCCTGGTCTTGATTCAAATCACAGGTGACTCACTCAGCTTCCTCCCTTCCCCACCCCCCTCGCCCCTCCGCATATCCTCTCCATGCCCGCCTGGCAGACCTCCCTCCCGGGCCTGCAAGGTCACCTCATGGTGCTTTATGCAGTCTCATCCTTCCTCCATCGCTTCCCATGCTCCCACTCTCTCCACCCCCCACTCATCTCTTCCCTATCCTCCTTTCTCTCCCCCACAGATCCTCTATGCGCGCCTGGCAGACCTGCTGGGCTTGCAAGATCACCTTATGGTGCTCAATGTGATTGTGGCGAAAATAGCCACCAACCTCAAGTGCTACACCAAGGTAGGAATCTTGGGCGTATTTTCTCATTGCCGAGCTTTATTATCTCCCTCCCTGTCCATCCCCTCTCCCATTTTCAATTGTGCTGTCACTTCTTCCGCCCCACTTCTCTTTTTTTGTTTTGTTTTTTTTTTTTCTTCATTGTAAAAATCTCCCCACCCCCTCTCCCTCCACTGGTATCAGAGCGAGGACGTCATTGAACAAACGTTGAACCTCTTCCAAGAGCTGGCAGGAGGGTGAGTATTGGGGGGCTAGCGTTCACCGGGGTAGAGTTTTCAGAAGTTAGACAAGTAGTTGGTTAGTTGATATCATGCAATTCCTCCAAACCTTCCATCCTTTTCACCTTCCCTCTGTCCTTATCCCTATCAACTCCCTCCCTCCCACCCATCCACCTGTCACGTTCCCCCTTCTCTTCCATCCCGCTTATGCTCCACCCGCCACCAATGCTTTTCTTCTCTCGTCCGTCTGACTCCCACCTCCCTGTATCAGCTACATGAGTGGCAAGTTGTTGCTGAAGCTGGACTCTGTCAATTTCATTCTAGCCAACCACACGGTAAGCTCTTTTGAGGCGTCTCAAAACACTACTTCTTTCACGCAGCTACATGAGTGGCAAGTTGTTGCTGAAGCTGGACTCTGTCAATTTCATTCTAGCCAACCACACGGTAAGCTCTTACGAGCTTTGGGCTGCTGAGTTCTTTGAGGGCGAAAAGGGGCAGGCAGGGATTGGGATGGGAAGGGGGGGAAAGCGGATAAAGGAAGTAAGTGGGTGGGGGCGATAGAAGGGGTGTTGTGGGCGACCTATTATTGGATGGACTTACAATGAGGGGGGGGGATATTGGAGGAGGGTAGGGGAAGCTAGTGGGGGAAGGACCTTCCGTCTTCCGTCTTCAGGATTCAGGGTTTAATGTTTAGAGCTCTTGGTTGTCAGTAGGAGCTGCCGGGTCAGAAACAGCCAACATCACACCTCCTCTTTCTTCTCCATGCTGCCACGTGTCCTGCTGTGATTGGCAGAGCGAGCACTTTCCGTTCCTGGACGAGCCCAGCAGCACGCGCAACCGCACCATCTTCTACTTCACTCTCACCCGCCTCCTATTCATGGAAGACTCGCCTCAGAAGTTCAAAGCCTTTGTGGCTCCGCTGCAGCTGGTACGTTGTTGGTTGGAAGCATCATAGCAAGCAGGCGAAACTGCACCGCACTGCACCATCATCTACTCGAATCTCACTCGCCTGCTCTTGCCCCAGAAGTTCAAAGCCTTTGTGGCTCCTCTGCAGCTGGTATGTTGTTGGTAGGCGAAACTGTACCGCACTGCACCATATTTTACTCGAATCTCACGCGCCTGCTCTTGCCCCAGAAGTTCGAAGCCTTTGTGGCTCCGCTGCAGCTGGTATGTTGTTGGTAGGCGAAACTGTACCGCACTGCACCATATTTTACTCGAATCTCACGCGCCTGCTCTTGCCCCAGAAGTTCGAAGCCTTTGTGGCTCCGCTGCAGCTGGTAAGGCGCTGGGCTGTCACCGGCTCACAGCTTAGCAGGGGTAAGGTAAGGTAAAGGGCAATTGCCCACCATCTTCTGCTTCACTCTCACTCGCCTGCTCCTCATGGAAGACTCGCCCCAGAAGTTTGGGGTTTCGGGTTTGTGAAGCTGGAGTCGATGCAAGTCGCATCCTTCCGCACGGAACCAGTCGAGTTTGCTTTCTGAATTGCCTGGATTTCCTGCACCGTTCCTCACTCCTCTCTCCAACCCCCTCCCCACCCCTCATCACCATTCACCACCCCTCATTACCCCCCATCACCCATCATCACCCCTCTCCACCCCTCACCACTCCTCACCTCTCAGGTGTTTGTGAAGCTGGAGTCAATGCCCGACGCATCCTTCCGCACAGAGCCGGTCAAGTTTGCCCTTATCAGCCTCTTCAGAGACTTGAGAGGAATCACCATGGCCACTAACAGGTAGGTAGTAGGTACTAGGTAGTACTGCTATCACCTTACTTTTGAGTCCACTCAAAGTCGTACAGAGCCGGTCGAGTTTGCCCTCATCGGCCTCTTCAGAGACTTGAGAGGAATCACCATGGCCACTAACAGGTAGGTACTAGCATTATCAGCTGTTGTCTTATCGTCGAGTAATTGTTGCTGCATCAAGTGACCATCTATATTTTATTCCATCCATCACGTGCTCTAAATCATCTCTCCTCTTTACCCCCTTTTCCCTTCCCTCCCGCCTCCGTGCTATGACCCCCATCACCCGTCGCACCTTTGGGATGCTCCTTGGCCGAATCTACCACGCCCACATGCCCTTATTCTCCTTCTGCCTTCACCCGCTCTTCCCCCACCGCAACCCCCTCCCCTCCCCTCCCACACCCATTTGAACCCCTCTATCAGCCGGCGCACGTTCGGGCTGCTGTTTGACTGGCTTACCCCGCCCACATGCCCTTTTCCCCCTTCCGCACTGACCCGCTCTTCCCCCAACACCCACCCCCCCCACACCACCCCCCCCCCCCCCCCATATGATCCCCCTATCAGTCGGCGCACGTTCGGGCTGCTGTTTGACTGGCTGTACCCGGCCCACATGCCGCTCATTCTGCGCACCGCCCAGTTCTGGTCCCACACCCCCGCGGTCACCACGCCGCTCCTCAAATTCTTTGCCGAGTTTGTGGTCAACAAGACGCAGCGCCTCACATGCAGGCTGATCTTCTGACTGGCTATACCCCGCCCACATCTCTTTTTTTCTGCGTTCGTTGTGACCCACTCGCCCCCCCCACCCCATGGCAGCCGGCGCACGTTTGGGCTGCTGTTTGACTGGCTGTACCCGGCCCACATGCCGCTCATTCTGCGCACCGCCCAGTTCTGGTCCGACACCCCCGCGGTCACCACGCCGCTCCTCAAATTCTTTGCCGAATTTGTGGTCAACAAGACGCAGCGACTCACCTTTGACTCGTCCTCGCCGAATGGCATCCTGCTCTTCCGGGAAGCTTCCAAGCTGGTGGTGACGTATGGCAAGCACGCCCTGGCCATGCCCACAGGCGCACACCCGTACACGGCCAAGTACAAGGGCGTGTGGATCGCTCTTACTGTGCTGACTAGAGGTGGGTGAGTGTTACCAGCGTGCACCCACACACAAGCATGCCCTGGCCATGCCCACCGGCGCACACCCTTACACGGCGAAATACAAGGGCGTGTGGATCGCTCTTACTGTACTCACGAGAGGTAAGGAGGGCTGGGTGAATGGTATCCTGCTGTGCTGGTCATGCCTTGCCATGCCCTGGCCATGCCCACCGGCGCACACCCTTACACGGCGAAATACAAGGGCGTGTGGATCGCACTGACAGTGTTGACTAGAGGTGAGTGAGTGTTACAACGCCTGGTCAACTACCAGCATGCACCCACACACACATGCACGCCCTGGCCATGCCCACCGGCCTGCACCGCACCCAGAATGCTCTGGCCGATGCACCTGTTCCCCTCTTCTCCCCAATCTTTCCCATTTTTTCCACCCGCCTTGCCTCCTTCTCAATGCAGCTCTGGCGGGAAATGATGTCAATCTCGGAGTGATGAAGCTGCATGGAGGCACTGCCCTGCCTCATGCCCCTGAACCCCCACCTGCCCCTCACTTACCATTCGCTTTCCCCACCCTCCCTCCCTCCTCTCTGCAGCCCTGGCGGGCAATTACGTCAATTTCGGAGTGATGGAGCTGTACGGAGACACAGCTCTGCCTGATGCTCTCGATGTGGCACTCAAGCTCTGCCTCTCCATCCCTCTGCCAGAGATCATGGCATTCAGAAAGGTTTGTGTGCCTGCCTCTCTCCACCCACCTGTCTCCCTGAATCTCCTGAAACTATGGGCTTTAGAATGGTAATTTTCCGGGGACTGAACATTTTTAGCTTCTGATGAAACCTTGGGCTTCGTATAAGTTTATTCGCAGCCCTCGTGTGTGCTTCTCCATCCGTGTCCCTTGGTATTTTCTTCGAACCCTCGAATTCAATTCTTTACTTTTTTACCATACCATACTCAATCATCTTTCTTGGCGGTTCTCTGTCACAACCACACGCTCGTCATCATCAACCTGAACACAGCACGTTCAGCCACCTTCTCTTCCCACTCTTCCCAACCATACACCCCACTCTTTGCCCTCCCACTCCCCGCAGTTGGCGCGGGCCTACTTCGCTTTCTTGGAGGTCCTCTGTCACAACCACACGCTCGTCATCATCAACCTGCCCACCGCCACGTTCAGCCACCTGGTGGGGTCGCTGGACACAGGGCTCAAGTGCCTGGACGTCTCCATCTCGTCTCAGGTGTGTGGAGGGTGGGGGCTGAGGGAGAGGGTTTGGAGGGTTGAATCTGAGTCTCGGGGCGGTTGTGTGGTGAAGTGAAGGGTAGCACACCGTTCCGCCACCTGGTGGGGTCGCTGGACACAGGGCTCAAGTGCCTGCACGTGTCCATCTCGTCTCAGGTGAGTAAGTGGGGTGGCACTAGAAACCGGATTGGGAGAGGCGAATCCGGATCCCATGGTGCATGTGTGCTGATGGGAGCAGACCCCTTAGCCACCTGGTGGGGTCGCTGGACACAGGGCTCAAATGCCTGGACGTGTCCATTTTGTCGCAGGTGAGGAGAGTGGGAGAGGGAAGAGGGTTGGGTCTGGATAGTATGGTGGGTGTGTCGTTGGGAGCACCCTGTTCAGCCACCTGCTGTGGGGATGAGTGGGGATTGGTATGCTGTGGGGATGAGTGGGGATTGGTATTTCTGTGGTTGGATACATTCTTTTAGCGACGGTCGAGAGCTGCAGGGTGTTTTTGAGAATTCTCGGCCTTTTGGCTAAGATCAAGTGTAGTATCTGTTCTTATCAGTTTAATATCTGATACGTGGACCATCGGTCCACATGATATTAAATTAATTTCTTTCGGGGGCAGGTGCCAATGGCCAGCTTGCTGGTCGGCCCTGCGCGCGTCGCCTCAGTATTGCACTAACTCTGAGAAAGGCGCACCCCTCCCCATACGGGGATCAAATCAAAATTGAAATGGGATTTATGCAAAATGGTTAAAAAAAAGGACAACACAATATCTAGACAGTGACGAATTGTAAGTCCATTTTGAAAATGTTGCAGACTAACCTCACAGCTATCTTGTTTACAACCTGAAAGTTCATGGACAGGCTGAGGATGTAATTTCCTCCCCTTAGAGCGTGTTCCTACACCTCGTATCACACACACCTCGTATCACACGCGCCTCGTATCAGCTTCCCATGGTGAAATACGTTTCAGTGTGTTCGACTGCGGTTGGATGCGCTTCAGTGCGTATCAGCTTCCCGTGGATCTGATACAAGGTTGCCTGATATGAGGCTGTAGGAACACGGTCTTAGTTGACACTCTGCATGTACCGTATGCGGGGGTTCTGCACTGCACTTAATGAAGACATTGTCAATGAATGATTCTCCCTACAATGTCTGCGATGCTACACTAGGACTGCTAAGGTGATCATATCAATTCAGCTGTGCAAACACCAGTGCACCTTAGTGCACTTCCTCTATCAACGAGTCAATACGATCATGCTTGTCAGCTGCTGCTGCTGACGACTCAATTCCCCCGAGGGTGTTGGCCGCCTTGCTCAACTGCCGTCGCACCAACCTCTCGTACACTCCATTTGCTGCAAGGAATGCACAGGTGACAACAAAAAGTACCAGAACAGAGGTCAGGGACAGGGACACAACAAAGGAGACAGCGAAAGATGAGAATGAGGGATGACGACAACTTCGGGTCCTGCGCTGGCCACTAGTGTAGTACCACCACTCCTGCACAGGGGACCCCGCCACTCACGTATTCCCATTTTTGAGTCGACTCAAAAATAGGCACAGGGGACCCCGCCACTCACGTATTTCCAACAGCTGCTCGTGGGTCCCGTGTTCAGCCACCCGCCCCCCTTTCCAGCACACAGATGCTGTCAGCATTGCGAACGGTGGACAGCCAGTGAGCCACCAGCACGATATTGCTCCTGCCCTCCCCATATACCCCACTCACTCACTCATGTGCTGTGCCGTGCTGTGCACAAAGAACGAAGACAAAAGCTCACATTCTCCGCACCACAGGACGGGGGAAAGCACACCTGCTTCTGCCATCCCAGCACCCAGCCACTCACGTGTTTCCAGCAGCTGCTCATGAGTCCCATCCTCGGCCACTCTCCCCCCTTCCAGAACGAAGATGCTGTCAGCATTGCGCACGGTGGACAGGCGGTGAGCCACCAGCACGATGGTGCGCCCGCCCTCCGCTGTCAGCCGGTGCACATGCTGCACGTGCCTCACTCACTCACTCACTCACTCCCATACTGTGCAGTGCTGTAGAGAGAACCAGTGAGCCACACACTCTCTGCACCACAGCAACCTGAAACCCAGTAAGTTTCCCCTCCTGCCAACCAACCACCCAGCCACTCACGTATTTCCAGAAGCTGCTCGTGAGTGCCATGCTCAGCCACCCGTCCGCCTTCCAGCACGCAGATGCTGTCAGCATTGCGCACGGTGGACAGGCGGTGAGCCACGAGCACGATGGTGCGCCCGCCCTCCGCGATCAGCCGGTCCAGCGCCCCCTGCACCAGCGCCTCGCTCTCCGCGTCTAATGCTGACGTGGCCTCGTCCAATAGGAGCACGCGCGGGCGGCGCAGGAGCATCCGGGCAATGGCTATGCGCTGCAAGGAAAGGGATGAGCAGATAGTGCAACTGGTTAAGTGACAGTTTCGAGCAAAAAAAAAAAAAAAAAAAAAAAAAAAAGATGACATTTATCAAGTCCTTCCCTTCACGGTTCACTGAGCTAGCCTTGTCTCACTTCATTCCACACACTGCTGCCAATCCTCATTCATGGTCCAGCATGTGTTTTGTTAGTTTCTCCTGGTCTGTGTTGCGCTCACCTGCCTCTGGCCGCCTGAGAGCCGCACTCCCCTCTCCCCCACGCGCGTGGCATACCCCTCGGGGAACTTGGTGATGAAATCATGTGCGTTGGCGTTCCTGCAAGTAAGAGATGCGAGAGAAATACGCAGGAAATCAATTCAGCAATAAGCACTCCCACAAGCCCGACGCGTGGCGTACCCCTCGGGGAACGTGGTGATGAAATCATGCGCGTTGGCGTGCCTGAGAGGGAAGGGGGCGAGGGAAGCACATGGCGACTCAGTTCAGCATAACGCTCCTCCATAAGCCCGACGCGTGGCATACCCCTCGGAAAATTTGTTGATGAAATCATGTGCATTGAATTGGCATGCCTGGGAGAGAGAGATGCTTGGACTTCTTACTTGGCTGCACATACCAACGAACACACTCACTTGGCAGCTTCTTCCACTTCGGCTCGAGTATAGAAAGGCAGCCCATACGCGATATTCTCCTCGATGCTGCACGCCCACATCTGCGTGTCCTGCGTCACCAGCCCCATGTGCTGATGCCCCCACTAGCCCCATGTGCTGATGACCCCACTAGCCCCACATATTCGCACACTACAGTTTGCACACACTCTTACTTTGCAGCTTCTTCGACCTCTGCTCGAGTGTAGGAAGGCAGCCCATACGCGATATTCTCCTCAATGCTGCATGCCCACATCTGCGTGTCCTGCGCCACTAGCCCCATGTGCTGATGACCCCACTAGCCCCACATATTCGCACACTACAGCTCACCCCAAACACACACACAAGCTGCAGAAAGCCTTACTTGGCAGCCTCTTCCACTTCGGCTCGAGTGTAGGAAGGCAAGCCGTATGCGATGTTCTCCTCGATGCTGCATGCCCACATCTGCGTGTCCTGCGCCACCAGCCCCATGTGCGCGTGCACCGACCGTAGATTCAGCTCGCACAGATCTCGGCCGTCCATCACGATGCGGCCTTGCACGGGATCGTAGAATCGCATGAGGAGATGCACGACGGTGGACTTGCCACCGCCACTGCGACCCACCAGGGCCAGCACTTGCCCTGGATCCACGTGGAGGGACACTCCTGAAGGGAGTAGGGGAACGAACGAACGAGTACGAGAGAGGGAGAGAGGGAGTGGGGCCACAAAAAGGGATCATAGAAGCGCATGAGCAGATGCACGACTGTGGACTTGCCACCTCCACTGCGACCCACCAGGGCGAGCACTTGCCCTGGATCTACATGGAGGGATACACCTGGTAAGAGTATGCAGGAGGGAGTAAGGGAGAGCAAGGGACGGTTACACAAAAAGGAATTGCAGGATTTGCATGAACAGATGCACGACAGTGGACTTGCCGCTGCCGCTGCGACCCACCAGGGCCAGCACTTGCCCTGGATGCACGTGGAGGGATACTCCTATTTGTACGGGAGAGAGTAAGGCAGTGGAAAGGAGGGAAGTGAGAGGGGGGACGCCACAGAACGAGGCACAGGGTTGGAGAATCGCATGAGCAGATGCACGACGGTTGACTTGCCCCCACCACTGCGACCCACCAGGGCCAGCATTTGGCCTGGATCTACATGCACGGATACCCCTGGTTGGAGGTAAAAGAGGGACAAGGTAAGGCAGAAGAAAGGGGTGGTCTGGGCACAGCTGGTAGTAAAAGTGCCTTACGAGTTGACTCAAATTCAGCACAGAATTGGTAGTGACACCAACACAGGGCACAATCGAAATAGGGCAGGGGACTGCCAGGGCAAGGTGCTGCAACGGCAATGTACCTTTGAGCACAGGGTGGTCGGGGCGCATCTGGTAGTGGAAGTGCACATCCTCCATGCGAATGGATCCCTGCAGTGTTGACACCTGGAGGTCGATAGGGGAGGAAACGGAGTGCACGGGACGACATGGAACAGAATGGAAGGTTGATTAGGGTCTGGCAGGCATCTGATAGTGGAAGTGCACATCCTCCATGCGGATGGAGCCTTGCAGTGTTGACACCTGAACAGCACATAGATATTGGGGAAAACAGAGTGCAAGGCAGGGTGAGTGTAGAGTTGCAGGCATCTGGTAGTGAAAGTGAACATCCTCCATGCGGATGGATCCCTGCAGTGTGGACACCTGCAGGTGGAAAAAACGTACACAGATTCACACGGAAAAGAAAGAAAGAAGAAGAAGAAGAAAAAAAAAACAAACAAACAAACGAGCGGCCGACACTTGGTGGCGAAATTTATCCAATTGCAGCAAACCTTGCCCTTGCAGCATGAAACATCTGAATATTCTCAATAATGTCTGGCATCCAGTGACAGAGACCCGATATCGAACAGCGAGTCGCTGAGGGAGAGCACACACAGCAATAGAGGGGCACTGAGACTCTTGCACTCACTTTCACCCTTTCGAAGACACTCCTAATTTCTTCTCTCTCTCACGCACACACAGACGGACGGACACACATACCTTGGTGCCGGCATCAGGGTCAATATCTGGGAGAGAGTCGATGAGGGAGAGCACCCTCTGAGCGGCGCCAGAGGCCTTGGTGAGCGACATGAGCACCGGCATGATGCTCTGATACCCTGACTGGACGCCCACACCTGCACTTGCTGCTCACAACGTTCCCACGCTCCCTCAGCCTCCCTCTTTCTCTCGTGATTTCTTTCATACACGCCCTCTCTCTCAGTCATCCCCCCCCCCGCTCCCTACCTTGGTGCCGGCATCAGGGTCAATATCTGGGAGAGAGTCGATGAGGGAGAGCACCCTCTAAGCGGCTGCTGCTGATTGAATTCCCAACCTACACCTACCTTGGTGCCAGCGTCAGGGTCAATATCGGGAAGAGAGTCGATCAGCGAGAGAGAGCACCCTCTCAGCAGCGCCAGAGGCCTTGGTGAGCGACATGAGCACGGACATGATGCTCTGATACCCCGACTGGATGCCCACACACTAGCTTCTGGTGATTGGACTCCCACTATACACTCACCTTGGTGCTGGCATCGGGGTCGATATCGGGCAGTGAGTCGATGAGCGAGAGCACCCTCTGAGCGGCGCCAGAGGCCTTGGTGAGGTGTGAGGCCCTTCAAAACTTGTCTATATGTACACACACACAGACGCCTACCTTCATGCCAGCATCAGGGTCAATATCTGGGAGAGAGTCGATGAGGGAGAGCACCCTCTGAGCGGCGCCAGAGGCCTTGGTGAGCGACATGAGCACCGACATGATGCTCTGATACCCTGACTGGATTAAATTCCAGTAGAGCTGGAAGGCGATCAGCTGACCCAGGCGCATGTGCCCCTCCATCACCAACACTCCTCCGTACCTGAAGGTTTGACAGTGGGAAAAAGGGCAGGGGTACGCAGTGAGGGAGAGGCAAAAGGTTACCCTGACTGGAGGAGGTTTCAGTAGAGCTGGAAGGCGATGAGCTGCCCCAGCCGCATGTGCACCTCCATCTCCATCACAGCCCTGTACGCCCAACATTCATTCCACATACTCCCAGCACAGCAGACCAACCCACCAGAGGATGAGCACAGAGGCTCCCAGGTCGAGCCAGTTGTTGATGGCGACGGCACCCGAGTAGGCGAGGGCGTCCCTCACGCCCTTGGCCATGGCCGCCATCGTCTTGCTCTCGTACCTCTCCCTCTCCACCACCACCCAGCCATTGGCGGAGAGGAGAGGAACTTGAGGCAGACCAAACACATCACCACATATACGGCCAGAGCAGGCCCCAACCACGGCCAGCAGGAGCCCAATGGGGGCCTAGACCAACACAATCAGAAGAATAGAGTCCATACCCACCAGAGGATAAGTACAGAAGCCCCCAGGTCGAGCCAGTTGTTGATGGCGACGGCACCCGAGTAGGCGAGGGCGTCCCTCACGCCCTTGGCCATGGCTGCCATGGTCTTGCTCTCGTACCGCTCCCTCTCCACGCCCTCTGTGGAGAACGCCCGCACTGTGCGGATGTTGCTCAGTGCCTCGGATGCCGCGCTGTTGGCCTCTGCTAGCACCTGGTAGGGGGGAAAGCGAGGGAGGGGTGGGGACACAGATGAACGCCCATGGTCTTGCTCTCGTACCGCTCCCTCCCCACGCCCTCTGTGGAGAACGCGCGCACTGTGCGGATGTTGGAGAGAGCCTCGGATGCCGCGCTGTTGGCCTCTGCTAGCACCTGGTAGGGGGGAAAGCGAGGGAGGGGTGGGGACACAGATGGACGCCCATGGTCTTGCTCTCGTACCGCTCCCTCTCCACGCCCTCTGTGGAGAACGCGCTCACTGTGCGGATGTTGCTCAGAGCTTCGGATGCCGCGCTATTGGCCTCTGCTAGCACCTGGTACGGGGGAAAGCGAGGGAGGGGTGGGGACACAGATGAACGCCCATGGTCTTGCTCTCGTACCGCTATCTCTCCACACCCTCTGTGGAGAACGCGCGCACTGTGCGGATGTTGGAGAGAGCCTCGGATGCTGCACTGTTGGCCTCTGCTAGCACCTGGGAAGAGGGGGGGGGGAGGACACAGGGATGCGGTTGACGGCAGGAAACAGGGGGATGGGATGACATGGCTGCCATGCTCTTGCTCTCGTACCGCTCCCTCTCCACGCCCTCTGTGGAGAATGCGCGCACTGTACGGATGTTGCCTAGTGCCTCCGAGGCAGCGCTATTGGCCTCCGCTAGCACCTGGTACGGGGGAAAGCGAGGGAGGGGTGGAGACACAGATGGACGGGCATGGTCTTGCTCTCGTACCGCTCCCTCTCCACGCCTTCCGTTGAGAATGCGCGCACTGTACGGATGTTGGATAGAGCTTCCGATGCTGCACTATTCGCTTCTGCTAGCACCTGTCAGGGAAAGGAGCACAGAGAACACCAATGAACGGTCATTGACATGCTCTCTTACAGCAGCTCTCCATCCATACCCTTAACCACAGCACACCACACTGCACCGCACCCCACACCACACACCTGCAACAGGCCTCAGCACTGTGCACTGCACCGCACCCTTCAATACGCCCCATCAAAACCGCCCCTCCCTCCTACTCACCGCATATCGCTTCCGGTTCAGATCCCGGGACCAGCGCGAGTACACCGCAGTGATGTGCAGAATGGGCGCCATGGTGGTGAACGCGAGGATGCTGAGCTTCCACGCCCCACCACACTGCACCACACTTCACACCTGCCGCACTGCACCGCACCGCACTCACCGCGTATCGTTTCCTGTTGAGGTCTCTCGACCAGCGAGAATACACCGCCGTGATGTGCAGAATGGGCGCCATGGTGGTGAACGCGAGGATGCTGAGCTTCCACGAGGTCACAAAGCACAGCAGCACGCCGCCCACCAGCGACGCCAGATTCCGCACCAGCGCCGACAGCTGCCAGTTGATCGGCTCACTCATCGCCGCGACATCATTGGTCAGCCTAGACGTGAGCTCTCCGGTGGTTGTGGAGTCGAAATACGCGATGTCTTGGATGATCACGCCTTCGAAGAGTTTGTCCTGGAGGGTTTTGAGCACGCGCTTTCCGACGACGGAGAAGCAGAGGCCGCGCAGGCCGCCGAAAATGCCGGTGATGAGCGAGCAGAGCGCCATCGCCAGGACGTCCCGATGGAACTGGGCTTTATCGGCGTGTCCGTCTTTTACGTCGTCCACGATTCGGCCCTGGTGATTTGCAGTGCAGGGGTGAGAAGCAGGGGTGAGGGTGAGAGGGAAGATGCCGGTGATGAGCGAGCAGAGCGCCATCGCCAGGACGTCTTTACGAAACTGGGCTTTATCGGCGTGTCCGTCTTTTACGTCATCCACGATTCGACCCTGGGGGAGGGAGACAGTGGGGAGAGTAGAGAGAGCAGAGCGGGGAGGAAGGATGAAGATGCCGGTGATGAGCGAGCAGAGCGCCATTGCTAGCATGTCCCGATGGAACTGGGCCTTATCCACATGGGCGTCCTTCACATCATCAACAATGCGACCCTGAGGGAGGGAGAGTTGGAGCGGGTTTCCTTATCCTCTCTAGGAGCTGTCTGCTTTAGCGGGTGCTCCTGCTAGCTGTCACTGTCGTGTCGGGCCCACGTAGCACAGCCACACAAGCTCTCACCTGGTGGGTGGTAGACGGGAGGAAATGCTCACCTGGTAGGTGGGGATGAGCAGTCCTGCCCCAGACGTGACAGCAAGGCAGGTGAAGGCAGTGACTATAAGGGGCAGCTCCTTGTAGGCCAGCCCGATGGAGGGTACTGCCGGGGAAAGGCACTACAACACGTGCACAAGCTCTCATTTGATAGGTGGATGGGTGGGGGATGCTTCTCACCTGATAGGTAGGGATGAGCAGCCCAGCCCCCGACGTGACAGCCAGGCAGGTGAAGCCCGTGACTATAAGGGGCAGCTCCTTGTAGGCGAGGCCGATGGAGCGCAGCAGGTACTGCCGGGGGGTGAGAACCTTCTCAAAACGGATTCCCTTGTCCCCTCTAAGAGCTGACTCGTCTAGCGCCTCCTCCTGCCCCTGCTGCTTGCTGCTGGCCCCACGAGCAGTCTTCTTGGACGCACTGCAAGTGTCGGTGTCAAGGGCGGACGGGTGGACGGGAGGGCGGGGGGCATGGGTAGAGGGGAGAGGGGAGAGGGGAGACGGGAGAGTGGGAGTGAATCTAGGGAGTATTTATGAGGAGGCTCAGTTGAGAAGCTCCTTGTAGGCGAGGCCGATGGAGCGCAGCAGGTACTGCCGGGGGGTGAGCACTTTCTCCAAGCGGATTCCCTTGTCCCCTCTAAGAGCTGACTCGTCTAGCACCTCCTCCTGCCCCTGCTGCTGCTTGCCGCTGGCCCCACGAGTCGTCGTCTTCTTGGATCCTCTGCTGCAGGTGTGGAGTTTGGCGGAGGATAGATGAGTGGATGGGAAGCAAACAAGGGGAGAAAAAAGGTGACAGATCAGCCTGTTGTAGCCTTGTGTGTGTGTGTGTGTGTGTGTGTGTGTGTGTGTGTGTGTGTGTGTGTGTTTCTTCTTTCTTTATTAGGCGCCTCAAGAGCGAAGCTGGAAAGGGTGGCCAGGAGTGTGGGTAGTTGGGGCAGAAAACTTGGAAATTTTCCAACGACCATTGGATTGCAAACCCCACCCATTGACCTGGTGGTGACGCGACGCCGTGTAATCCCACTGACCTGGTAGCGCCATGTGAGCCGGCAGCAGAGGTAGTCACCTCCAATCCGCCTCCATTCTCCCCATCGCTCGACCTCCTTCTCGCCCCATGCCCATGTGAAAGTGCATGAGCATGCGCCGCTTTCTCCTTCAGTGCGAGCGCCCGCCCAAGCACGCCGCTGCACTCGGAGAGGTTTCCCAGAAGGGTGGACTCGGCGTTGATCCAGATGATGGCCGACCCCATCAGCCAGCCCTGCAGGAACTCGCTGGGGAAGACGAAGTTGACACACTTGGCGCCCACATACACCTGGGAGGGGGAGGGGATGGAAGGGGTGGGGAGGGGTGGAGAGCGGTTGGGATGGGTTAGAGGAGGGTGGACTCGGCGTTGATCCAGATGATGGCCGACCCCATCAGCCAGCCCTGCAGGAACTCGCTGGGGAAGGCGAATTTGACGCACTTGGCGCCCACATACACCTGGGGGGGGGACAGGGGAGACGTGAGTGGGGAGAGGGGACATGAGAGGGGGGTACTTGGTCGTTGGGGAAGAGAGGGGGGGAGAGGGACCGGGGGGATCGGATGTGAGAGCACAAACGAGAGGTAAATGCACGTGATACGAATAAAACGCACGTGGTTTGAGAGTACGGACCTGAAAGAAGGTGCAGAGGAGGAAGGAGACGAAGACAGTCACGTCCTTGGATGACACATTGCTCATCCACTCCTTAAAGCCCTGGTCCTCCTCCTCCTTCTTCCACGATATCACCTCATGCTTCTTCTCCTCCTCCTCTTCCTCCTCCTCTTCCTCCTTCTCCTTCTCCTTCTCCGTACCCCGAGCCAGAAGCGGAGCGTTCAACCCTCCATTCATGTCATGGGACCCTCTTCTTGCTGCATTGGTCCCTGAACCCCCTCCTGCCCTCCCCTTCTGTTCCTTTTTCGGGATTTCAAGCTCCCAGCCCTCCTGCCACGCGTATCGAGCTGCTATTTCTGACAGGATTGACAGCGAGATCGCTCTGACTATCGCAATCAGGATGAGATCGAGGGAGTCTGATCTGAAGCTGAGGAGACTTTTAACGAATTCGCTGAAGGAGCTGAAATCGGGAGTCCAGATGGCGTTGTGGAGAGAATAGTGCAGAGCCTGGCCAAGAACAGAAACGAAGAGGAGAAAGACAAGGATGAAGGGTAAGAATAGAGAGAAAGAAAGAAAGAACGAAAGAAGGAAGCGGATCGCGCAGTCAGGCCAGGACACACTACTGTGAAGAACATATCAGTTTTATAAGCTACTATCTGATGAAAATCCTGCAAAAATGAGGTTCGAACATCAGTCGTTGCGGAATTCTCAAGGCTACACAGAGGGGTTGGACTTACAAGAGTGAAGGCAATATCGATTCCAACAGCGACGAAGAACGCCACTCGCGCCCATTTCACGTGTCGCGCTGCGACGATCGGGTCCGTCGTACCGACGTACTTAAGCGGCTGCTCTGACACCTTCGCCTTCGCCTTCGCCTTCCCTAACTTCCCCATCCCCACCCCCCGTCAAATTCTAAACGGAGACTCGATACTTCTGCTCTAGGCTAAACGGAGACTTGACACTTAAGCAACGAAATTGTGACCAGCGCAGGGTCAGCTCGGCTAGAAGCTGGATTTCACTTCGAGTGGATTCAGAGGCTGGATGGAAGGATCTGTGGCTTTGACTGGCCGCTCCAAGTGCTCTGGCGAGAAAACGGAATCTGCGAATCGAAGAGCACCACACTGCAACACTTTTCACTAACCTACTACCAGTCCAAGTAATTCCGTCTACGCGTTGATCAGCAGCTACGAATCTACCCAAAATTGCTCCTCAAGCGACTTTCCCTGACAAACAAGGCTTGGAATGATATCTGATAGAAATGGGACGAGCTTGGGAAACTGAAGAACCAGTCTGACTTGTAGCAGGCTATATGATGCGAGACTTAAAGCTAAAATAGGGATGAAGGGTTGCGGGGTTGAGTACGCTGGCTTCTGGTTCTGCGTATTCTGTTGCGGTACAAAACAGTACTCCGCGTTAAGCGTGTTTTTCTGGATGACAGTCCAATACTTGGCTGTGACAGACACGCAATCCTCGAAAATGTCGAAAATGTGGGTTGATCTGACGGCGGTGAATGCCTGCACTTAAAAATTGACGCTTCTGATTTCCTGATATTAAGGATGATGGGGTCAAGTGTTCACCATGCGGATACCACGAAACCACGGCTCAGTGGTGATGTACCGCGTGAATGCAGCTTTCGATTCAACAGCGTAAGCAGAGATGAAACTGCTGTGGTTGGTTGGCTGTACGGAGACGTACGTACGTACGCCATCCACCGAATTTCCCTCTCCAGCCAACCCTCCAGTACACCATTTGAACGCGTTGCAGCGGTCTCCGTTTTCTCACAGTGCATTTTGTTGAGTGGTGTGCAACTGTGATGAGTACATTGAACTTACAGAGACACAAGTTGTGTTGTGGGGCCTCTTTATTCCAATACAACCCTCAAGCACTCTAACCACCAAGTGAAAGAATCAATGGCCGGGCCTTGAAGCGTACCGAGCTAGATGCAAACCTGACACATCCCATACCACCACTTTCCCGTCTAGGCCTGCCAATAGATATGCAAAACCAACAAGGGAGAAGTTAGTAGATGACTTTTACGGTAGAACCTTTCTCTGGGGATAGTGCTCAAACGCTTGACTGAACTGAAACCGAACAGGCAGAAACTTCAAGGTAAAAATGTCTAGTTGAGATGCTACGTGTGCCAGCATATTGCCCACCTGATGTTGAGAATTGCTGAATAATAGAATCGTCAGCCGATCCCAATGGCCGAATGCAGCTGCAGCAAGAAACCACACATCAGAAAAAAACGGGCAACAGAAAATTGCAAAGAGAGCTCAATGCTAATACTTGGCAACAGAAGGGCCATAGCAGCAGAAATAGACAAGTCACCTGATAGTGATGCAATCCACATGAACCATGCTAGGTCCCCCACAGTCCCCCCCCTCCCTCCCCTCCCCCCGTTCAATGAACTCAGGATCTGTTGCAGAAACGGACAACTCACGTTATGCAGTCCTGATGAACAGTACTAGGTCCTTTGGAGAGCTCCGAGTCGGGAATGGAGGGGGCATTGGGAGCAGCGTCGGTCAAGCTGGAGCGGAGAGAAGTCCCGCGCTCCATCGACCGACCAAACGCGTCCTTCTGAGGAGCAAGAGGGATGATGGGAGAAGAAAGGACTTTTGAGACGTCTCAGAAGAACTCCGAGTCGGGAATGGAGGGGGTGTTGGGTGCAGCGTCGGTCAAGCTGGAGCGGAGAGAATTCCCGCGCTCCATCGACCGACGAAACGCGTCCTTCTGAGGAGCAAGAGGGATGATGGGAGAAGAAAGGACTTTTGAGACGTCTCAGAAGAACTCCGAGTCGGGAATGGAGGGGGTGTTGGGTGCAGCTTCGGTCAAGCTGGAGCGGAGAGAATTCCCGCGCTCCATCGACCGACCAAACGCGTCCTTCTGGAAAGTGGGACATGGGATCATGGGAGAGAGCAGGGTGGTTTTGAGTCGACTCAAAAATCACCTCCATTGGGAGCAGCATCGGTCAGGCCGGAGCGGCGAGAGTTCCCACGCTCCATCGACCGACCGAACGCGTCCTTCTGAGGAGTGAGAGAAGAGGTCATGGGAAAGGAGAGAGGACTTTTGAGATGTCTCAAAAAGGCGTTAGGAGCAGCATCGCTCAGGCTGGAGCGGAGAGAATTGCCTCGCTCCATTGACCGACTGAACGCGTCCCAGTTGAAATCAGGTGGTTTCGATCCGCTGCAAGCCTTCTAAGAGATTAGGAACGATCTAAGTCTATCAGTACTAATCTGAGGTGCGGGAGGTGGGATCAGAGAGAGGAGAGAATGAGATGACAGATGAGGGACGTATTAAAGCAAAATGATACATATGTACATGCACAGAAACGCTTCAGCTGTACGGTGTTGCGGGAAGAATAACCAGTAAAGGTCTCTACATCACAGTGCTTTGCTTCATCAGCTCGCAAACTGGGTTTGGCTTTAACAGAAAGCAACAGAAACATGATGAGGGAAAGTGGGGAAAGAGGCTTTTACAGAGGAAAGAGCCTTGGGTGCATTTTGTTATCTAAGAAAAGAAGGGAAGGATAATCAGAATAGGGGGAGTAGAGGGGAGTTACCGCAGAAAGAGCAGCGCCAGTGGCAGTGGAGGTGGGCTCCTCAGATCCGTCCAATACTCTCACAAACGTCCTGAGAGCGTGCAGACACAGAGAATGGGAGAAAGGGAGAAGGAGAGATGGGGAGAATGAAGTGAAGGGAATGGGGAGGGTGCACTGCGGATGAAGGCGTTTCACAATGATTAGCATAGTCGGATCTGATCTGATCATATTGCAAGAAATAGCACGGTATTCCATGGTATGTAGAACCTCGTGTGGGCACCACTCACTATGTGTCATTGCTTTCAGCACCACTGACTCACCACGTGCCACTGCTGTCCCCTGCCACCACTCACTCACCACGTGCCATTGGCGTCGGCACTGAAGAGAATGGGGTTGTAGTCAAAACCAGCCGCCACCAGCAGCCGATCAGAGAGGAAGAGAACCTGACAGGCAGTGCACGGGAAGACAGGGGTATGTGCATGTCAGTGGGGACATGGTGAGGGTGGGATTTGAAGGGCCTCAGAGGAGGCACGCGAGAAGATGACCAGCTCGAGTCGACCAGGAAAACTGTGGTGAAGTATGGGGAAGGCAAGGCAGCAGAGGGAAGAAGCTCGACGCAGCAGAAAGGGGGCATCATGCTGCGGAGGGAGATATCAGAGAAAGATGGGTTTGAGAGTGACGGAGAGGTGAGGGAGGCGGAGGGGGAAAGGGTGGGGAGGTAAAGAATGGGAAGCAAGGAGGGTGAGTGACGGATGCACTTACGTCTCGCAGTGGGAGGTATCGCAGGGAGATGGAGTGGAGGGTGAGGGAGGGGCCGACGTCGTTGATGAAATGGATGGTGGAGTCATGGCCTGGGTGCATGTGCATGTGCATGTGCATGTGCATGTGTGCACACACGCATGTGCAGCACATGATGCATGTGGAGTGACGGGTAAGGGAGTGGAAGGTGAGGGAGGGGCCACCGTCGTTGATGAAATGAATGGTGGAGTCATGGCCTGCAGGGATGTGTATGACCATTTGAGCACACAGAGAAGGGGGCGCACAGCGCATGGCGCACATGGGATGGGACGTGAAAAAAAGAGCTTTGAGTCAAACCCAGAAGTCAAGAGTCACAAGGGCTGACACGCTCACCAACCCACGGCAAGGTTGGCCCCCGAAGGGCAAGTCGAGCTGCGGAAGGGATGACTCCCTCACGCACCAGCGGCTCACAATTGCTGCTTGGCTCAGTCACTCACCAACAATGCACAAGGACTGACTAACTCACCAACGAAGGCGAGGTTGGCCCCTGAGGGTGACCACTTGGCCCCAAACGTCCACCCGAATGCCAAGTCCAGTTGCAGAAGTTGCTGCTTGGGGGTTGGAGATAGAGGGTGAGGGAGGGGGAGTGGAGGGGAGGAGAGATGAGATGAGGGAAGGCGAGATGGAGGAGGGAAGTAGGACAAAATGCTGAGAGTGAGTACGAGAAGGAGAAAGTGGGAAAGGTCCCAGGAGGGAGCGATGGAGCGATCGGTTTAACAGACGTAGTAGAACCAACCTTACAACTTGGGACAGATTGAACTTTGAACTTCACCGATACCCATCCTCTGTGTCACATTCACATCCGTAGCTCGCTCACCCCGCCACCGCCAACAATCCCAATCCCTGCCTCCCCTCTCCACCCTTCCCAATTCCTGCCTCACCTTTCCAAACTTCCCAATCCCTGCCTCACCTCGCCAAACTTCCCAGAGAATCCGCCAGATGAAGAGCTTTCCGAACTGAGCAGTGAAGAAAATGTGTGGGTTGGAGGGAAAATAGACAAGACAAGCGAAAAATAAGTGCAATACACGTTGCTTGAAAAGGCATGGCGAGGGCGCCAGAAGGAGTAGAAATATGAGTCGAGCGATAATGTTGCAGAGATTTTGTAGTTGAAAGTATGTAGTAAGGGGTGTATTGTCGAGTTAAGCAGATGGAGAGGATACCTTTTAGAGTCAACTCCTTTGATTGTAGCTGAGAATATTCGACACTTGTTATCTGTGCATGTGGTCGCTAGGAGAAGCTGCAAGGAAGGAGCCAGGGCGGAGGGAAGAGAGGGGAGGAGAGAAGGAAAAGGTTAGGTTTTTTTCTTCTTCTTCTGCTTCTTCTTCTTCTTCTTTTTTTTTTTTTTGGAAGCAAGGGGCAGCAACGGAAAGAGCAACAACAGGAGCAGCAGTACAGACAGTAGACAGGTTCTATAGCGAGAGGGCTCATGACTTGTGTTATGCTCTGCTGGCTCTGGTCCCTTTGAATCTCATCATGTCTCACGTTGTTTGGGTGCGAGGCAACGCTGGTGACTGATGAGGCATGCTCATAATTCATGATAACTTGTCACATATTCTGGTGGCTGTGATGGTAAGTAAACACATTGTAAATTTCATGTCTCATGTCTCACGTTGTTTGGGTGCCAGGCAACGCTGGTGACTGATGACGCGTGCTTCTTGCGAATCACCTTGCTCACCCACCTGCAGGCACATACGCATGCTCACACAAATGCACAGCCACATGCACGGACACATGCATGCACATACACACACAAACACACGTATGTGGACATGTTACATCAACGCTTGACATATAATGTGCAGCATCAATTTTGTTTCACATTAGTACATATGTCACCTGCCCTGTTCGTTATAAGCACATACCAGCTGTTCTCGTCATCATAGTAGCACACACTGACAGTCTTGGATCCACTTCCCACAGCAAACTTGTTCTCTGCACAGTGAACAAGAATATATGTACATATTAGCACAAGTTGACTTTTGAGTCGACTCAAAAGTCAACTCACAGCAAACTTGTTCTCTGCACAGTGAACAAGAATATATGCACATATTAGCACAAGTGTAATTCTTGAATAGCCTGCAGAAATGGTCAGCCTCGCAAACAAACTTTGGGACTCATAAATCTCTGAAAAAACGAAAGTGGAACATTTGTTGCACGTGCTGCTGTCGTCCATTTTAACCCACCCTCACTCCTGGAACTCCATTCGTCCCACCCTCACCTTGAGGACTCCATGCGACGCAGAGAGCCGCCCTGTTCAGTCTGAGAATGACCAGTGCCGCCCTCCACTCCCCCTCCACCCAGTTCCACACGTACCTGTCAGTCAGTGCGGGCCACGGAAGGGGAGGGAGGAAAAAGTTTACAGAGGAAAGGGGTGAAGTGGGGGTGTGGTTGGGTTGAAGGCTCATGTCCACTCCCCCTCCACCCAGTTCCACACGTACCTGTCAGTCAGTGTGGGCCAAGGTAAAGGAAACAGAGGGAGCATTAGGCAGAACGAGGGAGGGGGAGCAAGGGGGGAAAGGGGGGAGGGTTAGAGGTGCCTTTCAAGCCTGCCACTGCTCCACGACCCATTTCCACTCATAGTTCCCATCCGAAGATGGTTAAGCGGCATCTGAAAGAACCTAATATCGTGCCTTTTCAAAACAAGACTCACGAGTTGCGGTCGTGTGAGCATGTGACGATGCGGTTCTTCTTGGCGCCCCAGTCCACGCCTGATATCAGGTCCTCGTGCTGCCATGCCATGTCGTGTGAATAGAAAATGCCATGCCATGCCATGCCATAAACAAAGTATGTCATGCCATGGCAAGCATGCCAAGAATGCCAGCCAGCCACCATGCCATACCATGCCATGTCGTGCCATGCCGTGCCGTGCCATGCCGTGCCATGCCATGCCATGCCAAGAATGCCAATTGGGGCAGGTGAGACGGAAGCAGAGTGGGCGTGGGGGTGGGAGAGGAAGGGAAGGGAAAAAGGGGGGAGAGAGAAGGAGGAGGGGGGGGGGTGGTGGGGGGTTGGATGGGGGAGGGGAAAGAGGAACGGAGTATGCAAGACAGGGATCTCGTGCTTTAGGGCAAAGTTCAATAAACCTCTTCTACAAATGGAGCATGACTGTTTCTATCACTCTCATGTGCTGTTTGATGGTGCTCCTGAATATCAAATGCGTGTACGGTGTACCTTGGACAACGTGTGGAGCTTCTCCCACTGTTTCTCATCATCCGCGATATTAGCCTTGAATATCCACAGCTCCGATGTTCGCGGGCTGACGGCCACCACTGCATTGGATTGGACAAGTGGGAATGAGACGGAGTGAGTGTGAGAGAAGCAGGGTGCAGTGTGAGACGTTGTAGAGAGGCAAAGGACAGGAGATCGGACGTCCAACGTTGGAACTGTCTTCGCTAAAACAAGAGGAGGAGCTGAGACGGGTAGACAGCCTGATCAAGAGGAGGCGCTGAGTGTAACTCAATGGCCCCGAATGCTGGTCCAAATGTCGCTGATCGCCAATGACTTCACAGAAAGCAGCGAAAGAACTGAGAATAACTCAGTTTGAAGGGAACAGCAGAGGTGCTCAACTCGAACAATTCATCAATCACCAGCTTCTTCTATCTGCTTGCGACTCAACTGGACATGTTGCCATTCCACGCGTGGCAGGATATCGACGATGCCAAGCTGAAAGGCGACGCGTCCGCCATGGCGAAAGCGCCGCTTCAAGCGGGGATACGAAAAGAAACTCAGAAATGGATGCTTCTGCTGACCCCAGCGACACGCGGCGTGGTGAAATGCATTGATTGTCAGAAGCCGGTTGAATGACCTAAAGCAGATGCGACAGGGTGTGTGGTTGATGCTTGTACTCGGACCTCAACCATACGATACCTCACTGCATCGTAAAGAAAATGGTCAATTATTACATACAGAACCGAACTCTACGACCTTGTGAACAAAATGCACCGAGCCTGGCGCGAACCCATATCTTGCAGGTTTCGGCTGCTTTAGAGAGAATTCATTAGCAGATTTTGAGTCCAGACTACATTTCTCGGAGACGTCAGTTCGCTTGTACAGAAGTAATATGGACCCATGTTTTTTCAACGATAATTCGTGTGCGGCTTCTTCAAGGTTTCCCCTGGCTGCCAACCTTGCAGGGTAAAGGTTATGGGGAAACCTGCCAACCTTGCAGGGGTTGACCTGTCGCCTGATCAGCTCATGCTGACACGTACCCTGATCAGGAAAGTGTGCCCGAAAGCTCAGCAGGAAAAATCTACTTTCCCAGCCTGGCCCGGGAATCCCGAAATCCATGAGTTCAGGGACGCGTGGCACTTTGTAATAAGACCATTTCCAGGCATCCTCAATTACATCGCGCTATTCAAGGGCAGCATCGCACATGAGGTTGTCCATCTGGTTGACCTGAGCCGACCGAACAGGCGAACGAAAAGCTTCGAAAAAACTATGAGTTTCGCTGCGTTGGCAGATCACAACAAACCCAGTCTCACCTTGATCTCTCGAAAAAACTCTCAGCCAGTCATTGGCCTCGAAGAAACGTCCCTCACCTGCCCCTAACCTACACAGCATGTATTCTGGGCCGCCAGGACTGGCTCCTGACGCACCGCGGGCAGGGTTGCATTGTGAGATGCGAATTCGAAGGGCAGGCTGGCGAAAAGGCATGTGTGAACACAGATACGCATTCGCCTGCTCTGCTCCGCTTCATTTCTGTGATCGCATCAGAGGAGTTGATTCGAGGGGGCAGATGAGCACGAGGAGAGGAGAGTTGCAATTCGCCCCACGCTTTTCTTTCGTGTGATTGCAGTCCTTGCTCTCCCGCTTTTACAAAGCCACCTTGCTTCGTGCCTTTCTCCTTTGTGCACGCACAAAACTCCCTCGAGCAGGAACCATGCCCGCGATCGTAACAGCATTACCTGAAAACTCTCTCTTTACCAGCTATGTTCCATAGCGTGATGTCCTGTTCTTGTTGACCATTCGTTCGTGATCGTCATGACCATGCGCACTTCCCAATCTGCTGTTTCAAGGACTTTTAGGTCAGCCTATCATCACTGAGCGTGCGTTGCGGCGCGCTGCGGCCTTACCCTCCACCGATAGTCTGCACAGTATGGGCGTCTCCGTAACTCTTTCTCGTCGTCCGACGCTCACCGTTCGTCCAATCGCCACTCAACTAAAATCAAGCTCGGCCGCCCGTCGACCACTACGGACGCCGTCTCGTGTGCTACTCAGACCCTCCCTTTTAGGAAAACCATTACTACCGGAGCGGCTACGACTGGTGAAACAAGCACGCCGACCACTAGCTGCTTTGCCAAGAGCTCCCCCCGCTGCCTCCCGCCTGTTTACGCCACTCGCGCCGACCTCCTCCTACCCCTACCGCCCCTACTCGTCCGTCTTCGTGGCGGCTCGGAGCAGGAGCAATCACACGCAACGGCACCAGCAGACTTCGTGCTTCGGCGGTCCCTCGTCCGTAGGCGGCGCCCGTGGGCTGACTTTTGAGACGACTCAAGGGCCGTCGAGTAGTCGTAGTAGCGGAGAGTGCGGCTGGTTGAATCAACTCCGAGTTGCGCAGCACTCTTCGTGCTTGACGCTGAACACCGCAGCTGTAGCACAGCCGAGGCGGCAGCGGCGGCTACCGCCGGTGCGCGCGCATGCTTCTGCGGCGGCTGCGGGGAATTCCATTATCGAGGCCGCCGTCTCTGCGGTCGCCTCTGCGGTGGTCTCCGGGCCGATCCGCGACCTCGTTCTTGTCACACTCGGCGCGGTCGCGGCGCTGCTGACCACGGCGCTTGTCCTCTGGCTCCGCCGGCGAAACGAACGGCAGGTACGCATGTGCGGATGGTGATACAAACGGAAGGTGATAGACGGAAGAGCCTATCGACGGAAGCTGGTTAACGCCTTCCGCCAACTTTTTTCCGCCACCTCCATGCCACCTTCTCCGTCGTCTGCCTGTCTTCCACCCACTCGTTTGTGTCGCTCCATACAGAGACTGTCTCTCCATTTCTGTTTCCCGCCCCCTCGTTTGAGTAATCCCCCACAGAGACTCGCATCGGTCGCCCTCCTTCCCACCCTTCCGTCCCGCTCCTCCTCGTCTTCCTCCTCCGCTTTTACTTCCTCTCCTCAAATCGCAACTGCAGCAGACGCAGCAGCTGGAGAAGGGAACGGGGCTTTCTCAGCAATAGTCCCTACTCAGCTTGCTGCTAATGGAGCCTTGTTATCAATGGATCATGGCCCTTACGACACTGCAGTAGCCAATGCTGCTGCTGCTACAGCTATAGCGGATCGGTCAGCTTATAGCGCGGATCATGGTGGGCTTGGCGGTCTACTGGCTGCTGAAACCGGTCCTGGTTACAACGGATACGCCGCGCTGAACGGGGCTGCTTCCAACGGGAATGCTCTTAACGGGTATGCTCCAAACGGGGCTGCTTCCAATGGGCGTGCTCTTAACGGGTATGCTCTTAACGGGGCTGCTTCCAACGGTCATGCACTTAACGGGCACGCGGTTAACGGGCATGCTCTTAACGGGCACGCGGTGCACAGCAGCGCTGGCCAGGAGTCATTGGGAGGCGAACGAGGCAGCCACACCGTAGCGGAACCCTGGAGGGCCACAAGCAACGGCGAAATCAGCAACAGCAGGGAGAGCAGCAGCAGCAGCAAGGACAGAAATAGCAGCACCACAAAGAAACCCCTCAGCAGCAGAACTGGCGGTGCCATCTGGTCTCAGGGCCTGGCACGGGCCTTTGGAATAGGCTCCGGTGCGGCAGCAGCAGCATCTTCAGCTTCAGCAGCAGCGAGCAGCAAGAGCAGTGGCGCCACAAGAGGCGGCAAGCCGAGCGGAAGAGCCAGCACAAAGGGAAGCACAGGCCTCAGCACGAAAGGCAGCACCAGCACTAAAGCAAGCCCAACAAAGGCGAGTGCAAAAGCGAGCACAAGCGAGTGGAAAAGCGAGCACAAGCGCTGCTGCTGCTGCCGCTGCTGCCTCTGGCAGCGACAGGAAGCTGGGCTTTGAGTCGACTCAAAAGAAGCTGGGCGCGCCGACAGACGTGGGCGTGGGCATGCAGAAGGAATCAGTCGAGTGGGTCAACATGGTTCTCCACAAGATGTGGAAGGTCTACCGGCAACCCATCGAAACCTGGCTGGTAACCAGAATCCAACGCAGCATCGACAAGCTTCAACCCACGCTCCCACCGCCGTTCTCCCGGGTGGAAATCGCGGTTTTCACGCTCGATTACGAGCCGTCTGCTGTAAGAGCGGTGCAGCAGCGGCCGAGCAGGAAGGCGGATGACTTGCAGTACCATGTGGGGGTGCGGTATACCGGGGACGCGCACTGTATGATAAGGCTGCATCTGGAGGTGTGCGGTTTGAAGTGGTCCGTGCCGGTGGACGTGCATGACCTGGACGTGGATGCTGAGGTGTGGGTGAAGCTGCGCCTGACGCCCAAGAAGCCGTTTGTCGCCAGCCTGTCGCTCGCGTTCGTGCGCTTGCCGACCATCAAGCTGGTGCTAGCACCCTTCCACGTTCTTAATGTCGTTGGCATCCCGTGAGTGTTAAGCACACATCCTTGCACGCACACTAGGCAAGCACCTGTCGTGCGCCTGCCCAACATCAAGCTGGTGGTGCTAGCACCCTTCCATGTGCTCAACGTCGTTGGCATCCCGTGAGTATTCTTCCCGGCACATGCACAGGCACACACAAGCATGTGTGGAGGTGCATGACCCGGTTGTGGGCGGTTCAAAGTGGTCGGTGCCTGTGGACCACATCCTCCCTCCCTTCCCCGTCCTCTCATTCCGTGCTTCCTTCCCCCTTTCCACTCTCCCTCTCCCCCCTTCGCTGCCCCAGCTTCCTCTCCCAGCTGCTAACAGAGGATCTCCCGCGCCTCCCTCTCTTAACACCCCTGTAACACTCCCCTTTACTCCCCCTCACGCCCCTTCACTCCTCCTCACCCCCTATTATCCCCCCTTACCCCCAGCTTCCTCTCCAAGCTTCTAATGGAGGACCTCCCGCGGCTCCGTCCCCCTGGAACATTCCTCTTTACTCCGCTGCACTCCTCCTCACCCCCTTTTATTCCCTCTTACCTCCCAGATTCCTCTCCAAGCTGCTAACGGAGGACCTCCCGCGGCTCCTCGTGCTGCCGCGCCACATCAGCCTCGACTTCCTGCCACCTGGCATGGACGCCGACGAGGACACGGACGCCGGCACTGACGTGGGCGCTGACGTGGCTGCTGACGTGGCTGCTGACGTGGCTGCTGGCGTGGCTGCTGGCGTGTCTGCTGGCGTGGGGCAACAGGAAAGAGAGGCGCAGTGGCCGACCGAAGCAGCTGCGTCTTCTGTGGTTGGGAGTCTGTTCAACGCAGCTGCAGGCGTGAACTGGGGGGAAACCAGAAGCAATGGCAACAGCAACAGCAACGGCAGCGGCACCGCCACCAGCACCAGTGCCAGCAGCAGCAACGGCAGTGGTTCAATGAATGGTTATGGCGGTGGTGGCAGCAGCACAAGCACCACCACCACGGGATTCAGCACCACACCTGCCAGCGCAGCCACCTCCTCCTCTTCCCCCTCCTCCTCCTCCTCCCACTCCTCTCCCTCCCCTTCCTCCGCCCCCTCCGCCTCCCCCTCCGCCTCCCCTTCCCCCTTCCCCTCGTCCGCCATCCACGCGCCCCTCCAGGGGGACACATCCGACGCCTTCAAGGGCGAGCTCTCAGTCACGCTCTGCGAGGCCCGTGCTTCAAGTCGACTCAAAACACCCGCCTCCGCCATCCACGCGCCCCTCCAGGGAGACACATCCGACGCCTTCAAAGGCGAGCTCTCAGTCACGCTCTGCGAGGCCCGCAACCTCCCCACCTCGCCGCTCTCCCTCCTCTCCCTCCCCACCACCCAACCTTCCTCCCGCTCCTCCCCTTCCAGCACCTCCCCCTCCAATCACACCACACCTCCTCTCCGAAACAACAACAACAACAGCAACAACAGCAACAACAGCAACAACAGCAACCCACTGGCGATTCTCAGCCGGCCGCTGTCGCTCCTGAGTGCCCCGTACTGCCGGCTGGTGTTTGGAGGGGCGGTGGTGGAGAGCAAGAGGAACAGGCAGACGTCGCATGCTGCAAGCCCTGGGGACCCGGTGTGGAATCAGGACTTCCTGTTCTGCGTGGAGAGCCCCAGGAGGCAGAAACTCACTGTCGTTGTGCGGGACTCTGCTTTGTTTCAACGAGACTTGGGCTTCGTGCAGGTGCGTACTCTAGGCCTCTCTCTCTCTCGCTCCTGAGTGACCCGTACTGCCGGTTGGTGTTTGGGGGCGCGGTGGTGGAGAGCAAGAGGAACAGGCAGACGTCGCATGCGGCAAGCCCCGGGGACCCGGTGTGGAATCAGGACTTCCTGTTCTGCGTGGAGAGCCCCAAGAGGCAGAAGCTCACAGTGGTGGTTCGGGACTCTGCCTTGTTTCAACGAGACCTGGGCTTCGTGCAGGTGGGAGAGTGCCTCTAGGGAGAACCTTTTGCCTTTTTCGGGACTCTGCCTTTTTCGCCATGTGGCATCTGGAAAAGGGGCACCACCGGGTGCAAGGTTCAGCGTACATGGGTCGAAATTCCAAAGTTCAAAGGGCGTGGAGGTCATGGGTTGACGCGCTGATCCTGATCTTCTCTCCTATGAACCCATAGTCAGCGTAGAGACTCCCCTCGAAGCCCAGCGAGGGCCCGCTGGCAGTGCGCCACTAGCCCTTCTAGGCCCCAGGGACCCGGTGTGGAATCAGGACTTTCTGTTCTGCGTGGAGAGCCCAAGAGGCAAACGTTTTGGAAAGTTCTCGATCTCCATGTGGTTACCACGTTACCACTGTCACGTTAAGCTTCTTTATCAACCTCTGCCTTTCCCCCGCCACAGGTCCACTTAAATCAGCTGCACGGCTGCATTCCAGTTGCCATGTGGTTACCGCGTTACTGCCGCTACACCTGTTAACAATAAGGGCTCATATCTTCCTCCTCCCCTCCCCACCACAGGTCCCTCTGAATCAGCTGCAGGACTGCATTCCAGTCTCCATGTGGTTACCACTGTTACAAGACGGGCCTTTCGGCGTGAAGCCCGCATCTCAGGGCGAGGTTCGGCTGGTACTGACCTACAAGTCGTACGTGGAGGAAGGCTCGGGCCGAACCACAGTCCTGGGGAAGTTCGGCAAGCCCAACAAGACGAAGATTCGGATCAGGTTCAACGGAGATGGAGGGGGAGAGGAGGGTGGGAGAACGAGGGATGGGGATAGCGAGAGTGAGAGTGAGAGCGAGAGTAGTGGGAGTGAGGGATGGAGCGAGGGGGAAGGGGGGAGTGACGGAGAGTGGCTGTTTGGGCCTGGAAGGTTTAAGGGAGAAACTTCAGGGCCAGCAGCAGCGGCGGAGGCAACATCAGGAGCAGCAGCAGCAGAACTATCAGCAGCAGCAGCGGCAGCAGCAGAAGCAGCGGCGGCAGCAGCAGCAGAGTCAGAATCTGCAAAGAGTGTTGCTAAAGGAGCGAGAAAAGCTGCAGGAGAAGCGCTCAAGAACCTAAGGAACTTGAGAGACCTGAGAAACAGAGACACGGCTACTGCTGGGGAAGCACGCACGCCTGTTGCAGGAGACAAACGGGGGAGGGAAGCAGAGGCAAGTGTCGGCAGAACCAGCACTGGGGGCAGCAGCAGGAGGGGCAGCAAGCGTGCGAGGCTGAAGCAAATCTCATCTCAGCTGAAGAGTGTGGTAAAGGCAGGAGCAAAGGCTGCTGCTGGTAACGCGCTCAGTAAGGCTGCTCTGGCTGCTGCTGCCATGGCTGCTGCTGCAGCTTCTGCTGCCTCCAAGGTTGTGGGTGAAGGAGCAGCAGCAGGGGGTGTTGCTGGTGGCGCTGCTGCTGATGGTGACGCTGGGAACGGTGATGTTGGGTTTGAAGTGAGTAGCAGTATTTCTGCTGCAGTATTTCTGCTTCAACAACTCCTCCTTCCTCCCCTGCTAGTTCTGCTGGTTCCAGCCCTCTTCCTCTGGTAGATGCTGCCACAGTAGCTGTTCCTGTTACAGCTACTACTCCTGCTCCAACGGCTGCTCCTGTCACAGCAGCTGCTGCTACACGCGATGTGACTATAGAGGGCGTCCGGGATGATAGTGATGCAGAGTCTGAGGTGCAGATCCGAGTGCGTGCCTATCCGGTCAGTGATTGGCCGAGGAGGACTGCTGCAACAGCAACATTAACAGCGAACCCAGCCCTACCCGCAGCGGCTGCTGCTGCTGGTGCAGTGGCAATTGGTGCTTTGTTAGCAACACCACCAGCAGCAGCAGCAGCAGCAGTGGATGGTGATGCAGAGGTGGTGAACAGTGGAGGAGACGCAGATGGGCTGTGGTGGGCAGCTCCTCAAACAGAGGCGCAAACAGAGGTGTGCAGAGAAGACGAGGGATGGACGGAGGTCTCAGATGATGATGGGGAAGGCAGTTCTGAAGGCGAGGGGGAAGGCAGCTGGGAGTGGGGTGAAGGCGGGGTGTGGAAGGCAGGTTTAGAGGAAGCTTCTCTTGCTGCTCCAACCTTCAATGGTGCTGCTGCTGCAGACGACCTTTTCGTGCCCAATGGGGCAGCTTATAACGGAGCCAATGGTTTTGCTGCTTATATCGAGTCTGCAGACATCAACGGTCATGTCAGTAACGGAAATGCAACGGGTACAAACGGAAGGGCTGCAGGAGCATCAGCAGCAGCAGCAGCAGCACCAGAGGGAGCAGCAGCAAATGAGAGAGAAGCAGAAAGGTTGAATGAGGCTGCTCTTCACGCTGGTGACTCCTGGTGGCTGGAGAATGATGCTGTTACAGAACTCTTTGACGTGCTGGAGAGGCACTGAACTGCAGCACTCTATAAGGAGCTGGACTTTTGAGTCAGCTTACAATGCTTGGTGGGTGGAGAACGATGCTGTTACCCAGCACTTTGATGTGCTGGAGAGGCCCTGAACTGCAGCACTCCACCGTATAAGGAGCTTGACTTGAGTAGACTGAAAGTCTTGGTGGCTGGAGAATGATGCTGTTACAGGTAACAGAGCTCTTTGACGTGCTAAAGAGGCACTGAAGCACCTGTCAGTGAATAGAGGAATGTACCTGTCAGTCTTTGGTGCATCTGTCTTTAGGAGACAGGATGTCGGTAGTAGCTGCATGGGGACTTGCTTGTGCTTGTTCGAGAGGGATAGTGAGCTTGCCGTTTTGTACGGTATGTTTTTGTGTGTCTGTATTTGGGTTGTCTGTGAACCTGTGTGCATATTTGTATCGCTCAGTTACCTTCGCTGAAATGTCTTGACTGAGAGATCTGCGCAACAAGATTGAGACAAGTTAGTGAACTGACTACACTGGACAGCGACATATACCAACATAACACTACTTGCCCACTGCGCTTCTCGTATATCTAGAGCCCAGTGGCAAATGCCATGCCATTCCTATCATCACCCATCCCACCCTTATCCAAACACCATTTACCACACTCCCCCTGACAATAAACAACCTCCATAGGGTAGTCACCCTGAAAATGCCTCTAGTTATACTCCAGCCGTGCTTTACAGAACGCCATCCCCCCACGCGTCCTCCTCACTGAGAATGCGGACTTTGAGGGAGCCGCCGTTGCGGCCCGGCACCTGGAAGCACGGGGGAAAGGGGGGGGAGGGAGGGGGGGGGGGGGAAGGGAGGGGGGAAACAAAGTAGATAGAAAGGAGAGTCCTTGAATAGGCTTAGAAACACATCTGGCATACAGTAAAGTAATGCAGCTGCTGTTTCCAGTGGGCAAAGTTGGAGAGGGAGGTGGAATATTGGGGGGAGGGGAAGGGGGGGATACGCAGCGGGTAGGAAAATGCAGTTTGCAGCGGGCAAAAGCAGCTGACAGTGTATTCGCAGCTCACCGGGCAAATGCAGCTGCGGATGAGGTCGGAACCACCCATGGCACGGTACCCTGCCTGCACACACACATCCATGGTTGATTTGCAGGCACATGGGAGAGACAGGTCAGCAGACCGTTTGGCATGTATTCAGCATTCTAACAGTTGTGGTCGGGACCACCCGTGGCACGAAACCCCGCCTGCACACATGCATGGTTGAGATGTGGCAAACAGGAATGAAAAATCATAGGTCGTATCAGCATGTGTCTCAAAGGCATGGCACGACATGCGTACAAGCGAATTTGAACCTTGTGAGGTAACGACCGTGACTAGTCCTCTAAACGAAAAACCACTGGTCCTATCAGCAAGTTCATTAGAGATGTGGCGTGACATAAGCGTGCAAGCGTTTTGAGCCAAGTGAGGCTACGACTGATGAACTGCCATGCAATCGGGTACTCACCTCACTTGCGCCTCCCTCCACCTCCATCTCGCAGTGGCAGCACGTCCCCTCGAAGCAGAATTCCTGGCATAGGGGAGGGGTTGAGGGGGGAGTTTTAAGATGTATCAGATTAAATATTTCAGCAACAGAAGGTTCTTTCAAAGCATGATTCTTACACGGTGGGGAGGGAGGGGCACGTGGGAGGAGAGAAGATCCTTTCCTTCTGATGTCTCAGCCAAAGGCGTGCAGTGGTAGAACTACTGTAGCACTATGAAGGGGTACCTCAGAGGGTTTCATGGCGCCACATCTCTCGGCCAGATGCAGCAGGTTCTCGCCCTCCCTTGACTCCACTGTGATCTGCCGTGGAGGGAAAGGCAGATGTAGCCCAGACTTAGGCTTTTCTGATCGCTTCTAGAAGCGCTGACAAAGTGCTCTCGGCCAGATGCAGCAGGTTCTCTCCCTCCCTTGACTCCACTGTGATCTGCCGTGGAGGGAAAGGCAGATGTAGCCCAGACTTAGGCTTTTCTGATCGATTCTAGAAGCGCTGACAAAGTGCTCTCGGCCAGATGCAGAAGGTTCTCTCCCTCCCTTGACTCCACTGTGATCTGCCGTGGAGGGAAAGGCAGATGTAGCCCAGACTTAGGCTTTTCTGATCGCTTCTAGAAGCGCTGACAAAGTGCTCTCGGCCAGATGCAGCAGGTTCTCTCCCTCCCTTGACTCCACTGTGATCTGCCGTGAATGCCACGGGTGGTACAGGGTGTGGCATGCAGGAGCAGTGGATTGAGTATACACTTGCTGGTAGGTGCAAGAAGAGGCATTTTTAGGCTGGCCTTTACCAGGGCCTTGACTTACGGCTGCATTATTTCAAACAAGAAACCGAGCTTGCAACGTGTAACATCCAACGTTTGTGATCCGAGCTTGGACGTACAGTTTCAAATCCAAGGTCAAACTCCACAGTGATTGGATTTTGTAGTCGATACGGTCTCTGAGGCCCCTCAGAGCCTCCAATATCGCCTCACAATTGAGTCTCACCGAGCTTCGCTATCTTAAGCTTACAGTTTCAGATCCAAGGTCGAACTCCACAGTGATTGGATTCCCGTTCTCGATCCTGGAGCAGCATGTCACGCATGCACATGCACAGGCAGGCATACATACATGCACGCATCAGAGTGCATAGATGATACACACATGAGACACACACGAAACGTGCATGAGCCATAAATGAAACATTCACACACAGACACATGCACACGCACGCACGAGAGCGACACACGGACAACTGTAAAAATGACCTGGTCCGACAGTACCTCTTAAACCGTTTGACACTACTCAGGATGTGACATAAGAACAGGCGAGGTTCAAGACATAAAAAGAGCTGCAAGAAAAGTCGAGGTGGAGCAAGGTTGAGAGCAGCAGCAGCGGTACTTGGGCCCGTAGTATGTGCCGGGTGCAGCTCCTTCTTGCAACCGCTTCACCCCCACAGCCCCCGCCTTGGGGCTCGTGAACGTGCTGTCCCCGCCTGACAGGAACGGAAAGGAGAGGTGGAGGAAGGGGAGGGGATAAGGAGGTGGTGGGTGGGATACGATTAGACGTTTTTTACTTTGTTGGTAGACTTCTCCTGGCCATCACAGAGACAAGGAAAGGCCTTAGTAAGCTTTCAATAATGGCTATATACTTCTGTAAGACTCTTAAAAGAAGTTTCGTAACATTCAAGTGTATACACTGGTCGACACTGTTTCTAAATGTCATCGAGTTCCAGCTTCAGTTCTCAACGCATGTAAATATCATCGTTCCTGCGTCTTGTCAAATCGCAACCAGCTAAGTCAGATACAATGCAGGGGATAAAATCCAAAAACTAACAAAGAAAAGCCACGCTCACCGGCTTGAGCAGTAACTGCTCGTCTCCTCGGTCTGAGTTGATCGCGACTCAAGCGACTGCTGGCCAGAGCCGTGGCCACGGGGAGCGAAAAATGAAGGGTCGCCATCAGGAGGATCAGCGACCGCAAGCGAAGTCAAGTTAAGTCAAGCGATGGCGAGAAAGGCAGTCTACTATATTGTTGACGTCTTTGCTGCTGACAGCTTTGCTGCTGCTGACAGCTTTGCTGCTGACGGCTTTGCTGCTGGCGTTTCTCGCAGCAGACGGTGTCTGCTTTTGGTGTGCTGGGTGTTCTTGAGGGCGTGTCCAGCGCGTACATTTACAGTTCATTAACCCATTCAGTTACCACATTTCCTATTGTAACACTGCATTTTACAAAAAGGTTGGACACGATCAGCTTCCGTTCACAAGACGGCACGCCCGCTGCGCGTACGACGAATCGTCTAACACACGTTACTGGAATCAGTGTGCGCGCGAACAAGGGTACAGCGTTGCGTCCTGCCCGCTACAGTAATTTTCGTTCAAGCGTGGAATTTTCGCTTGTGCGTGAATTTCTGTGCGATGATAGACGAGGCAACCAGTTACCTCGTTTTCCACGAACTGTAGAAATTTGTGTGCAGAGGGTTGTGTCCGCGCGCTGGAAGGCCCAAGCCTTCGGACTCAACTCACCTTATATTCGTTTTTTGGTACAGTGAGATTTTTTGAGCCGGGAAACGTGTGAAGGTACTAATATTCCCAAAATGTACGCGCTGGACACGCCCTGAGAAAGGCATTTGTGCGAATGGATCAGGCACGTGGCATTCCCTGGGTTCAGGCAAATGTTCAGGAAAGGATTAGGACGCGTCAGCTGAAGCGGATCGATCGGCTAGAAGATCGGTTTTGCGCCCGGGGTGTAGCGCTGTAGCTTCGTAATCAACAAGGTAACAAACTTTCGCCAGCGTTGACGAATGTACAGGACAAATGTGCCCACGACCCTGTCACCTACGGGAGCCTCGATGGATTTAGCGAAGTGCATACATCGATCGTGAGATTGGTTGGCCCAGTGTGGAATTTCGCGCCACGAGTAACAGTCAAGATTGATCATCTTCGCTCGTAGTTGCACTGTAACTGCACGACATCGCAAAGAGTGCGTTTTGTTTAGCGAACTGTGCACGACAACAGAGCTGTTTTCGCAGGCTGGGTGTACCACAACCTCAAAACCTGCCTTACCGAACCTGTCACCTGTATATCGGTGCGCGGTAGTTGCGCAGCCATGGGCACCGATCTCTGCCAAGCCTGGGCTCGAAATGACGATTGGTGCGGTTCGGCCGATCTTCGGCCGAACCGCTTCAGGTGACGCGTCTAGTTTTGATATTCACTGGGCTTGCACTTTCGAGTGTACGTTCCGATCAATGTACAGTGGGTTTCTGCAAACAAGCCTATGTTGCACTCTTAATATGAGAGTGCACGTGACACATTCCTTCATCCACAAGTCACTAGAGGCAAAACACATTATTGTATGTGAAAACATCTCACATGACGTGGTTCTTGGGAATGTTTGCGATGTGGTATTTAGGTGAGCCTACGTGTTTGTGCCCTTGGGGATTTTTCAAACCATGTTACATATCCACTAGACTAGTATAGAAGTGTATTGTACAACATCTCAAGCCATGCATGAGTCACTCCACCTTCACACCAATGCCGGCAATCATCACGTGTGGATGAACTCATCCCTCCTGCACATAGCAACACAAAACCAATGAGCCACCCACATTGACGCAAATCACACACACAGCAACAAATAGTTTTGTCCGCGAAAAGCTCCTCTCAAACTGAGTTGGACCAGTACTATGTTCCACGAGCGGGCCTCACCTGGATCCATCCAATTTTGTATGTGTCCATCCGGTCGAGAGTCGCTCATAGGCCCCACATCCAAGTATTGAATAGGAGACCCGGACAGCACCCGCCTCTCCACCTCTCTAAACCCCTCCACACTGGTGTCTCCTTGACGAATCTCTTGCAACGGCAATGCAGGAATGGCAGAAACTTAAAGGTTTGATTAGTGATGGCTCAGTGTTACTATTCATTGCAGAATAGCATAATGTGCACATGTCCCATCAACACCCGCACTCCCTCAACTCCACACACCTTACCCGCTGACTTCCATTTCCTACACCTCACCTGCAGCCACGTCAGCTTCTGGTTGACCTGGCACGATCACCCAGGGACACCTGGCAGGGGCAGGTCATAGTGCGTGGGGGACGTCCCCAGCAGCACAGCCGTGCCCTTGAACGCGCGCTCCTGCGCCCTCTCTACAAAGGATTTCAGTGTCTGCAGGGCGATTTCGTAGGCCTCTGTGATGGTTACCGTAGTTAACTCGGTGTCTCCTATAAAGTACTTGTTTGCGCGAGAGGTCCACCAGTTGGTCGCCTGGAAAACGACAAGGTCTGCAGCAGGCATGAGATTCACAATGTCGTCCTGTAGCTGGTCCAGGTTGACTCGCGATCCGAAGTAGGGCGAGGGGGAGGAGGAGGTTGAAGGGACAGCGGTGGCGTTGCTGAGGAAGTTGGATGTGACTGCAGCGACGCGGATGTTGTACCGCTGTATCTGACGGGGTTGGCCGGTGGGGTGGGTGGTGGGTGGTGGGGTAGGTGGGGTGGGTGGGGTGGGTGGGAAAAGGGTTAAGTAGTAACGTTAGTGTGTCTCACCTGCCCATGTCAGAGAAATGTGCGACCCATGTCGTGTGCGACGCTCCCCCTGCTCTCAAACTGGAACCGTTCTGTCAGGTTCCAACTGGACGAGTGCAGCACGCACATCACCGACGTCGCGAAGTTGGTGCTGCTTCTGAGAATTCTCGAAAGCAACACCTGCATGCCGTGTGTGTGCGACTCACCTGCATGCCGTGTGCGACCCACCTGCATGCCGTGTGTGTGCGACCCACCTGCATGCCGTGTGCGACACTCCCCCGACTCTCAAACTGGAACCGTTCCGTCAGGTTCCAACTGGACGAGTGCAGCACGCACATCACCGACGCCGCAAAGTTCTTCGCCACGCTGTCGCCAATCACGAGAACGAACTTGTCGCGAAGCTGGTTACGCAGTAACTTGGGAGTCATTCGCCGAGTCTTACATGTATGAGGCTGGAAAGCAGGGAGAAAGGGAAACGACGAAGATTAAAACTGATCAATCCACAAGCCGGCACGAGTCCTCCACAATCTTTTGAGATCTCAAAAGCCCTCACAATACCGCATCTTTCCAGCCATATCGAATGAGGAAGTGAAACGAAAGGAGGGGCAGTGTAACGCGTACCCGCCATTTGAGTTTCTGAAACGACATGTCGAGCCGACCGTTCTTCTCGCAGTTCTGACCGGATCGAACGTACGGGCAGTTCATTCCCGTGTAGAGCGGAAGGTTCCTCCCGCCCACCCACTCCCCGCTGGTGATGTCGCATCCCCACTTCGAGTCACTGGTTTGTGAGCCTTTGGGGGGGAGAAAAGCAGAATTGAGTTAGAGCGAGAAACAGGATGATTGCTGCGCAGTTGATACCCGTGTAGAGCGGAAGGTTTCCCCCGCCCACCCACTCCCCGCTGGTGATGTCGCATCCCCACTTCGAGTCACTGGTTTGTGAGCCTTTGGGGGGGAGAAAAGCAGAATTGAGTTAGAGCGAGAAACAGGATGATTGCTGCGCAGTTGATACCCGTGTAGAGCGGAAGGTTTCCCCCGCCCACCCACTCCCCGCTGGTGATGTCGCATCCCCACTTCGAGTCACTGGTTTGTGAGCCTTTGGGGGGGAGAAAAGCAGAATTGAGTTAGAGCGAGAAACAGGATGATTGCTGCGCAGTTGATACCCGTGTAGAGCGGAAAGTTTCCCCCGCCCACCCACTCCCCACTGGTGATGTCGCACCCCCACTTCGATCCACTGGTTTGTGAGCCTTTGGCGGGAGAAAAGCAATCAGGAAAAGATGGCTGGACAATTGATCCTTGAGATGTTTTTCACGCAATGGAGGGCGAGGAAAGGAGAGGTAGGGAGTGGCTGCACGGCACGGAGGGGAGGAAGGGTGTTAGTGAGAAATGGAGGGGAAGGGAGTGGCGGGTGGGTTTTGAGAATTTCTCCTTCTTACCCAACCGCCATTGGCGGTACTAGTAACGAGCCTTTCCCCCCTTTTTCCCCTCCCATCCAAATAGATGCCGGGAGATAAAGCGGTCGAGAGTTAACCAAGGACGGAGTACTAGACTTCCGTGAGTCATTAAGAATGTCATGTGAATTTATCCGAGGGAATATACTCACTCGCCATAGACCAGGGAAACCATGATGAGGCAGTTGCGTGAGCTGCCAAATCGAGCAACAGTGCGGCTGCGAGAAGCACGAGCCGTCGTTGGCAGTTTCTAATGCCCCGCGCGTTATTTCCCATAGCTGAATAGTCAGTGTGGTTGCCAGGTACGAGGTGTTGTGATATTATAAGGATAGATGTTCACGTCTAGGTTCTTGTTTACCAGAGCAGTGGAAGCGAAGTGTGAAGCTGAAGCGAAATTTGTTGGTGAACGAGGCGCGATTTCTTTCTCCTTGTGATGTGGTTGACGGTGGGAGGGGGAAGGTGCATCCATAGGGGCGAGGTTCCGTAAGTTTTTGAACGGTTACGAGCGATGCAATCCAGTTCTTGACAGCGACTCGACCAGCTGAAGAAGGCTGGCTTGTCTGCAAATTTGCAGCAGTGCGAGGGTGGGCGAGGTACTTCAATCTCCAGATGTAACAGCCACCCAGAAAGTTCCACTTTAAGCTTTACCGACGCACCATCAAACGAGTCATACTGTCAGAAAAGCGCGGCAAGCTGCTGACAGGCAGAATTGACTGCCAAGTTCCAAGCACCTGTGACGATAGCACCGTCCACGTGACAGTCCTTCCCCTGCGCAAAAATTCACGAAGACGTGGTTACGGACTGACACAATCCCTGATCCCATGATCCTGCTTTCTTCAACGAAACTCTGGCGGAAATGTTGATCCATCAGGCATCCGTGGCACAAATCCATTTCCGCAAGAGGGTGGACTGTGGAAGTGCAGATTGAAAGCCTGGAGCCAGCCGAAGATCTCTAGGGTTTGCTGAGTTTCAGATTCCCTAGAGTTGAGATTTCTCCTCATCAGCGCCATTGTCAACCCTAGACAAGTAGCTCTGACATGTATCTTAATAAGCATTTTTGTACCTGGTTCTCTTGTAACACATCTGGAGGCTTAGTTAATGGTCTTACTTGTCAGCGGTTTCTGTTGATCTGAAGCAGATCCCGCCATGGATCAGATTCAGTATTCGGCGTTCTCGCCAATATCAGCAACCGCTACTCGTCTCACTTTCGACAACATTCCTCTTAACTCTCCTCAACACAACGGTCCGAAGTCTTCCAAGAAAAATGCCACGCCAAAGGCTCCTGACACGTCAACCGCACCTGGAAGCATCGCCAGACGCAGAAACAGCACACCAGGCTTCACTTCCGCCGACGGTGCCGATATCGTCACCGTCGATGGTAACCCCATTTCGCGAGCCAATCCGTCGCCAGCCTTGGCGAAAGATGCATTGGCTGCCATCGCAGCAGCGTCCCTGAAGCCGGCTCCTCCCAGGTCTGCAGCAAGGCAGAGCCGAGCCATTGTTCCGGTTGCGGAGACGAGGCTGGAAGAGGAGGAGCAAGTCTGGCAGCGATACCGGGAGTCAGGGTTGGATGAGGTTGCGGTTCTGCGGAAAGAGCGGGACGCATTTATGGAGAAGGCGAACTCGCTGGATCAAGAGGTAAGAGGAGCGCTTCTATTTGACTCCTGGAGAAACTGGAAATTATAAGATTTTGTAATCTGTTGGTTTTGCGTTCCTGGGTGAATCTCGTATGTGTCCTCCGATTAACATGTCATTGTTGAGTGATTTATCGTTGTTTTTTATCATGTCATTAACATGTCATTGTTACTTATCTGCGCTATTTAATTGTTTATGCATTCATTCATTTATTATTTTTGGCAGCTCTACGAGTACCAGTACAACATGGGTCTGTTACTGATGGAGCGGCAGAAGTGGCTACCCAAGTACGAGGATGCGCGAGCGGCGCTGGAGGAGGCGGAAGCGGAGCTGCAGCGCGAGGCGACGGCGCACAGGGTCGCTCTGGCGGAGGCGAAGGAGCGGGAGAAGGCCCTACAAGACGCGCTCGCCATCGAACAGGACTGCGTTGCAAGCGTACGCATTCTCGTCCCTTTTCGTCGCGTCGCTTCTCTCCGTCTGCTTCCCTCGTGGCTCTCTCCGTCCTTGTTTTTCGTGCGCTTCCGCGCTCTTTGTCGTTATGCAGCAAGATCGATGTCATAATGTTAGACAATGCCGTTTCGATGCCGTCGACGTCGGGCGACGCCTCATCTGTTTCCACTTCCACTGAAGCTTGACCAATTTGTGAAATGTTAAAGAGAGAAATGATATCAAAGTTCCCCTGCATTGCGGGGAAATATAAAAAAGCTCCTGCGGTGTCTCGTTCCCACTGCAGATGGAACGAGCCGTGAAGGAGCTGCAGGTGGAGGTGGAGGAGACGAAGAAGCACGCGCGCACGGCGCTGGACGAGGCGAACGCCACCATGGCTGCCGCGGAAAAGAAGCTGCAGGCGACGGAGGCGGCTAGCCGTCAGGTGGAGGGGAGCAGGAGCGAGGCGAGCAGGCGGATTGCGGAGGCGGAGCGGAAGCAGCAGGAGCTGGAGGCCAGGGAGGCGAATGGCCGGCGCGAAGTCCAGGGGGAGAAGGACAGGTGAGAGTGGAAGATTCATCGGGGATTCTTGTGAAAATGGCGCTTTCTTCTCGATTAGAGTGAACTACTGTCTGGCTTTAGGATGCTCGTTTCGCAGGCTCCTTGTTTAGTTCTGTTTTGAATTCCACACGCTTAATACATTCTGATCTGATTGACCGTATTGACTTATGAATGGTGTGTGCTCCGTTCAATGGCTTGTGGCGTTTTCAGGCTTGAGGCCAAGGCGCGGGAGTTGGAGGCTCAGAAGGGGTCACTGAGTGACTGGGAGGAAAAGTTGAAGCAACGCAATGCCAAGATACTGGAGGTAGGAAGCTTAACGTTTTTGCATTTGGGGTGGGACGGGGAATGTCTGGCAGTTAAGGGTGTCTTCTTGACGTGTAGTGTGGTTTTGTTCACACGCTTTTGGAAGTGACGGCTCCTGGCAACTGCTTCACGTGCGTGCGTGCGTGTGCTTGTGTGTATGGGTGTGTGTGTGTGTATCTGTGTGTTTGCGTGCGCGTATGTGTGTGTCTGTGTGTGTGGGAAGGAGGGGAGGGAAGGGGGGGGGGGGGGGGGAGGGAGAAGGGTGGGTGGGTGGGGGGGGAAGGGGTGGTGGGTGGGTGGGTGTGCGTGTGTGCGTGCGTGTGTTTGTCTGGTGTGGTTATGGGCGCGCAGAGTGAGAAGATGCTGGATATACGGGAGGCGCGCATAGCATCAGCGATGGACGTGCTGAAGGCCGCGGAGCAGCAGGCGGAGGCGCGCAAGGCGGCGCTGCAGGAGGAGGCGCGGCGGCTGGAGGGCGTGCGGGAGCAGGCGCGGGAGGCGGAGGAGCGCGCGCGGAGGGAGGCGCAGGCGGTGGCGGAGGGGAAGGTGGCGCTGGCGAAGCGGGAGGGCGAGCTGGCGGTGCAGGAGGATTTGCTGGTGGCGCGCGAACAGGTATGCTGTCGTTGACTAAGATAACGGGTGGATTTGGCAAAAGGGTGGGGCTGGCACAGGGGTTGGTTTGGCAGAGGGGTGGGTTTGGTGCTGGGGTGGGTTCGGCACTGGGGTGGGTTTGGCTCAAGGGTGGCTTTTGAGGCTTCTTGGTGGGGATCCTTTCGTTTCCTGCATGTGCTGTGCTCATAATCTTCTGTATCCTGTTGGTTGCTCTGTGCCCCATACCCGCTGTAATATCTTCGTGTGCCTCGTCTCGCCTCCACTGTGTCTCTTCCTCTGCTTTGCTTCTCTCGCTGATTTCTTTCCCCTGCCCCAATCCCTTGTCCTTCTCCCTTGTCCCCATTCCTTGTCCCTCTCCCTTGTTCTTCCTCCTTGTCCTCATCCCTTTTCCCCCTCCTCTGTCCCTTCTCCCTTGTCCCCGTTCCTTGTCCTCATCCCTTTTCCCCCTCCCTTTTCCCCCTCCCTTGTCACCCTTCCTTGTCCGTCTCCCTCGCCGCTCTGCCTTGCCCTTGCGCGTGTGTGGTCTGCACCAGGACGCGGTGGCACGGGAGATGCGCGGCAAGGAGGCGGAGCTGCGCGTGGCGACTCTTGAGACGTCTCAAAAGTCCCTTGTCCCTCTCCCTTTACTCTCCCGGTGTCTCTCGCCGCCCTCCCTTGCCCGTGTGTGCACCAGGACGCGGTGGCGCGGGAGATGCGCAGCAAGGAGGCGGAGCTGCGCGTGGCGAGCGAGCAGGAGAGGGTGCGCGAGTGGGAGGAGAGCCTGCGCAAGCGGCAATCCGCGCTGGACGATCTCAAGGCCAAGCTGGTGAGATTTGAGAAGGGAGAAACATCTCGTTGTCGCTGTAGCTTCTGAGAAATTTCACAAGGTACTGGTGAGAGTTCTCCAGAGTTACTCCAATATGGCAAGCCGTTCTGGACGATTCCAAAGGCAGGGTGGTGGGATTGAAGTGTGAGAGCATCCAGCTTGACTTAAATTGTGTGACTGCGTGTGCCTCTCTCTGTTTGTTCTGTGTGCTGCTGTACTCTTTTGCGAGCAGGCGAGCGAGAAGAAGGGGCTGGACGAGGTGGAAGCGTCGCTGAGCAGTGGGCGCGCGCAGCTGGAGGAGATGCAGGCGGAGCTGCAAGCCAAGGAGCGCGCACTGCTGGTGAGATAGAGAAGAGAGTTGGCAATTTCCCAAATACTCTCAAAAATCGCTTTCAGGGAGTTAGACATTTTTTCAACTTCCTTCACTGAGCCTTCGGAGTGGCGGGAGATAAGGACGCTGCTTAATTGTCTCGCGCGCTTCACTTGCTGACCTGTTCTTGACGTATGCTGCCTTGCAGGCGGAGCGGGAGAGGGTGCAGGCGCAGGAGAACGAGGTTGAAGGGCTGCGCGCGCAGGTGGCGCAGAAGGAGGAGCTGGTGGAGCAGCGCGAGCAGGGCGCGCAGAGGCGCGCGGAGAGGGCTGCGGAGCGCATGGCGGAGGCGGAGGCGCTGGTGCTGCAGGCGGCGAGCAGGGAGAGGGAGGTGGAGCAGAGGCAGGCGCAACTGGACAGGGATGCGAGGCGGTGAGTTTTCAAATGGAGGGACGGGCGAAGGGGGCAACGTGGGAAGGAAGGGTGGGGAAGGGAGGGAGTGGCGGAGGGGGAAAGGAAGGTGGACAAAACGAGGGGGTGCTTTGGGTTCGGGATGCGGGAAGTGTGAAGGGTTGGGGATTTGTTGTCTGGTTGTGCGTTGAAGCTTGACTTGACGTTGCACCCACCGTTTTTTCCCATGGCTGGTGTCTCATGCTTTATGTTTCTTTATGTTTCTTGCTTGTTTCTTGGACTGCACTGGTTTGTTGGTTGGCAGGTTGGAAATGGTGAGAGCGGAGGCGGACGCAGAGAAGCAGCAGCTGGAGGATCTTCGGGAGAGAGTTCGCTCCGAGCGGGCTGAATCAGAGGCGGAGAAGCGGCAAGCAGCAGCTGCTCTGGCTAAAGCGGAGCAGACTATAGCGGAGTCGGGGGTCAAGCGGGAGGCAGCGCAGGCGGAAATGAAGCGGGCGCAGGAGCGACTTGAGGAGGCGGAGAGGCGCGTGCAGGAGCTGAGAGCGGAGAAGGAGAGGTTTGAGAAGGAATGGGAGGTGCTGGATGGGCAGAGGGAGGAGGTGGAGGAGATGAAGGTAGAAGTTGAGAAACTGAGGGAGAAAGCACTAGCTGACGTGCAGAAGGAGAGGGAGGAGGTGAGGAGGAAAGAGAGGGAGGTTGAAGCGAGGTTGGAGAAAGGGAGAGAGGAGTTGGAGGAGGAGAGGAGAGGGATTGCGGAGGAGTGGAGGCGGAAGGGAGAGGAGGTTGAGGCGGAGAGGGAGGAGGTGACGAGGGAGCGGGAGAAGATGCGAGAGGAGAGAACGGCGTTGGAAGAAGCGGCTGCGGAGGTGGAAGGACAGAGAGAGGCGCTGAAGGTCGAGCGTGGTGAGCTGAGGAAGGAGATTGAAGAGAAGAAGACAGTGTTTGCGCAGCTGTCGCAGCAGCATGCGGCTCTGGAGCGGAAGGGGAAGGCGGTGAAAGCGGAAGAGGAGAAGGTGCGGGAGATGTTGGCAGCGGTGGAGAAGGGTCGGAAGGAGCTGGAGCAGGAGAAGGAAGGGTGGAAGGAGCAGCACCAGCAGATGCTGAGCGCCGTGCGGGCAGAGCGGGAAGGCGTGGAGGAGGAGAGGAAGCGAGTGGTAGCAGAGGCGCGGGAAGAGAGGGTGAGGCTGGGAGAGGAGGCGGAGGAGGTGGCGCGGGCGAGGAGGGAAGTTGACGAGGGCAGGCAGCAGGTGGAGAGGGAGATGGAAGAGCTAGCTTTCCAGAGAGCTGCGTTACAGTCAGAGGAGGTTGAGCTTGGAAGCAGGCTCGAGGACGTGAGCGCGCGGGAATCGGCTCTTGAAGCGGCGGCTGAGGAGCTGAAGGGGAGAGAGGCGGCTGTAGCGGCACGGATGGGTGAAGTAGAGGTGGCACTCGCGGCTGTAGCGGGGAGGGAGGAGGAGGTGGTTCGGGCGCGGGAGGGGCTTGTGAGGGAGAGGGAGAGGATGGAAGCAGAGGTGGAGCAGCAGAAGAGAGTGGTGGAGATGGAACGGGAAGGAGTGGAGATGGAAAAGCAGGAGGTTGCGGGGAGGGGAGAGGCGGAGAGGGAGAAGGTTCGGATTGAGAGGGAGGCAGTGGGGAAAGAGAGGGAGCAGGTGGAGCGTGAGGCTGAGGAGGTCAAAAAGGCTCTGGCTGAGGTTCACAGGCAGAGGGGGTTGCTGGGAGAGGAGAGGGAAGCTGCCAGGGCAGAAGCAGCCGAGCATCGGGCAGCGATAAAATCTCTTGTGGAGGAACGGGCAGCTGCGGAGAGGGGCGCAAAGGAGGCGAGGAACGCGTGGGAGAAAGCCAAGGGGGAGATGGACGCCCTGGAGGCGGAGAGGAAGGAGGTGCTGCAGGAGAGAGCGCGGCTGGATGAAGAGAGGAAAGACTTTGTTAAGAAGATCGCTTTGGAGAGGGAGAGTGTGGCAGTGGATAGGAAACTGGCGTTGGAGAAGGTTGAGAGAGATTCCGGTGGGGTGAAGCGGGATAGAGAGTCTCTGGCGAAAGAGAGAGCGGCGCTGCTGAAGGAGCGGGAGAGGGTGGAGAAGGAGAAGGAGGGCGTGCAGAAGAAGCTGCTAGAGGTTCGGGTGGAGCGGGAGAAGGCCCGGGAGGAGCGGACGAGCACACGGCAGGAGCTGGCGGAGAGCCGAGCAGAGAGAGTGAAGCTGGGACAGCAGAAGGCTGAGTTAGAGCGGGAGATTAAGGCGCTGCAGGCTGAGAAGACGGAGGTGCAAGGCGAGAGGGTGAAGGCGGATCGAGCAAGAGAGGAGCTGGAGAGGCTGCGGGAGGGGCTGGTTGCTGAACGGGCGGAAGTGACTGCTGCTTTGGGGAGGCTGGATAGGGAGCGGTTGGATGTGGCGGCTCTTGCAAGGCGAGAGAGGGAGGCCGTGGAGAAAGAGAAGGCTGCTGCTGAGGCGAAGATTGAGAAGGAGAGTGCGAGGCTGGTGAGAGAGAGAGGTGTTCTTGGGAAGGAGAGGGAGGCGGTTGGGAGAGAGAAGGAAGAGGTGGTGGGAGCGAGGGAGGAGGTGAGGGCGGAAAGGGTTGCTTTGGCGGGGGAGAGACGGGAGCTGAAGAAGGAACAGGCGGATGCCAAGGCTGCTGCTGCTGAGCTGAAGGCAGCTAGGGCTGCGGCAGAGAGGGAAGCGGAGGGGGCGAGAGTGGCTGCTGCTCGGGCGAGGGCGGAGCAGGAAGCAGCAGTGAAGGCTGAGGAGAGCGTAGCTGCAGAGAGGGAGAAGCTTGGTGTTGCAGCGAGTGAATTGGAGAAGGAGAAGGAGCTTCTGGAGAAGATGCGATCCGCTGCTGCTGCTGAGCGGGCGGAACTGGCTGCTGAACGCGCAGGGAATGAGGGGCTGCTGAGGAAGATTGAGCAGGAGAGGGAGGTGGCGAGGCAGGAGCGGGAGAAGGAGAGGAGGGAGATCGGAGAGAGGATTGCGGAGCTTGAAGGGCTGGAGAAGCAGCAGGCGGAGGCGATCCAGGCGTCGAGGAACATTCAGGAGCAGCGGGCGCATCTGAGGGAGGAGATGGAGGAGTTGGAGAGGGAGAGGGCGCGGCTGAGGGTGGAGGAGGCGAAGGTGAGAGAGGGTGGGAGGGAGCTGCTGAGTGAGCGGGAGAAGCAGAGGGCTGCGCTGGAGAAGGAGAGGGACGAGGCTGCTGCGGCCCAGGCTGCCCGTGCTGCTGCGGAGGCTGATAGGCTCGCAGAGAGGATCGCGGAGTTTGAAGCGAGGATGGAAGAGGAGAAGGCGAAGCTGCGGCGGATGAGGGAGGCGGTGGAGGAGAAGCGGGTTGGGGTGGAGGAGGAGAGGGCGAGGATTGAAGGCGAGCGGGAGGAGCTGAGAAGGCAGAGAGAGGAGATGGTGGCAAAGAGAGTGGAGCTTAAGAAGGAGATCGCGGAGAAAGAAGCAGAGGTGTTGCAGGTGGAGCAGCTGAGAAGGCGGCAGGAGAGAGAGCTGAGGGAGCTGGAGAAGCAGCGGGCCAAGGTGAAGGAAGAGAGGGAGGAGGTGGAGCGGCAGAATCTGGAGTTGGTGTCTCGCAGGGCGAAGGCAGAGGAGGAGGTGGCGACGACGCTGGCAGGGATTGAGTCGGAGAGGGCTGCTGCGGAGAAGGAGCGACAGGAGAAGGAGCGGGATCTTATGGCCCGGTCTCAAAGGCTGGATGAGGAGCAGAGGCGGCGACGGGAGGAGTGGGAAGCTCTGGTGGAAGAGGAGAAGAAGAAGATGGAGAGGGAGAGAGAGGCGGTTGGTAGAGACAGGGCGGATACACAGAGGCACTGGGACGATGTGCAGAAGATGATTCAGGAGCTGCACCAGCAACGGCGACAGCTGAAGGAGGAGAAGGAGGCGGGGAGGCGGACGGAGAGTGCGGAGCGGAGGCTGTCGGGGGGGTCGAGCTGGATTGCTGGCGGGCATGACTTGGCGGAGCAGCTGCGGTTCGCGAGGGAGAGGCTGAATGAGGAGCGGGAGGATTTCGAGATGGAGAAGAAGGAGCTCGAGGTGCGAACGGCTGTTCTCAAGCTTGGGGTTCTCCCTGATTGTTGTTGTTGGTTTTTTTTTTTGTTTTTTTGTTTGTTTTTTGTTTCTTTTTGTTTTTGTTTTTCCTGCCCTTCAAGGCAAGCTTGTGCATCAACAGATCTTCCATGCATGATTATATTCGGCCCTGCCTCACCCCACCCCACCCCACCCCACCCCACCCCACCCCAAACCACTTTCTTTAACCCATCCCACCGCATGTGATCCGCCTTTTATGTGGAGCAGGCTCAGCGTCGGTCAGTGGAGATGGAGAGAGAGGGCATGGCACGGGAGGCCGAACGGCTCCGAGTGCTCAAGTCTGAACTCGCCACCATGGAGAGCTCTCTGCTCGCCTCTCCTGGCCAGGCTCAGGCGAAATCTCAGGTGCCAGCAACAGAGGCAGCCACAGCGGTAGCTGTTGCAGCAGCAGTTGCTGTGGCAGAAGAGGCAGCGGAGGCAGCAGCAGCAGCAGCAGATCGAGAGGGGGGCTTGTTTGCAACTCCTGGAAGGGAAACCGGGGCCAAGTCCGCTGTGTTTTCTACTCCTACCTCTGCAATTGTTGCTGCCAAGGCAGGTGCAGCAGGTGCCACAGATGCCGCTGCTCTTGCTGCTGTGCCCATGACCGAACCTCCGAAGCCGCGTCGAAACTGGGCATTGGAGCAATGCAGGAAGACAGCATTTGGCCTAGCTAGTCTGTGGGGCGGTGGTGGTGGTGGTGCTGCTGGTGGTAGCAAGTCCCTTGGTGATGCAGATCCTTCGGGTATGGATGAGGAGAGGGACGCGGGGAAGGAAGGCGAGGAGGGAGAGAAGGACGATGGGGAGGGTGTTCCTGATGCTGACACTGCTGATGGGTATGCGGATGGGGATGCTGCGGAGGAGGAGGATGAGGCATTCAGGGATGCAGAGGGAATGGAAGCTGAGGCAGAGGATGGTGCTGCTGGTGTAGCTGTCACTAGGGTGGTGGTTTCTGCTGCTGCTGCTGCTGCTGCTGTGGGGACTGCTGGGGAGGAGCAGGCGGATGGGGCCGGTGCTGGTGCTGGTGCTGGAGTGGCGGTAGGTGTGGTGGAGGTAGAAGCTCATCTGGCTGTAGCAGCTGTAGCAGGAACCCCCGCTGCAGCAACCGGTGCTACAGCTGCCCCCGGTGCTACAGCAGAACCTGCCACACCAGTCAGAGCGCCTGGGGGAAGCCAGACACCATCTGGGCTTATGAGGCGCAGAGGCAGGGCTGGAGAAGCGGACGGGGTTGCAGGAGAGGAGGTGGATAAGCCAGTGAGAAGGTCTGCTAGGAAAGCAACGTCGGGGTCCAAGGGTGTGAGTGCGGGAGGGGTGGTAGGGTCACCTACTAGTTCGGCTAGGAGTGGTGCAAGGAGAGGGAGGGGAGGGAGGAGGGGAGGCAGAGGGGGAGGGCGAGGAGGGAGAGGGGAGGCAAGTGGGGGGGCTTGGCCGTTGGAGGGTGAATCGGGGAGTATGGCGAGTGTGGATGAGGAGTGGAGGAGTAAGAAGAGGAGGCGTGGGGGTGAGGAGGAAGAGGGGGAGGAGGGGGAGGGGATGGAGGAGGAGGAAGGAGGGGAGGGGGAGGGTGGGGAAGAGGATGGGAATAGTGAGGCTGGGGAGATGGTGGATGGGGGAAGAGGGAGAGGGAGGGGACGCGGGCGGGGACGAGGGAGAGGGAGAGGGAAAGCTGCAAAGCTGAAGTAAGGGGGAGGAGCAAAGAATGGTGGGAAGCGATGGAGTGGTGTGTGCAGGTGGGGCAGGGGAAATGGGGGAGATGGGGGAATGGGTAAGGGGGAAAGGAAGGAATGGTGAGAGGGACGGATCGAGGGAGCAATGCAGGGAGGAGGGAGGAGGGGTCCAGGAGGATGGAACATACCTAACTCTGATGCACAGCCGAATCAGATGTGATGATCGATGTCATTTTCTGTAGGACGAGATCTCAGGCGTTAACTGGTTAAGAAGTCTTGGTAGCTTACCTAGGGATATTTGTCTGACAGCACTCCCCTTTGTTTGTAGCTAATTGCCTAATTGTTTTCCTGGTACTAGTTTAAGCTGGAACATGTTTACTTCCTCTTTATGCAATTAAACTCTTTTACTGCATGTGTAAGCGCTACTATCGCGGACATCGATTCCAGTGGCGCGCAAAATTGGCCGCTGTGTTCGATTCCGCATTACTTCTGCGAGGGACTGCCAGTTCGATTCAGCTGCTGCTCGTGTATCGTGAATTCACTTGTCATTTTTGTCCGTTGATTCCACTTGCTGTGTCTGACCTCCTACATCTCACACTCCTAGACGTGACCCCGGTCTCCAACTCGGCGCGCAATGGACGCGTTACAGCGACTCTTGTCGCCGTCGCTGCTCGAGGAAGTGAAAGCGTCGCTCTCCGCGCACCGCCCTTTAGCGGCTTTCGCGGCCATCGAGAGGAGCCTTCTTGAGGAGTCCGCGCACCGGCGAGTGTTCGACCAGGTGAAATGGGCTGCCATGCTAGCCTCGTTACAAGCCGCAACTGCCAGATTATAAGCCAACGGGTGTTCACGCTCGCTCGCCCTCTAATGCATTTTTCCTCCGCGCAAAGGGTAGCTCCGCTCACTTTAGGAAAAAGGGTCCCAGCACCCTAAATTAGTATTATTATTATTACTATTCTGGGCAGAACTCAACTCAGGTAACTTTGTACGGACTCACATTGTGATGTTTTTGCTTGCTTTGTGCAGCTGATCGCGCCGCTCACTGACCGCAACGGGCCTTGCGCCAAGGACAGCGCAGCATCGGGGGAGGCCAAGACCGCAGGGAGCCGCGTGTTTGGAGAGCAGCAATATGCCGAGGCTGTGGCCTGCTACAGCAAGGTGAGAGGCTGTGGCCTGCTACAGCAAGGTGAGAGGCTGTGACCTGCTACAGCAAGGTGAGAGGGTGTAGTTTTTTACAGTTCGAGACTTCTCAGAAACCCTACAGTCCTACATACGGCCTCCCTTTGGTTTGTGCTGGCTGCTTGCAGGCCCTTTAGTACGCGTTTCAAGGCGCGTTTGAGACTTCTCAGAAGCATTACAAGGCGCCTCAGAACAGGATTCATGAGCCTCACCATCTCCTTTGTGTTTTTTGTCTCGTTTGGGTTGTGCTGGCTGGCGCCTTCCAGGCCGTTCAGCACTCGCCTCTGCAGGTGCTTCAAGGACAGAATCCATGTGCCCTACCTTCCTTTCTGTGGTCCTCCTTCTCCCGTTTGTTTTCTGCCGGTTTGTGCCGGTTTGTGCCGGTTTGTGCCGGTTTGTGCCGGTTTGTGCCGGTTTGTGCCGGTTTGTGCCGGTTTGTGCCGGTTTGTGCCGGTTTGTGCCGGTTTGTGCCGGTTTGTGCCGGTTTGTGCCGGTTTGTGCCGGTTTGTGCCGGTTTGTGCCGGTTGTGCCGGTTTGTGCCGGTTTGTGCCGGTTTGTGCCGGTTTGTGCCGGTTTGTGCCGGTTTGTGCCGGTTTGTGCCGGTTTGTGCCGGTTTGTGCCGGTTTGTGCCGGTTTGTGCCGGTTTGTGCCGGTTTGTGCCGGTTTGTGCCGGTTTGTGCCGGTTTGTGCCGGTTTGTGCCGGTTTGTGCCGGTTTGTGCCGGTTTGTGCCGGTTTGTGCCGGTTTGTGCCGGTTTGTGCCGGTTTGTGCCGGTTTGTGCCGGTTTGTGCCGGTTTGTGCCGGTTTGTGCCGGTTTGTGCCGGTTTGTGCCGGGTTGTGCCGGTTTGTGCCGGTTTGTGCCGGTTTGTGCCGGTTTGTGCCGGTTGCGGTTTGTGCCGGTTTGTGCCGGTTTGTGCCGGTTTGTGCCGGTTTGTGCCGGTTTGTGCCGGTTTGTGCCGGTTTGTGCCGGTTTGTGCCGGTTTGTGCCGGTTTGTGCCGGTTTGTGCCGGTTTGTGCCGGTTTGTGCCGGTTTGTGCCGGTTTGTGCCGGTTTGTGCCGGTTTGTGCCGGTTTGTGCCGGTTTGTGCCGGTTTGTGCCGGTTTGTGCCGGTTTGTGCCGGTTTGTGCCGGTTTGTGCCGGTTTGTGCCGGTTTGTGCTGGCTCCATGCAGGCCCTCCAGTACGCGCCTCTGGATTCACCTGACCTGCTGGCAGTGCTCTTCACCAATCGTGCCACGTGTCTGCATGTGAGTGGCCCTTACTTGCCACGTGTCTGCATATGAGTTGTCCTTACTTGCCACGTGTCTGCATGTGTGTGGGCCTTACTTGCTACTTGTGTGCATGTGAGTGGTGCGTGTAATGTCTTTTGTTGCCGCCATTCTGTGTGCTCCACCTGCCAATTTGTCATGCATGCCCGTGTGTGTGTGTCCACTCATGTGCGTGTGTACAACCATTTCTGTATTCTATGATCTTCATATGATCTTCAGAGAATGGGACAACTAAGCGAAGCTGAGGAGGACGGCTCCCATGCCATCCACCTCTCGCCATCTTACTGCAAGGTGGATACGATACGTTGCCTTATTTATGACATGCCATGTCTCATGCCATGCTATATGCCACGACATGCCATATCACATTCCCATGCCACATCGCATGCCACACCATGTCTCACGCCCTAACTATGACATACCGTGGCTTGCTTTGACTATTAAGCACCTTGCTATGCTATGTCTATAACTTACCACGCCCTGCCACGCCTTCCCATGCCTTGCCTCTCGCTTGCTTTTACACCAGGCTTGGTTTCGCAGGGGATGTATTCAGGCTGCCCGGAAAAAATATCACAGTGCAGTCAGTGACTTGAAGAGAGCTCTTTTATTGGAGGAAGCGGCTGGGAACCGACCCGGGGCAAAGAAAATTGCAGACGAGTTGAGGAAAGCTTTAGAGGAGCAAAAGGAGGAAACTGCAACAGCTGCAGGAGAGCAACAGCTAACGATTAACAAGGAAGCTAATTCAAGAGGTGGAGCAGCAACAGTCAGGGGCAATCACGCAGCAACAGCAGTCAGGCAAGCAGCAGCAGCAGTCAGGCAAGCAGCAGCACCAGCCGGACTAGGCACCGCAACAGCGGCCAAGGGCAGTCATGCAGAAGTGGTAACCGCATGGTTGCATCCACGAGTGGAACCCTTCAGGCACACGGGAACAGCAGAAAGAGACTCTGCTCGTGATGCTGCAGGTGCTGCCGCATCCATCCATGATACTCATGCGAAAGCTCCCCTAGCCGCGGATGCAGGGTGGGGCCTCCGACTCACTGCTGCTGCAGACTGTATTAGCAGCGGTGGAGCAGGCAGTAGCAGCGCCTCAGCCAGCAGAGACACCACTGCTGCTGCTGCTGCTGCCAGCACAGAGCCATGTGCTGGCAGCCACGGCATGCCAGCTGGCGCTCCCGGCTCGCCAGCTGGCACTCACGGCATGCCAGCTGGTACTGTGGTGCTAGTCGAAGAACCGATAGCCGCAGTGAGTTCTTCGAATGCTTGAATGCTCACGGCTTGCCTGCTTGCCCATCGGGTTCTCCCTCCTCGCTTGCCTGCTTGAATGCTCTTTTTTCCTTTTTCCCAATTGGAGTTTGCTTTTTAGAATCCTTCTCGCGCCCATTCAGATATTCTCCCTTGCTTCCCTTCCTCCCCGTTGGCGATAGTTAGGCACTGGAAGGTTGTTATTGCAGTGCGCCTCTGCCCTCCCTGACTTTTGAGTCGACTCAAAAGTCAATAGGCAGGCAATGGAACGTTGTTATTACAGTGCGCCTCTGCCCTCCCTCCACTGCCTCCCCTCTTCCCATCAGGCACTCTTGAAGCCGCACCGCTCCTCCTGCTGTCACCACTGCCTGCTGCCCCTCCCCGCCAACCCCTTCCCCTGCCCTGGCTGTTCTTTCGCTCTCTTCTGTCGCCCGCTCTGCGCTGCTGTGGCTCTTGGAGTAACAACAGCCATTACAGATGCTGCCTTGTCTGCTACAGATGCTGCCTCGTCTGCTACAGATGCTGCTTCTGCTACAGGTGCTACCTCAGCCACACTGCAAAAAGGGAGAGATGCGAGTAGTGCTGCAGCCGTTTTGTTAACGGAGGGAGATGCTGCTGGTGCTACAGCAGCAGAGCTGCTACAGCAGGGTTGGAGGGCAGGTGTTACCCGGTGGGGGGAGCATCTGGGGGAGTGTGGCGGGAGCAGCTGGCATGCTGCCTTGCCGGTGGAAGCCTGCTTGGCTGGTAGGGTGGTGGGACAGGTGGGACTGGGGGAGGTGGGACTGGGGCAGGTGGGATCAGGGGAGGGCGGATTAGAGCAGGATGAGGGAATGAGAAACGGGAGTGTGGAAGGAAGAAGAAGGCTGGGAATGAGAGGGAGGGGGGTGGATTCCCTGTGTCATCATCTGGGGTCGCTGCCCCCTTCATCATTGCTTCTTCACAGTATGAGAGGAGAGGAAGAGGGGGGGCAAGGTAAGGGGGAGGAGGTCGAAGAGGAGGAGGAGGGTGAGAGGGGAGAAAGGGGGGGTGAAAGGGGAGAAAGGGGGGGTGAGAGGGGAGAAAGGGGGGGTGAGAGGGAAGAAAGGGGGGGAGAGGGGAAAGAGGCGCAGCTAGGGCAGGTATGGCCGGAGGATGAGTTTATCCGTCTAGCTCTGCTGGCTTTAGTCACATCCCATTGCATCAACTCTTCTTTCGCTGCAGTCACAATTGAACTAGAACGTGCAGGAGGAGACGACAAACGGAAAGAGCAGCAGCAACAGCAGCAGCAGCAGGAGCAGCAGCAGCAGCGGCAGCAGCAGCAGCAGCAGCAGCAGCAGCAGCAGCAGCAGCAGCAGCAGCAGCAGCAGCAGCAGCAGCAGCAGCAGCAGCAGCAGCAGCAACATGCCCCTTCTCTTCAGAAACGTTTGGCTTGCTTCCGAGTGTCAAGCCGGCAAGTGCTGGTGGTGCTGGGTCAACTGCGGTTCAATGCGGTGGCAGTGAGCCGAGTGCGAGGAGGGGAGAGTGGTGACACTGTTGGTCAATTGGAGGGCATTGAACAGGTAACGTGGTGACCGCAGTAACCTGACCTGCGCTGGTAACCACACACACGCCACTGGTGACCACGCATTACTGGTCAACTGGAGGGCATTGAACAGGTATGGTAGTAACCGTGGGTGTGGTGGTTAGTTACCAGACTATTGCTGGTAACCAAACAGCGCCTTTGTTTGACCCCGGGAAAAAACTGAACAATTTATGCCTCATTTCCACCTCTCTGTATCAACCCCCACAACAGGTGCCCATCGCCCAAGCCCTCTACCTCACTGCCCCACTCTTCAGCCACAGTCTATTTACCTCCTGCTTTCTCCTCCTCCCTTCCCTTTCTTTTCCCCCCCCCCAACCCCACACCCCCACTCCCCCACACCCCCACACCCCCACACCAGGTGCCCATTGCTCAAGCGCTCTACCTCTCTGCATCGCTCTTCAACCACAGCTGCCATCCCAACGTCTCCCTCTCCTTCCCCTCCTCGCCTCTTCCTCTCTCGCCTCCCGCTCCTCCTGTCAGTCCCTCCTCTCCCCTCATCTCTGCTCCCTCGCCTTCCACCTATCACACCTCCACTCTCCCTAATCCCACTCTCAATGCTCCACTTCCTAGTCTCTCCTCCCCTGCTCCCTCCCTCCCTTCTCTCTCTTACGGCCGTCTCCTAGTGGCCCGAACTACCGAACCTGTCCTTCCGGGCCAGGAGCTCAGCATCGGGTATGGAGCTCAGGTTGGGGAAAAGACAGCTCCGGAACGCCAAACCTGGCTCCGCCAGAGGTACTTCTTCCAGTGCTCGTGCCGAGCCTGCACCGAACCTGCCCGAGCGTTTACGGACCTGTGCTTCCGAGGCTACCGATGCCATGCCAAGGGATGTGGGGAGAGAGGTGTGGTACCAGGGCTGGCTGGTGGTAGCGGTGGCTGGCAGTGTGTGGCTTGCGGATGCAGATTGTTTGAAAAGGAGAGGAAGGAGGGAGGAGGTGGCAAGGGTGGGAGGAGGAAGAAAGTGCCAAGTGAAGGAGAGTCTGCAGAGGGTGCAGGGGTTGAGGAAGCAGAGAGGGGGATGAAGCTGGCTGCTACAGTTGATGCGATTAAAGCAGACTTGCTGAGGTAAGAAGTGCTTTGTAGGTAAGAAGTGTATGGCAGGGATGTTGGGATTCTGCTTCAGCTTGCATTTCTTTTTTGTTCCTTCTTTTTCCAAGTTGGATAAAGCAATCATTCACAAGTTTTGGTGCTCTCTCTCCCGCACCAGTCTACGAGACAGTGAGAGCTCTGCTGCACCGTCAGCATCGACCCTCTCTCGTGCATCGCGGCTGTTGGATTCTCTCCGCCACCGCTTGCACCCTCTCAACCGCAGTCTCGCTGAGGTACCTTCAGAACCCTCGCGTGCTTTTTCTGTTTTCGTGGCACCTCAGTAACAGGCACCTCCAAAACAGGCTGTTGGATTCTCTCCGCCACCGCTTGCACCCTCTCAACCGCACACTGGCAGAGGTACCCACTCAACCGCATCTTGCCAAAGGTATGATTACCCACTCTCGACTGCACTCTGGCAGAGGTGCAATCAGATGCCTTTTCCTTCCTTCATTCTATTTCTCCTCTCCCCCTCCTCCCCGTAAACATCTGGTGTGTGGGCCAATGTGCATGAATTCGTGTGTGTGTGTGTTTGTGTGTGTGCTAGTGTGTGTGTTTGTGTGTGTGCTAGTGTGTGTGTTTGTGTGTGTGCTAGTGTGTGTGCTAGTGTGTGTGTTTGTGTGTGTGCTAGTGTGTGTGTTTGTGTGTTTGTGTGTGTGCTAGTGTGTGTGCTAGTGTGTGTGTTTGTGTGTGTGCTAGTGTGTGTGTTTGTGTGTGTGCTAGTGTGTGTGCTAGTGTGTGTGCTAGTGTGTGTGCTAGTGTGTGTGCTAGTGTGTGTGCTAGTGTGTGTGCTAGTGTGTGTGCTAGTGTGTGTGCTAGTGTGTGTGCTAGTGTGTGTGCTAGTGTGACGTGTACGTGCATGTTTGTGCGGCTACATGTGTATGCTTGTGTTCCATGCACCATTCCTGATTGTGTGGTATGAGCGTGCTCTATACATGCCTGTGTGGCATGGCATGCACTGGTCGTGTTTATGTGGCATCTCGTGTTTATGTGGCATGAACTTGTGTACGGTATGTGTTTATGTGGCATGGTTGAATGACAGGCGGAAGACGTTATGGCGCTCCTTTATTGCCGCTTCGGTAATTTCAAACAAGCCATGGAGCACTGCCAAGCGGCCTTGACGGTGCGTAGAACAATTGGTACTAACCTGTTCCATAATGGATGATCACGTATATTTTTATACGGTACTTTTCAAAACCGTTAGCTCCTCAAACTGGTTATCCTTCATTCGCCTTTCCATGCATACATTGACCCTCTTGTCTCCTTTGTCTTCCCCTTTCTTGTCTCACTTCCTGCCCATCCTCCATCTATCCCACCACGTGTACCAGATTCTTTGCGCTCACTATCCACCAAATAGTGAGGCATTGCAAGTGGAGAGAACAAAGCTGGCTTCTATTCAAGCTGCGGCTGCAGGAATCTTTCCACAAAAATGATTGTGCATTTACTATTTCTTACGTACATGCTGAAATTGCACGAAACAAGAACTGCAAATCTGCTGTGATTTCCAACAGTAACGCGTCCCGTAAACCGATCCGCGCAACCTGCAATTCGCGCTTCGTTTCGAATGGCCGGCTCGCTGACATTCGACACCAGCCAAACCCGAAAACCTCTTTCAACCGATTGTTCACCCGTCATAGTTTGCGCCACCAACCCACATTGCTTCGTTGTGCTTCACAGTGCACCGCGTTTCTGTTCCTCCTCTGCCTCTTTCCCTACTAGCTCAGCCTTTTCTTGCTGAAAGCCCTCCCATTCCCTCCCCTCGTTGCGGAAACTAGCTATCGAGCAAGCATGCCGCTACGTCCACGGAATTCGCGTAGACGATAACGTGGAAATACCTGAGGGGTTCCCGCATGCAAAGAAATAATCCTAGCCATTTGGAGAACGCAGAATGCCGGAGAGGACATTCCCTGCATCTTGACAGAAGTATGTAGACGCCTCAATAAACACACTTGAAATCGCTAGCCCCTGCGTCTCGTAACCTTTTTCCGTTCGCCTCTAGGATAGTCCAGCATTCATGGCGCCCGGGACATGTTGAGGCACGTAGACATCCGTCTCAGTTGGAACGGCTTTATTCGCGGAGAATCTTTTGGCTGTTCACCAGTCATGGCACTCTTGAGAGGAAATCTTCGGCCGCTACGTCGATTTTGCCTTATTCTCACCGTCATGCTGCTTTTACCTGCTAGTGGATCTAATGCCCGTACGGGTGCTCATTCCCGACTCTGTAAGTGCGCCTCTGATATACACCCTTAGCTACTAGGTATAAGACTTATCGATACTCGGTATACCGCGACTGCGGCTCTCGCTCATTCTCGACGATGTATGAGAAAAATCGAGCTATGCCCTTTAAAAGGGTACAAGTAGCGAAACTGAACGGCCTCCGTCGTGGCGGTCAATGACGGTCAACCGCGGTCAACGGCGACCAATTGGCGACCAACTTGTAGTTGCTACCGTTATTGCCGCCGCACGTGCGCGTCACCCATTTCAAACATTCTTTCAAGGGTCAACAATGGTTGACATTCCGCCCCTTCTCGCTCCGCTACGTCGATTTTGCCTTATTCTCACCGTGATGCTGCTGCTACCTGCTAGTGGGCCTCATGCCCGTACGGGTGCTCATTCCCGACTCTGTAAGTGCGCCTCTGAGATACACCCTTAGGTAGCGGATATAAGACTTATCGATACTCTGTATACCGCGACTGCGGCTCTCGCTAATTCTCGACGATGTATGAAACAAATTAAGCTATGCCCTTTAAAAGGATACAAGTAGCGAAACTGAACGGCCTCCGTCGTGGCGGTCAATGACGGTCAACCGCGGTCAGCGGCGACCAGTTGGCGACCAACTTGTAGTTGCTGCCGTGATTGCCGCCGCACGTGCGCGTCACCCATTTCAAACATTCTTTCAAGGGTCAACAATGGTTGACCTTTCGGCACTCCCCTCCTTCTCGCTCCTCCCCCTCTTCTCTTCCCTTCCCATTCCAGACTCCCCTCGCCTTCCTGCCGGTTACCACCCCTGCAACATAGCTGCGGGAAAGTGGCAGCGTGCGTGGCGCGTTCCCTATTACACGGGGCTGACGTGTCCGTACATCCGATCCAGCCAGAACTGCCAGAGGCTCGGCAGAACGGACCTCTCCTACCAGAAATACAGATGGGTGGTACGTACGCGCCACGAAGGCGGTTCCACTTCTGGTTGACCACCTGCTCTCTCTTTCTGCTGCCCTTTTTCATCTAAGCCCCAAACAGTGAGTATTATCGAGTCAAATAAAAGGAGCCTGTTTTCACCGCATGAGTGGTGCATGTGCATCTGAATCGTCACATCTGATTTCTCAAGAGTAGATTACGCTTGTCTACCCTCCCAACCACACCACCCAGCAGGATGATTTCCTTATAACTTTCCGTGCTCGCCTTAAGAGTAGGCTCTGCTTAGCTCCCCTTCCCAATAACCATCCCTACCCTCCTCCCTCCCAGCCGTTCCCCTGAAGGGTCAGCCGCCTCACCTCACCTCACCTCACCTCACCCCACCCCACTCCAACGAACTCGTTCTTAAGTTTGGCCACAGCACATCATGTATCCTCGCTGAGTACGTCACCTGTGTTCCCCCCTCACCATCGCTCCCCCGTTCCCAGCCCTTCTCCTGCAGCATCAGCCGTCTCACCCCACTGCGCCTGCTCCACGCCCTGAGAAACAAGCTCGTTCTCGTGTTTGGTGTCAGCATATCCAAGAATACCTCGCCGCCTCCCTTACTTGTGTCCCCATCCCAACGTCTCCCCGCTCTCCCAGCCCTACTCGTGCAGGATCAGCCGTCTCACCCCACTGCGCCTGCTCCACGCCCTGAGAAACAAGCTCGTTCTCGTGTTTGGTGTCAGCATATCCAAGAATACCTCGCCGCCTCCCTTACTTGTGTCCCCATCTCAACGTCTCCCCGCTCTCCCAGCCCTACTCGTGCAGGATCAGCCGTCTCACCCCACTGCGCCTACTCCACGCTCTGAGAAACAAGCTCGTTCTCGTGTTTGGCGACAGCGTGTCAAAGAACCTCGCTTCTTCCATTGCATGCTTCCTGCACGCTGCTGCTGCCGCTGGCGATGGCGCTCCTGCTGCCGCTGCTCGTCGTGATACTGCTGCTGCTGGTAGCGGTGGTGCTACTTCTGCTGCTGCTACTGCTGCTGCTGCTGGAACTGTTGGTAACAATGTAACCGTGCAGCCGTTCATGATCCAGAGAGGCACCAGCACAGCAGAGGGCATACAGCTGCCCTCTCACGGAATCAGATTTGCTTCAGTATTCTCCAAGTGGCTCTTAACTGGAGCTCAGATGTCCACTCCGAAGCTACAGTACCGAATTGATCTGGATCAGGTGGATAACCAGGTGGTGGATCTGCTGCCACTTGCTGATATTGTCGTTTTCCAGGTGCGCCCTCTTTCCCAGTTTTGAGACCAGCATAAAAGAGGATGGATAAGGTTGACCAGCAGGTGGTGGATTTGTTGCTACTTGCTGATATTGTCGTTTTCCAGGTCCGTCCCCTTTTCCTACCATTTCCTTCACTAATCACATTATCACATTCTCACATTCGATCCCCAATATCTCTCTTCTCTAATCCACTCACAAGTGTTCCCCTCTCACTCATTCATGCATGCTCACTCCCTCTCAGGCCACAAATTGGTGGTTCTGGAAGGGGATGCGGTGGTATCAGAGTGGAAAAGAGATTGTCACAAGCAGAAATGCAGATGCTTACACCATCGGCCTCACCACTCTCCGTAACTTTGTAACCAAATCCAAGTTTTCTGGTAGAGCTGTGCTGATGGGTGTCTCACCTTCGCACTACAGAGTTCCGGGGCTCCCCAAGAATTCGTGCTCCACCAATCAGAAGCTGACATGGAACCAGGTACTCTCTACTGGCCCGCAGGTGCTCACATTTCGACCTAAACCTATCAAGGTGCAGCAACAAGCGCCATTATTTCCGCCATCATTTGGGTGTTCTGGCAAACAAGATCTTGGCCATTTCAGCAGCCGTTTCTCCTCTTCTTGATCGATGATGAGCCTTCCCCTTTGTTTCCTCAATCGTTCCCGCTTTGTCAGACAAAGAAGGTTTTCAGAGTAGAGAAGATAGCGAGGGCGTTTCGAGAGGTTCAGCTGAGGGTGCTGCTTGGTAGCCCTATCCGCTATGTGGATATCCTCCCTATGAGCTCATGGCGACCCGATGGACATCTGCAAAATTGGTCTACCCCAGGTACACGTGTGCGTCCAAGAGGGGTACGCGTGTAATTATGCCGTTAATCAAGTTTGATTTGATTGCATACATATTGATTTTAGATCCTTCATATGACACTTCATTCCTTTTCCCTTCTGTCGCCTCCAGGGGGAGCCTCGAATGAAAAGGACGACTGCCTACACTGGTGTGAAGGTGGAGTTACTGATGCTTGGCTTGAGATGCTGTATAGCACATTCTTGACATAAAGATAGAGATTTTGAAGTGTTTTATCCGTAAGGTATTTCGTGTGGAAGGATGACATGAACCTCATAACAGGTAAGTGTACATTCCAGGCCCCAATCACGCGCTGCCGTCATAACCGCCTTGTGCGCGTGTTCGAGCTTACTGCTCGCGCTTCCGACGCGTTCGGTTGCAGGCTCAAGTATGGACATGTGGGCGGATGAGAATGCGCCCGAATGAGTTGTGAATTGACAACTGAAACAGAAATTCCGTGCCCCAGTAGTCTGGGAGCTTATGAAAGCAAAAACCTAGGTAAGCGATGCTTTTGGCGAATTTTGGCTTGTAATCTGTGACCTGACAACAGACACTTCACTCACTCGGACTGTTCTTTCAAGCCCCCGGAACCTTAATTCTATGGACCCTCGGAGTAAATTTGGACGGCAGAAGTTTTGGACGAGCCGCGTCACAACCGCCGCTCATGTTCCACGAGTGCTCCTCACGAATGTCGCTTTCCATTCCACCCATAATGATCCTACCAACTGGTCTTACACAATCCATTTCGAAAGCTTGCAGTACGAGCAGCTGAGCAGACCTTTAGTGAACAGCGTAATAAAGGGCGGAGTTATACACGGCCATTCCATACACGGCCTGCTTCTCCCCACGATGTCTCCAACACGTGACCTGCTGCTTCTCTCCGTCTGCCTCTTAGCAGCAGCTGCGACCCTCCCGACCGCCAGCGCGCAAAGTACGTACCGCACATTAGTGTGCTCCGTTACCGTCACCCTGCCGCTCGTCCGTTTCCGGCCTCCGTTTCCGTCACCGTTACCGTTTCCGCCGTCACCATGTCCCGTGACAGTCGCGCAAGATTTTCGCCGCAAGTCTTAATTACCTACTACTATTAGTGTTCCACTACCGCATTCCAGCGACATTTATCCTCACGAACTTGCGCTTCGCAATTCCGTTCTCACCAACGCGGATGCGACACGTGTCGCCGCTGCGAATACCAATAGCACAAGCTTGCTTTGTCGCGAATAACTTTCCACAAATTTGCTTTTCGCGACCATACTATCCCCACCAACACAGATAAGACAACTGTCGCCGCTGGATCCTGGAACTGCGACATCTCGAAGGGGCAGTGGGTTTCCGCGCCCCTTCATCTCCCGCGTTACACGGGACTGTGTCCGTACATCCGCTCTACTGAGAACTGCCAGAACCAGGGACGACCCGACCTACAATTCCAGAAATACAGATGGGTGGTACGTATACGCGTTATGAGCACATTAGAACTTCAACCACGGCGTTCCACCTCTCTTTCGGCATTACGCACCACCTAGAGGGGACTTCTGGGGGGTCGAATTTTCTAGAGTCGGGGCTTACTATCCTAGTATCCTTCTCGTGAAAGAGTGTCCGTCTCGTGCTGTGCTCTGCAATGCCCCCCCCCCCCTCCCCCCCCCCCCCACGCCCAATTATTCTCACTCCTTACCTCACCTTCTCTGAGAGGCTCGTCCCCCTCCGAGGGGTCACGATTTTTGAGACGCCCCCTTCCGCATCCCCTTCTCTCCCTCAGCCCGCAGGCTGCGCGTTGCAGCGCATGACTCCGAAGAGCCTTTTAAAGAGCTTTAGCAACAAGCTGGTGCTCGTGTTTGGCGACAGCATCTCAAAGAATTTCGCCGGATCCGTCGCGTGCGTGCTGTACGCCGCCTCGCCCGGCACCATCCAGAATTTCCGCATCGCCAACGGCAACACCAAGGCGTACGGCGTCAGGGTGAGATGAGAAGAAACGACACGTCAGGGTGAGATGAGAAGAAACGACACGTCAGGGTGAGATGAGAAGAAACGACACGTCAGGGTGAGATGAGATGAAACGACACGTTAGGGTCTTCATTGACTGGCTGAATCTTGAACCTAACCTACCTCCTCCCCCTTACCTGTTGGTACTACAATTCAGGTTCCTTGTCTCAACGCTTATTCCCCACTTTCCCTCCCTCCCCCTGATTTTCCCCTCCCCCCTGTTAACAAACCATTTCAGGTTTCACTCAGTTCGCGCCGGTCTTCTCTAATTGGCTGAACCAGGAGACTCATTCCCCCTTCCCCCCCCCCGTTCCCACCTCCTCCCCTCTTCCATGCTGGTAACCCGACTCAGGTTCCTCATTTCAGAACTCGGTTCGCGTCGGTGTTCTCCAATTGGCTGAACCACGCGAGCGGGCTGGGTGGCAGCATGAACCGCGTTGACCTCGATAAGATCGATCCGCAGATCACCGATCTCCTCCCACTGGCTGACATTGTCGTTTTCCAGGTGATCTTGCACACATAAGATTGCTCTGTCACCCTCCATTTCCCCTCCCTCCCTCCCTTCCTCCCTCCCCACCTTCCTCTTTTCCTCGCCCCCGCCCTCCCCGTACCCTTTACTATCACTCCTTCACCTATTGCATAGTGCAGTGTTCTCACGTCCTCCCTCCCTCCGTCCATACGTCCCTCTCTACCTCCCTCCCTCCCTCCCTTCTTTCTCCCCTCCAGGCGACCAAGTGGTGGCTCCGGGCAATCAACAGTTAAGAAGAAACACATAGGAACGGATGCGCGTGGTGACTTTTGAGTCGACTCAAAAGTCACCTCGTTAAGAAGAGACACATAGGCCCGGATGCGCGTGCGAACGCGTTTTGGCCAGCAAAGGCCTCCCTTCCTTCTTTCTTTCTCGCCTCCAGGCGACCAAGTGGTGGCTCCTGGGAATCAACAGTTAAGAAGAAACTCACAGGCTTGGATGCGCGTGGGAACGCGTTTTGGCCTTCAAAGGCCACCCTCCCTCCCTTCTTTCTCGCCTCCAGGCAACCAAGTGGTGGCTCCCGAAAATCAACAAGTGGTACGTGGGCGGCAAGGAGCAGACACTCTCCAGGGAAGCGGCCTACGAGATTGGCCTCAAGACTCTGCGCGACTACGTGGTCAAGTCGGGCTTTAAGGGCCGCGTTGCCCTGCTGGGTGCGTCGCCCTCCCACTACAAGGTCCCTGGACTGGAAAAGTTGTCGTGTGAGACCAGCAGAGTGCTTACAGCGCAGCAGGTAAAACATTGATTTGTAACAGTGAGGGATCTTATCGTGAATGTGTTATATGTCACGTTACGAGGGATTGGTGCTAGGCATTGTTATGCGTCGTGTTGCCTTCCACGTTTGAAGAGAGGTTCAATGGAGACCATCGATATCATTGCAGCACAACAAGGAACAAGTGAGCGACACTAATCCTGTTGCACGCGCAATCCCTGTTTGCTTGCGTGCTTGTTTGTTTGTTTCTTTGTTTTTTTTTTTTTGTAAACTTTATTTTGTTGTGAGTTACCCTGTTGTCTGCTTCCCTCCATCTTGTCCAACACACAGGCAGAGGAGTTTGCAAACGGGGATAGCACCAGTAACAATTTCCGGGAGATCCAGATGAGGGTTCTGTCAGGGTCTCCAATACGCTACGTGGATGTTACACCTATGAGTAACTATCGCCCGGATGGCCACGTCCAGAAATGGACGGTGAAAGGTGATGACTTATTGGTGCATAAGCAAAGTAACTACACCACGCTTGTCTTTTCGCTAACACTCATGAATTTTGAACTACTACACCATGTCTTGGCAGGAGGGGCTTCAGCGGGTACGAAGAACGATTGTGTTCATTGGTGTGAAGGTGGTGTCACGGACACTTGGCTTGAAATGCTGTATAACAATCTTCTCTTCTAGTCTTGTTAAGTCAAAAAAATGTAAAATTTTATTGCGTGTGCAACAAATGTTGTATAGTAAATTGTCGTGAACATTGGCACTTGAAGTTAAAGTTGAAAAGGACGACTGCCTGCCTACACTGGTGTGAAGTTGGAGTTACTGATGCTTGGCTTGATAAGCTGTACAGCACATTATTGACATAACAATATGTTTTTCCTGAACACCAAGAAGAGTTGTACGTGAACCTCAATAGCAGGTACATGTACGTTCCAAGTCCGAATCACGCGGCGCCGTCATAACCGCCTAGTGCGCTTGGTCGAGCTCACTGCTCAATTTGGACATGTCGGCGGATGAAAATGTGCCCAAATCTGTGAGTTTTGAATTGACCTCTAACACTTAGAGGAGATCCGTGCCTTGTAAACCGGGCGCTTACGAAAGCAATATCCCCTGGTAAGCGATACTTTCAGCGAATGCCTTGTTTAGGAAGTGCAGCAGCAGCGATGGATGGTGGTGAGCTAACTGACTACACTCACCCACGGGCTGTTTTCTTTCGTGCCCCCAGAACCCCAAATCTATGGACTCTCAAAGTAAATATGTACGGCAGAAGTTTTGGACGAGCCGCGTCTTGACAAGCGCCGCCCATGTTTCATAAGTGCTCTCCTTGAGTGCTGCTCGGTCCATGCATTTTGCTTCCGACCCATCCTACCAACTCGTCATTCGCAACGCAAGCAACGCAACTCCGGTCTTGTGGAATGCATAGCTGCTAGAGAGCCATCATCGATTTCTGGCAGGCAAGGGTGACTGGTTATGAAAAGAATATGCGCTAAAACTGTCCTACATCAAACCATTCCATTTCAAAAGCTTGCAGTACGAGCAGCTGAGCAGACCTTAGGGGGTGTTACATTGCGCGCTGGTCCATTTACAGGAAATGGACCAGCTTAGACGGGGGAGCACCAGTTTACAGGGATCACTTGCGAAAGTGGTCCCTGCCTGGTACCCGCGTGGTCCCGGGCACCATTTGCAGCCGACCCCAACAGCACAGTGTTTTACAGTTTCGCAAAAGCAAGGTGGACGAAAACAAAGTCGCACCTAGTCACACGCGAACTACATTTCGCGACGGCCCGAATCGCGAAATTTTCAGCTTGTGCTAGCGAAAAGGGGCGACGTGGGGTTTTCGCGAGTGTCTGGGCCGCGAATTGGGGTCGACTGTTGGAAGTGGTCCCCCAAATCCTGCACGTGCACCGACCACTGTACATGCTGGTCCGTGGGGGGAGTTACCTGGGTCACTACCTGGGCCGTTTGCTGGTCCAAACAGCTGGTCCACGCTGGTCCGCGCTGGTCCGCGCAAATCCCCCTGGACCGCAGCGGCCCAGCGCGGCCCAGAGTAGTTCTGCCGCACATGTAACACCCCCTTAGTGAATTGCGTAATAAAGGGCGCAGTGGTTTGATAGTCGTGGCACATTCGGCGCAACCCATAAACAGCCCTCAAGATGTCGCCAACACGTGACCTGCTGCTTCTCTTCGTTTGCCTCTTAGCAGCAGCTGCGAACCTCCCTACCGCCAGCGCGCAAAGTACGTGGGGCTGTACCGCACACAGTGTATGCTCCGCAAACTACTGTGTATGCTCCGCACACTACTGTCTATGCTCCGTTTACCGCACTGCATCCGTTTCCCGTATCCCGTTTGCGTTACTTCTCAACCATTCTCCTTGATCGTCGCGCAATGGCTTCGTCACACGTTCTTATTACCTACTAGTGTTCCACAACCGTGCTTTTGCGACGTACCTCACGAGCTTTCTCTTCGCGACCATATTCCCACCAACGCAGATAGGACAAATGTCGCCGCTGGATCATGGAACTGCGACATTTCGAAGGGACGGTGGGTTTCCGCGGCGCGGCATCTTCCGCGTTACACGGGGCTGACGTGTCCGTACATTCGCTCCAGCCAGAACTGCCAGAGCCAGGGGCGGCCCGACCTACAATTCCAGAAATACAGATGGGTGGTACGTATACGCGTTATGAGCACGTTACAACTTCAACCTCGCGTTCCGCCTCCCATTTTCCTGTATATCTGCGGTACTACCCACAACGTAGCCGTCGGGGCTTACTATGGAGGATCGCGAGCGAGTGTTTGTCGCGTGCGATCTGCTCAGCAATGCCCCCCGCCCTATTCTTCTCACTCCTTACCTCACTCTCGCTCTCCCCCCCCACTCCCCCTTCCCGCTCTCCCCCTCCCCACAGCCCGTAGGCTGCGCATTGCAGCGCATGACGCTGAAGCGCCAAACGCGCTTCCGCAACAAGCTGGTGCTTGTGTTCGGCGACAGCGTCTCGAAGAGATTTGCCGGATCCGTCGCGTCCGCCGTGCGTCGCATTCGCCGCATTCGTCGCATGCGTCGCATGCGAGCTACTCCCGCAATCTGCTCCTTTTTCTCTTCCATTCCCCTTTTCCCTCCCCCTCCCCTTCCGCATCCCCTTCTCCCCCTCAGCCCGCAGGCTGCGCATTGCAGCCCATGACGCCGAAGCGCCTCCTGATGCGCTTCCGCAACAAGCTCGTGCTCGTGTTCGGCGACAGCGTCTCGAAGAACTTTGCCGGGTCCGTCGCGTGCGTGCTGCACTCCGCGTCGCCCGGCACCATCCAGGATTTCCGCGTCGCCAACGGCAACACCAAGGCGTACGGCGTCAGGGTGAGATGAGATGAGACGACACGTCATGGTCTTATTTAATTGGCTGAACCTTGAGTCATCTCGAAACTACCTCCTCTCCTCTTACGTGTTGACAATGTAATCCAGGTTCCTTGTTTCAACGCTTATTCCCCACTTTTCCTCCCTTCCCCGCTTTCACCCTCCCCTCGCTTTCAACCCCCCCCCCCCCCTCTCCCCCCCCCTCCCCACCCTGCTTTCCCCATCCTCCCTGTTAACAACCCGATTCAGGTTCCTCATTTCAACACTCGGTTCGCGTCGGTCTTCTCCAATTGGCTGAACCAGGCGAGCGGGCTGGGCGGCAGCATGAATCGCGTTGACCTTGATAAGATCGACCCGCAGATCACAGACCTCCTGCCACTGGCCGACATTGTCGTTTTCCAGGTATTAGTTGAGCACTACAATCTGCTCTGCTTCACCACATTAGTCCTGAGCTCTACACCACATGAATTTCATAGTTGTGGTATCGCCATCCCCTCACTCCCACACCCCTGCCGTCCCGCCCTTTCCCTCTTCTCCCCTTTTACAAGCCGCCACTGGTGGTTCCCTGCCATCAACAATACGTGGGCGCCATGCTGTCCACATACCAAGGAAGCAACACTGAAAAATAATGTCTCTTCTCTCATTGCACATAATGTATCGTATCTCTCCCCTTCCCTCCCCCCAGGCCACCAACTGGTGGTTCCCGGCCATCAACAAGTGGTACTTGGGCGGCAAGGAGCAGTCACTATCCAAGGAGGAACCGCCTACCAGACTGTCTCTCACTATATGCAATATCTCCTATCCCTCCTGCACTTTCTTACCCCCCCAGGCCACCAACTGGTGGTTCCCGGCCATCAACAAGTGGTACTTGGGCGGCAAGGAGCAATCGCTGACCAAGGAGGCGGCTTACGAAATCGGCCTCAAGACTCTGCGTGACTACGTGGTCAAGTCGGGCTTTAAGGGCCGCGCTGCCCTGCTGGGCGTGTCTCCTTCTCATTACAAAGTCCCCGGGCTGAAGGAGGGGTCGTGCGAGACCAGCAAAATGCTCACAGCGCAGCAGGTAAGACATTGATTTGTGACAACAGGGGATTGTATAATCATTGACGTGTCTCTTCCACGTTATATGTCACGTCACGAGGGTTTGGTGCAAGCCATTGTCATGTTGCAGCACAACATTGATGTGAGCTTATATTTGCTTCCACGCATTATGTTTGTTTGCTTGCTTTGTTTTTGTTTTGTTTGTAAAGCTTTATTCTGTCGCGACTTAACGTGTTTTGCCTCCCCCCAACACACAGGCAGAGGAGCTTGCAAAGGGGGACAAGTTCCGGGAGATTCAGATAAGGGTTTTGTCAGGTTCTCCAATAAGCTATGTCGACGTTGCGCCAATGAGTTACTACCGCCCAGATGGCCACGTCCAAAAATGGATGCTGAAAGGTGAGGATTTGGTTCGGTGCAAATTGAGTATTTTTACCACGTTTTTGCCTTTGTTGTCGTTATCACTCATGGAGTTTGTCCAACTACTACCATGTCTTGGCAGGGGGGGCTCCAGCGGGCAAGAAAAACGATTGCCTTCATTGGTGTGAAGGTGGTGTCACAGACACTTGGCTTGAAATGCTATATAATAATCTTATATTCTAGACTTGTTTAGGGCAATTTTTGTCCCTAATTTTGTGGATGGGAAAGCACTATAGAATGTATTGCATCTGCAATCTTTATGTATAGTAGATCTTCGTGAACATTGGCACCTGAAGTTCTGAGAAACAATTATGAATGTGTTGTAGCATCTGTTTGTTGCGTGGTCAAGAAGTTCTATACAGGTACTGAAGTTACCTACTAAGGAGCATCGGGTCGCTCTCCTAATACAGTGACCTTTCGCCAACACTTCGCTTCCTTTTGTGTCTCGAGCCGTCATTGCACTAATTTCCAACTCTCGGATATGCCGACTCGAGATTGCATGTTTGCATTAACGGTCTGGATTGGTCGAACCCTTCCATTGACCTTCATCGTAGTCACCCATGTTTCAATGTCCATTTTCCACCTACGAACCGCCACAGCCCATCACATCAGGTGCTGCGGTTTGGCCAACATGTGGCCCCCCGTCCATTGCTGGCATCTTGCCCCGACCACCACCAATCATCGCAGGAATTGCATCGCAGCGCAGACTCGCAGGAAACGAAAATTAGCGCCCCACCACACCACCCCTCCCACACCACAACGACCCCAGAAACCCCAGGCCATGCATCCTCCCTGCTTGAGCTGTAGAAGAAAATAAACTTGTTTGGTCGGACGCCCTCGAACTGCGATGCGATACGCCTGCCGAGTCGACTGGAGGCCCACCTGAATGTACCCCCCCGACCCGACTTTCTCCGTTCGACTTCGTCAACGAGCACATTTGGCGCTGAGAAGAGCCGACTGCGCATTGATTGGCTTCGACAGTTACCCCCAAAACTGAGGAGAAAGGCTCACTCTCTCACTCTGCAGCAGCCGCGACCTACGATCGTCCTATCACCATTTCACCTAAATCAGTATAAGGCTTTTTTCCGTTTTCGCACCGCACTTTCGCGCCGCGGACCTGCCACCCAGGGTTACATACATCCGATCCGATCGCTCGACTACGGGCCAAAAAAGGCCGACCGAAATTGCTTATCACCTTACGTGAGGACCATATTGTCATGTCATTCTCGAAAGTAGTTATTGACTGTGGGCCGTGGTCGGTTTTCAAAGCGATACTCAAAGCTCGTCTCATATCTTACAAAAGCAATTCTTGACCATGGGCCATGGTGGTCGGCGAATCTGGCACTCCTCCTCCCAGCGACACAGCTGCACCCATGCCGTGAATCACATGCTCTCGCCCCGTCTCCTTCTTCCCCAGCTCAACTAGTGGTTCTTCCATCGGTGCTTGCATGGTTCGTGCGGCTTCTGAAGCGACGCAAGGAATATATTAGGGGTACCCCTACTTATGTAAACAGGCTAGATTCTCCCGCTCAGTTTCCAGATTACTCTGCATAACTTTCCCCTTCTTTTCGGTATCGCCCTCGCTAGATAGAAACGGCTGTGGTTGTCAAGTCACTTTCTATATAGAAGCCTTCTTACCGGCAGTAGTAACGAGTGGTGCTGTCGTTAACAGACGGCATAGCAAGAGACGAAGATGGCGGCATATTGGCGAAATCTGGTAACTGTATCGCTCACCGGGCTGCTGTTCTTCGCCATCGCCGAGAGAAGTCCGCCCGTCGCCCTGGCGTACAGCAGCTTCAAAAAGAAGCTCACGCCCATCCCCTTCCCTAGTAAGTCCCTTCCCCAGTAAGCCCCTTCCCCAGTAACCCCTTTAGCCAACAACCCTCTTCATCTGTTAATGGTGGAAGGTGCTTTCAGCACGCTTTTCGTAACAGAAGCCACTGATGTTGCCCCTGCCCTGCCCTGCCCTGCCCTGCCTCGCCCCAAAGAAACGTCATGTGCTAGTCCACAAAATGGATTAGCCACCACTGCTAATCCCCCAACACCGCCGTCTCATTTCCGACTGCATCTCCTTACCCACCGTTTCACCCCCTCCCCCACTCCCCCTCCCCCTCCCTCCCTCCCCCCCCCCCCCCCCCCCCCCCCCCACCCCCCCTCCACCTCCACCTCCACAACCAACCTCCCCCCTTCCTCCTCTCCCCCGCCGCACCACGCCCCTCCCGCCTTCCTCCCCTCACCCCCTTCCCCCCACTATCCCACTCCCTTCCTCTTCCCCCTCCCCTTCCCTTCCTCCCATCACCTCTCCCCCGCCACCACCCCCACCACCAGACGCGACCGATCCAGACCCCCCCAAACCGTGGACCTGCGATATTTCCTCTGGCAGCTGGACACCTTCCGCGAACCTTCCTCTCTACACCGGGCTGACGTGTCCCTACATCCGCTCAGGCCACAACTGCCAGAGCGCGGGGCGCTCCGATATGAGCTATCAGAAGCTGCGCTGGCGGGTAGGCACATATACTCGTTATTAGCACTCTTACCGTGTCCCTACATCCGCTACGGCCACAACTGCCAGAGCGCGGGCCGCTCCGATATGAGCTACCAGGCGGGTGAGTTTGTTAGGTGTGAACAGCACGAGAACGCGTTATTAGCACATATGCTCGTTACTAGCACTCTCACGTGTCCTTACATCGGCTCCGGGGGCGCTCCGATATGAGCTACCAGAAGACATACGCTTTAATAGCTCTGATACGCGTTGTTAGCACATATACTCGTCATCAGTACTCATTCCCATGCCCCCCTTCCCTTCACACCCACTCCAGCCGTGGGGATGCAAGGTGGTGCAATTGACGCCCCCGCGCCTGCTCACTCTCTTCCGCAATAAAGCGGTGGTTGTGTTCGGCGACAGCGTCTCAAAGGACCTCTCCACGTCGCTGCGCTGCATGCTCCCACGCTCACACCATTCCCTCGCCTCCCTTTCCTTTCACCCGCCTCTCCCTTTCCACACAACAGCCTTGGGGGTGCAGGGTGGTGCAGTTAACTCCGCAAAGGCTCCTCAATCTGTTTCGGAACAAGACCGTGGTGGTGTTCGGCGACAGCGTCTCAAAGGACCTCTTCACGTATCCCTTCCCCCTCTTCCCTCCTTTTCACCCCACTCCCACCCTCGCAGCCGTGGGGGTGCAGGGTGGTGCAGCTCACCCCTCAGAGACTTCTCAACTTGTTCCGCAACAAGACAGTGGTCGTGTTTGGCGACAGCGTCTCAAAGGACCTCTCCACGTCGCTGCGCTGCATGCTGCACGCGGCTTCCCCCAACTTCTCGCGATTCAAGCTCGCAGGGGGGGAGACGAGAGTGTGGGGCGAGAAGGTGAGCAACAAGAAAAGTGCTCTTTCTTCCCCAATGCATCTCAGCTTTCCTCCCTTGTCTCTCCTCTCAGCCTCCCTCCCTATCATCTCTCTCCCTCATCCCTCTCCCCCATCTCTCTCCCCCATGTCACTCTCCAACTCTCTCCTTCATCCTCACTCCCCCATCTCACTCCCCTCCCCGCCTCTCATCCACAGGTGGACCCTCAGAGCATCCGCATAGTGTCGCTCTTCTCCTCGCATCACAACGACATTGGGTTCATCCCTGATGCATCCTAGCCTCCTTCCCTTATCATTCCAACCCCACCAATCTCTCTCCACCTCACTCCCCCATCTCACGTCCATCCCCAATCCGCCTCTCATCCACAGGTGGAACCTCAGAGCATTCGCATAGTGTCGCTCTTCTCCTCGCACGTCAACGACATTGGCATATGATCCCTGATGCATAGCCAACTTCCCTCCTTTCTCTCACACCCATCTCATTGCGCCTCTCATCCACAGGTGGAACCGCAGAACATTCGCATAGTGTCGCTCTTCTCCTCGCACCTCAACGATATTGGGTTCATTCCTGATGCATCCCAACCTCCTTCAGCTGCTGCTGCTGCTGCTGGTGTTGATGCTGCTGCTGCTGGTGCTGGTGGTGTTGGTGCTAATGGTGCTGGTGCTGGTCGTGGTGTTGGTGCTAATGGTGGTGCTGCTGTTAATGCGGAGGAAACTCGAGAAGAAGCAGTTAGAGCAGTGGAAACCGAAGCAGCCATAGCACGAGCCACCACAATGGGTGCTGCTGCCGAAGCAGTAGCATCGCCACCAGCACTAATAGCAGCAGCAGCAGCAACAGCAGCAAGTTCAGGAGAAGCAGGAGAATATTCAACAGCAGCAGTAAGGGCAGCAGGAGGAACGAGTTCGGGAAAGATTCCAGGCAAAGTCTCAGCCCAGGCGCAGCAGCAAGCACGTCGAGTCTTCCTAGACCAGATCGACCCGAAGATTAAAGACCTGCTCCCTAAAGCCGACATAGTTATTTTCCAGGCGACTAATTGGTGGTATGCTGAGGACAACCAGTGGTTCCTGGGCGGCAAGCAGCAGAAAATCTCCCGAAGCTCCGCTTATGCGATCGGGCTAGCGACTTTGAGAGACCATGTGGCGCGGTCGGGGTTTCAAGGGAAGGCGGTGGTGATGGGTGTGTCTCCGTCGCACTATATCGTGCCGGTGCCAGGGATAAAGAAGGGAAAATGCGACGTCAACAGCCGTCTTGACTGGAACCAGGTGAGGAGTCTCTTGCAGGATTCACATGTACGGGCTCGTGAGTGCTTTGAAGGTGAATGGGATGTGATGTGATGTGATGTGATGTGATGAAATCGTCTTTTATTCCTTCTCATTCATCTCCATCTTCTCCCCCTGTCCCCACTCCCACAGACGAGGGAAGCGAGGAGGATGGACAACCGATCGTTTGAAATGTGAAAGGTGCAGCTGCAGGTGCTGAGAGGGTCAAGGTTGCGATACGTGGACGTGTTACCAATGAGCTTCCAATCTTGCCTTGCTGCCTTCCTATCTCCGCTCCCCTTACCTTTTTTTCAAGCAGACAAAGGAAGCGAGGAGGATGGACACCCGATCGTTCGAAATGCGCAAGGTGCAGCTGCAGGTGCTGAAAGGGTCAAGGCTGCGTTATGTGGACGTGTTACCAATGAGCTTCTGGCGGCCAGATGGGCACGTATCGAAATGGAATGTACCAGGTGCGTCACTGTACTGTGTTTTAAATATGTACATAACTGTACCAGGTGCTTCTAAGCACGAGCTTGATACTTTTTTTTTTTTTTTTTTTTTTAACACCCCTTCTACCCTGGGCAGGTGGTAACACCGGAAAGCAAGATTGTCTGCACTGGTGTGAAGCTGGAGTAACAGACGCATGGCTGGAAATGCTATACAATACGCTGCTTTATTAAGCAGGGAAAAGGGACTAGTCTTGAGGTAGGGTAAGCTCAAAATATAATTGTTCCCAACACTGCAATAATTTGGTTAGAAGTCCTTGCACATAAAACTAAAATAATACTGAACTGGGGTCCCGGTGGTAACTTCCATAATCAAAATGCCACACAATACAGTGCATTATAAAACTTCTTGAGCGCTTCTGGTTCGAATCGCCTAAGAGACTGGAAAGGTGCATAATACGGTACCGGTAATAGTACGGGAACAGATACAGCACCTGGTTTTCTTGACATTCTGAAATATGTGAATTGGGCGAGAATTCATGTTACCATACATCAACTACCGGTACTACATGGATGTCAATCCGTGGGCATCCTGTCAGCAGCAGAAGTCGAGTTCACAGCACACTCCACCACGCCCGAGCACCCCACGTCATGCAACCCTGCAAGCAACCACCACACCACGTACACAGGGAGACACAAGGTGATGCCTGTTAAGCCCAGACTCAATCCATGGGCATCCTGTAAGCAGCAGAGGTTGAGTTCACAGCACACTCCACCACGCCCGAGCACCCCACGTCATGCAGCCCTGCAGGCAACCACCACACCACACACAGACACACACACAGACACACACACAGACACACACACAGACACACAGACAGACACAAGGCGATTCTTGAAGGACAGCTTCAAGTCAAAACAAGTCCTCACCTTTCCCTGCTGCAACCTCACCTTTCCTTGGCGCCAACTCAACTCCCCTTGCTGCCATCGCACCTTTGCCTGTCTGCATGGTCTAGCAGTGCTCCGCCTCGGCGTGCAAGTGCGTGTTCAGTAGTTGACCGCCTCACCTTTTCCCATTGCAAGACAAGCCCACCTTTCCCTGTTAGAAGCTACAACACCTTTGCCTGTCTGCACCGCATGGCAGCGCGTGGTCTTGCAGCGCTCGTCGTGTCGGTTAAGCGTGTTCAGGCTCACGTTTTCCTATTGGAAAAGCGAGCCACCACCTTCCCCTGGTGCAAGCCAACCTCACCTTTGCCTGACAGCAACCTCCCCTTTTCCCAATGGCATGCTCACACTTCAGTGCAGCAAGCTCCCGCTTCCCTATTCCAGGCTAGCTCAGTTTCAAGCTCGCCTCTCCCTGCTGCAAGCCACCTTCTCGTGCTGCAAGGCTGCAAGCCAAGCTCACCTTTCCCCGTCTGCGTGGCCTGGCACGCGCGCATGGTCTTGCAGTGCTCCGCCTCGTCGTCTCGGATGTTCACAAACACGTCGTACAGACTCTCCACGCGCGGGGATGGCCGCTCCGTGTCAGGCTGCATCTGAAACCCGTCGAAGCGGTACAGGTTACCCCCGTTATAGTACCTCACCGCTATCTGCTCAAAAGGGAACAGTGGAAATTGTCGAAAGAGAGGGAGCGATAGAGAGAGAAAAAAATGAAGATTGGGTCAGGAACGAAAGTAGCTCGAGCCAGAACCGTGAAAAAAACGGAGCTAACCACAGCAGAGAGGTATGCTGGAAAAATGCAATAGTGTTGTTGAGGGTGATATGGAACGAGTAATACACCGAAAACAGGAGCTGCACAATCAGAGCTGGATCAACAATAACGAGGACAGGGTGTACTACCTCAGGAGCAGGCTGCGTCTTGAGAAAGTCGCCCTGGCTCATGAGGAATTTATCGTACGTTTCATATGCATGCTCCTCCACCAGCTCCGATAGATGATACGCCATGCGAGGGCTGATCAGGTAACAGAAAATCGCGAAAAAGTAGTAACCCACGGCGATGTGCTGTGCGACGAACCGATCCACCCAGCTCCGGTCGCCGCCTAGAGCCTCCATGATCATGAGATGATGCGTCTCGTTCACGCTCTCGTCGAAGTGGGCTTTAAGGAACTCGATCCGTCGCCACCACCCGAAGCTCTCGTACAGATGCAGGATCGAAACGTACGAGAAGTACGGTACGCGCGCGATCGTTTCAAGGACGTAGAACCGAGCGTACGCGCGCTCCGTCGTCCCGTAAAAGGCGTTTAGAATGTGAAACGCGGCGTCGGTGATCAGCTTGTTGATTCCCCGTTCTAGGGATACCACGGTTCGAGCAGGCTGGGTGTCAGGAAGAGGATTCGGACATAAGGGAAAATTATCGATCGCTGTGGGTATCGAGGATGTGCTTATCGCGGACGGAGTGTCGACAGGAGCAATGGTGGAAGCGGAAGCTTCGGCTTGTACACCGTCTCGAGTGGGTGTTTTCGAGAATCGAACCTTACGAGCCCCGAAGTCTGAAGATGAAGTTGAGGATGGAGATGAGTTGGTTTGACTACTGCATGTCAATCTAGAAGAGGTGGTGGGTCTGGAACGTAGCGCTAAGGACGTCACTTCGGCTGATAATTTACGTTGCGACTGCCTGCTGGTGCATTTCAAGCTAGTGCTCTGACATGCAGTACTAATTCGCACATTCGCAGACGAAGCGGTCGACATGGTGATAGTGGGAAATGATACACCGCAGCCAAGGAATTCTAGGGAAGTAACAATGGAATCAGCCTTGAGATAGGAACTCGAGGCGCGTGTGCTAAGGACGCGTCACAATTGCGACATCGATCCAGCGGGAGATCGATGTTCCGAGTATACAGTAATTCGCTGTGTCTTGTATCCCGTTTTCGTTAAAGTTCGTTAAGACCCGACACAAGTCACCGAACGCGATGTCCCTTCCAGATCGATCTGTCACCGCACTCATATCCTACGTAATGCATTTAAAACTTTTAAAAAGGCTTATAACCCCGCTAACTATCGAACCTGAAGACAATCGCGACACATCTGGCTCAGAGGAGATCGATTCTCGCAGATTTGGTGTGTCACCGCGATCCTCCTCGATATCGCAATTGTGACGCGCCTGAGGGAATCCTGAGGATTTATAAGGTGAATACCAAGTTATTTGGGAACAGAGAACTAATCCCTCAGCTAGCACGTCTTGCCGAAGGCGTGGCACACGTTGGTGTTATCAAGGCTCGTGAGCCAGCCTCTGACCTGAAACCGTACTGCATCTTTGCGTTTTAGCAGTGAACCTTTCTGAGCCGTTTTCCAAACTCGGTTCCTTTTTTGTGGAATGAAGCAGGGCAAGCAACACTCCCGACAACAACGTTGTCAGCCTCTGCTTTCGTGCTATTGACGGCTCTTGGTGGCCACCAATAGCTGACCTTCGCTTTCAAGCACTTTTGATGACGTCGCCTTCCGACCTGGCCACCACGAGCCTCATTGGTGTGTCTGGTCGGCGTGGCGATGATGGGGAATATCAGAATCGTGCTGGAGAAAAGTGTACGTGTACCTTTTCTTGATGCTTCAGAGTCTGCTGCGCTTGGGGACAACTCCATTTATGCGATGTCCAAACTGTACCAGCCTTGGTAAAGGAGACATATACTAGCTGCCACGGTACAGTATATTGCTGACGATATTACAGTATATTTATGTTTAAGTAACGCTCAGTTTAATAATGCCAGGCTGGACGATATCAGAGACACGTCATGGGGAAGTAACAAAGTTTCTCTTTCCAGCGACACGTCGTCTCCTTTACATGCCGCGTCAGGGTGACTTGGACCGTGTATCGAGAAGTTCGGGTGTCGCGCTCCGCTGCGTGGGGGACATCCCCTTCGCTATGTGAGGTGCAAGTGAAGGGACAAGGTCTGTCACACTAGAAACCATCATCCTGACCCTTCGAGACGACTTGTGAACGTAGTCGTTTCAACCCCTTCCTCACCTGCTTGCCTGAACAAAAATATATACACGCCCTCGAAACTCTTCACGCTGGTTCAAGAAGGCCATACCGAAGCAAAAGTCAGATGCTTGTTCTTCTGCACAATCAATACACGCTTCTTGATTTTACATGACAATTTCGACCACATCTTTCGCGTATGTCTGTAGCATTCAATAGCATTACCGTACCTTTCCCCGTTGTAGCTTTAGATTCTTAGCCTGTTTAATTGTCAAGTTTTGCATCTAATTTCACCGTACAGAGCTGTAGTTTCCGCGAAATAGCATACCATGGCGACAGTGCTACGCTCAACATGCGTCCAAGACATTGTCGCAGGAAAGAAGTGCCTCGTTTCCGTAGACGCTAACGCGTCACTCTATACCGCGTTGGACCTTCTCCGCCGCCACAACATCACCGCCATGCCCGTCCGCTACGCGCCGTCATTGGCGCAAGTCGCGCAGAGGCGCCTGCTCGCGCAGATGTCGGCGATTTCGGCCTCTACGCGGCGCACGCAGAACCATTCGCGGTCGATTATTGCTCCTTCGAGAGTCTGTTTCACTGGAATGGTGAGTTCCCGGAGGGTAAAGAGCGTGATGGAATAGAGCAGCACAATTGTCGCCACTTTCCTTTATCAAATTAATTATGGTGAATTCCCGGAGGATAAAGAGCATGGTCGAACAGAGCAACACAGGATGATTTCCATCCGCGGCTTATACTAAGTCACTATTGAAAAGAGAGTTAGGGAGAGAAAACACAAATTTTAAACACACACTAAACACACTCAACAGTGAACTTCGTTTTAGGGACTGGTGTCGTGGATGTTCGTTTCTGTGTCATTGGCAGATTTCAGTCATTGACATCACCATCTTCATCGCCAGACGCTGCAGCAGCACCAGCAGTAGTGCCACCTCTGCCTGCACTGCCGCCACTGCCAGCGCCTGCTGTGGCAGGAGTAGCGGCCTGGAGTCGATTCAGGAGCAGCGGAGCGGTGAAGAAACGGAAGGGGAAGGAGAGGGTGAGGGGGAAGGAGCGGGAGAAGGGGAAGGAGGGGGTAAAGGGAGAAATGGGAGTGAGGGGAGAGGAGGGGGTGAAGGGGGAACAACCGAAAAGGGAGGTGGAGTAAGGGGCGACGGAGGAGGAATGAGCGAGAAAGGGGTAGGGAGCGGCGGGATTGGGCAGCTGGAGTGGCTGAAAGAGTCTCGAGTGGGTGATGTGATGGGCAAGACCGAAGAGACTCGCACCATGTTGGTTCTTGACCCGCATGCCACGTGAGTGATGGAAAGGGAGAAAAACAGAAAGAGTTTTGTTTTGCCTGGAAAGTCGTATGGGGGAGTGGGGGAAGACCCGCTCCATGCTCGTGCTGTAGCGAGGTGGCTTTTGAGTCGACTCAAAAGTTTGCTCGTGTGGGAGTCGTATGGGGGAGGCGGGGCGGGGAAGACCCGCTCCATGCCATGCTCGTGCTGTACTAGACCCACTTTTGGGGCGCCTCAAAACTCTTGACTCGCCTCAAAACTCGTGTGGGAGTCGGGGAAGACCCGCTCCATGCCATGCTCGTGCTGTACTAGACCCACTTTTGAGGCGCCTCAAAACTCTTGACTCGCCTCAAAACTCGTGTGGGAGTCGGGGAAGACCCGCTCCATGCTCGTGCTGTATTTTTTACTTTTGAGTCGACTCAAAAGCCTGGAAAGTCGTATGGGGGAGTCGGGGAAGACCCCGGGTCGCTCCATGCTCGTGCTGCACTAGAGTCTAGACCCACCTGCCTTCTGCCTTTTCCTTTTCCTCTTTCTCAGGGTATTGCAAGCCATGGAGATACCCGAAACCCTTCCTCAAACGGTCCCTTTTCTCTCCCTTTCCTCGCAGGGTTCTCCCAGCCATGGATTTGCTTGGCTCTAGGGGCTTCCACCGAGCGCTCGTGCCCAACGTGTGCCCATAAGACCACGAACAAACCACCGCCATGCCCATGCCTGCGCTGCAATGTTCACACCTCCCTTTCCCCTTCCTCTCTTCCTCTCTCAGGGTGCTCCAAGCCATGGAGCTGCTGGGTTCCAGGGGCTTCCACCGAGCCCTCGTTCCCAACGTGTGTCCGTGCGACCACGATCGAACCACCGCCATGCCAATGCCTGCGCTGCAATGTACACACCTCCCTTTCCCCTTCCCCTCTCTCTCAGGGTGCTCCAAGCCATGGAGATGCTGGGTTCGAGGGGCTTCCACCGAGCGCTCGTGCCCAACATGTGCCCACAAGACCACGATCGAACCACCGCCATGCCCATGCCTGCGCTGCTGCAACCACACCGTCTCTTCCCTTCCTCTTCCCCTTCCTCCCTCCCCTCAGGGTGCTCCAAGCCATGGAGCTGCTGGGTTCCAGGGGTTTCCACCGCGCGCTCGTTCCCAACGTGTGTCCGTGCGACCACGATCGAACCACCGCCATGCCAATGCCTGCGCTGCTGCAGTCGCGCCTGGGAGGAGGAGAGGGGGGTGCTGCAGGGGAGGAGTACCGAGTGCTGTCTCAGATGGACATTGCCTCGTTTATGCTCACACACGAGGGGCTGCTGGGCTTGACACTGGCTAAGAGGTATGAACACAACACACCACCATGCTTTAGGATTGTGGAGAGAGGGGGAAACAACAGTTGAGGAGAAGTACCATTTTCTGTCTCAGATGGAGGTTGCTGCGTGTATGGTCACACACGAGGGGCTGCTGGGCTTGGCATTTATTATGAGGTATGAAGAAGGTATGCTCAGATCCCACAGGCCTATTAGCTCAGCTGGTGAGAGCGTCGTGCTAATAACGCGAAGGTCACAGGTTCGAGACCTGTATGGGCCACTTCTACCTGTTACGTGGGTTTGTTATGAGCTTGGATCTCTGCCTTCCTTCCTTTGCGCCTTTAATCATTGGTGTGTGCAGCATCGACGACATTGGACTGGTCTGGCCGTCTGTGGTCTCTGTGACACCATCGCCTTCAACATGTTCCTTCTTTCTCTCCTCTTTCTCTTTATCTCCCCCTCTCATCCCTGCATTGCAGCATCGACGACATCGGGTTGGTATGGCCGTCTGTGGTCTCCGTGACACCATCCACTCCTCTTCTAGACGCCTTCAACATGTTCCGAATCCGAGGGGTGAGTGCATGTCATCGCAAAGGTTCCAAACCCGAGATGTTAATAGTGAAGTTGGTGGTAGGGTGGGCGGATGGATGGGTATGCCGTATGCCATCAGTCGTCTCTGTGTCTCCATCCACTCCTCTTCTCGACATGTTTCGAATAAGAGGGGTGAGTGGGTGCATGCGATAGGGGAGGTTGCAAGACATCTTTATCCCACGCACCCTTCATCCCACCCACCCTTCGTCCTACTACCCTGCGTCCCACCCACCCATCCCCACACCTCAAACCCTTACAGATAAGCGCAGTGGCAGTGGTGCAGCCTAAGCCAGCTCCAATAGCAGTCATGGTAGAGGAAGGGGGGGGCTCAGGGATGGAGGGGGGAGAGAAGGTCGGGGAGACCAACGGCAAAAAGGAAGCTTCCGTTGTGCTTCCTCAGTGGCCCATGGGGGGATGCGGCAGTGTGCTGATAGGCACTCTATCAGCATCAGATGTCAAGCAGGTGTGTTGTCATGCGTGCATGGTGGCATGGTCATGTGTGTGTGTGTGTGTGTGTTTATGTGTTTATCCACCCCAGGCGACTAGCACTTTTGTTTCTGATCCCTGTTTCGGCAGTGGTACTCTCATCTCCCTCACGCCCACCACCACCGTAGCTGATCTTCCTTCCTCTTGTGGCCTTTTTTCTCGTACCCATCAACCCATACTTTCATCCCGATCCACTCTTTGCCAGCCGGATGTTGCAACTCCGCTCCCCCTAACGCCAACCGCCACAGTGGCTGGTTTTATCAAAAGAGGCGTTGTGGCCTCTTTTGGCCTCTTCGCCCTGGTTTCCTCTTTTGAGGCGCCTCAAAAGTGGTTTTTTTTTTTTGTGACACTTGTTTCGCCAGGTGGACGTTGGTGCTCTGCTCTCCCTCACGCCCACCACCGCAGTAGCTGGCTCCTCCCCTTCCATTATCCTCGTTCCCTTCGAAAAATAACTGCCAACTGATATCTGTCGCCCAATCTTTCTTTCTGATACCTCTTTCGCCAGGTGGACGTTGGTGCTCTGCTCTCCCTCGCGCCCACCACCACCGTAGCTGAGATCCTCTCTGCCAGTATCCAACGATTCATTCCTTCTGTCCAAATCAATCAACCCGTTCTTTCTTTCCGAAACCCGTTTTCTCAGGTGGACGTTGGTACTCTCCTCTCCCTCACGCCCACCACCACCGTAGCTGATTTCCTCTCTGCCAGTATCCAACGATTCATTCCTTCTGTCCAAATCAATCAACCCGTTCTTTCTTTCCGAAACCCGTTTTCTCAGGTGGACGTTGGTACTCTCCTCTCCCTCGCGCCCACCACCACCGTAGCTGATTTCCTCTCAGCCAAACAAAAGGCAGCCGGAAATGAAGCAGCGGAGAAGCCAGCACCTGCTGTAGCAGTGACGCCAGCACCTGCTGTAGCAGTGACGCCAGCACCTGCTGTAGCAGTGACGCCAGCACCTGTTGTAGCAGTGACGCCAGCACCTGCAGCAGTGACGCCAGCAGCTGCAGCGGAAGTGGTGACATGCACCAGGTGCGTATGTGAGAGAGGCAGGTATGGAAAAGATCTGGCTCTGGTTCTCCATTTTATCCCTTCTTTACTCCCCTCTTCCCTCCCCCCTCCCTCTCTCCAGTACCTCTTCTCTGTGTTACTTGCTAACTTTGCTAATCACCCACCACGTGCACCGGGTATGGGTGGTCAAACCCCTTCTCTCCTCCTTCGTACAATCTATACCCTCCCCTCTCCCTTTTCCGTTTTCCACACCCCCTCACAGTGCCTCTTCTCTGCGTCACGTGCTCTCCCTGCTAGTCTCCCACCACGTGCATCGAGTGTGGGTGGTCCGACAAAACCACCTCATCCCTAACCTCTCAACCCCTCTGGACCCCTTTTCCCTGCCCCCCTTTCTTTCCAGTGCATCCTCTCTGCGTCACGTGCTCTCCCTGCTAGTCTCCCACCACGTGCATCGGGTATGGGTGGTCAAGCCCCCTCCAGTCCAACCTTTCAACCCATCCACACCCTTCATTACTCCCGTCTTCCCTGCCCCCCTTTCTTTCCAGTGCATCCTCTCTGCGTCACGTGCTCTCCCTGCTAGTCTCCCACCACGTGCATCGGGTATGGGTGGTCAAGCCCCCTCCAGTCCAACCTTTCAACCCATCCACACCCTTCATTACTCCCGTCTTCCCTGCCCCCCTTTCTTTCCAGTGCATCCTCTCTGCGTCACGTGCTCTCCCTGCTAGTCTCCCACCACGTGCATCGGGTATGGGTGGTCAAGCCCCCTCCAGTCCACCCCCTTCCTTATTCTCTACATCCTCCTCCTCCTCCTCCTCCTCTTCCTCCCAAAAACGAATCACCTTCTAATGAGGCAGCTTCTCACGAGGATACAGCTACTACTATTGAAGCTTCACAAGTATCACCTTCCCCCGGCAAGCACCCCCCAAATGTGCCAAGTTCTGTGCCTCTTTCCAATGTGACCTCCGGGCCTGTGCTTGAAGGCGTTGTGACTATAACCGACGTGCTCCGAACCATGCGAGTGCTCCCGATCCTGCACCCGTGGTCCGAGGACAGCGACCCCTTGCTTATAAAGAGGGGAGGCGGAAAAGGAGAATCCAGCAACAGCAGCAGTGGCAATACACGTGGCCGTACTGGTGACAGCAGCAACAGCCGTGGTAACCGTAACAGCAGCGGCTGCATGGGGTTACCAGGTGCTGACAGCAGGTTTGGGCGCAGTGCGAGCTGTAAGGTGACTGGTGCTAGGCGCTGGAATCCGAACGTCTCCCTTTCTATCGATGTGAACACCTGGCTTGGGACCAGCGGACGGGCAAGAGGAGCAGCAGCAGCAGCAGGAAGTGGTAGCAGTGATGGTGGTGGTGGCGGCGGCGGCGGCGGTGGTGGTGGTAGTGGTAGTAGTAATTATGTTGGTGGTGGGGAGGAAGGGGAGGTTATGGGCGCACAAGGTGAGGAGGGGGAGGAGGAGGAGGGCGATGATTGGTCGGTGACATCGATGACGAGTGATGATGATGCTGACGTGGCAGGACCTGCTACAGTAACAGGGACGTCAGGGTCGAGTTTTGACTCGTATTATTGGCTGGACTGGTGGCCTGAGAAGCCGGCCTTAGCATGACTTCAAAGGTCAAGAAGCTTTGTGCATATTTAGCCTCTGTAAATGAACAGCATTCTTCTTCCACTGCTGTATTTCCTGCTTCTGCGATGTAGCGTGTTGGATCGTACTGTTGCGATAACAACACCATTTCGCTTCTTGACGATGGTGATGTGTTACAAGAAACATCTTGTACCCATTCAAGGAGGGATAAAAGAGTAAATAAGGACACATTGAGCTTTTATGGATACTTGAAGAGAGTTGAGGGAAAAGCAAGCAGGTCATCTTTAGAGCTTATGTGGACTACCAATACATTGCATTCACTCAAGGAAAGTTCATTCTCTACTTTATAATCTAACTGTAACGGAGCAGCTTGTTCAGGGATTGGTAGTTGGTAATTCTTACGACGATTCAACTTCCACCCAATGTTGGCTTTAGGACGGAGATGAAACGGTTGGAATATCGGAAGGGCTCAGCCCTTCAGCCCTCTGTAGCGTACTACATCCTCTGCTGAAGGGCTTCGGAAGGAGATGAAACGGCCTGTGGAGGAGGTTCCTATGGCTGTGATATCATGGTTGATCCACACCACACACCCAGGCAACACCTGCCTTTAGCCGTTCGATTGTCGAACCAAACCAGGCTCTGTATGGTTAATAGAGTCCGCACCTACTGCAAGCCGTTCGATCCCCCAAACCAGCCTCACCATACCGGCTTCGCATAACTCGCTGTGTCGAACCAAAACAGACACGGTGTGTTGTGGATCCCTCGATGTCTCCAGCAATGGAGCAACTCCCCTCTGAATCCGAGACTTATTTTAGGTGCGACTCTAGAGTATTTTCGAGTTAGTGCCGGTTCGTCTCCCAAACTGTCTTTGCGCCGCAGCCGATGTAGCGCGAGCTGAGCTCTTCGGCGGAACCTCACGCGCGCAAAGAATGCAGCGTGATGATTGCGCTTTCCGCCAGTCCTTGCGTCGAATGTGCGGTTACTGGTAAAGAGCGAATCTGCGTCACGGTTTTTTCTGCAGAATCAAGCTCGAGTCGCGAAAGAGACAAGCGCGACCAGCGGAGAGTCCGTGAAACAGACTGATTCGGCAATACCGAGGAGGAGTCAAGCAGGCAAGCAGACAAACAAGAAAGCAGGCAAGCAGCATTGCAGCAGGGACTTACGAACTGCCGCGTCGCGTCGTCACTTGACGAAATACAAGAAAGGTCCCGGGAATCTCGCGAACAAGCGAGCAGCGGTTGCCACGCGTTTCAACAAGCATCGATAGGGCCGTTTCATCTTCTCACGTGAATCTAGGTTACGAAAAACTCACGCGAAAATCCGATGCCGCGGTTGGGGATTGCGGATTGAACGCCTCGCGGCGCGAATCGATGGGGCCGTTTCATCTCCTCTCAAGAGCCCGCATCACGCGCTAGTATGCGAGACGAGACTAATACAACCATTCACTCTGTACATAACCACTCTCAACTCAACCACCGACGAGTCAACGCTGTGCAGTAGCTTCATAGGCTCCAGACCCGAAAGGATCTACAGGAAGGTTATTCGCTACATCGCCAGCGTTCGCGGCTCGGGAACGCGAGGCTGTCGAGTCGAACCTCTTGGTGCAGCGGCAACAGCAGTGCTGCGACCCGAATCGCGTGAAACAGCTCGTTTCAGACAGCTTCTAGCGGCGCACTCCGCGCGGCGAGGGGCTAAGAGTCGCAGGGGAGGGAAGGGGAGGGAGGAAAAGGGGAGGGGGGGAAAGGTGAAGAGCTGAAGCAGGCGCGACTACAGGGCACAGCGAGAGACACGGGGAAAGAAGATGTACAGTTACGGGGAGCAGGAGAGGTGAGGAGGAGGAGAGGTTACTGGTAGGGCATATTAGAGGATGACAAGGGACGTAACTCGCATCGTCCTGGAAGGGAGAGGTTACCAGTCGGAGAGCGTGAGGTTATAGGGGCAGGCAACCGTGCAACGGCTGTCACGTCTCGTTCAGCCCTGCTAGTCCGCTGCTCCACCGCGTCGCGAGGGGAGCAAGAAGTACTTAATCCCTCCAGCAGCGCGACATTTCAGGTCGTCGTCGTAGCAGCAGTCGTTAACAGCCGGAGCCCTGGAGAAACGATCGTCAGAGGTGGTGTGAGGTGAGGTGAGACACGGGGAGCGCTCAGAAGGGCGACTGCAGCCTGCACCCACCTGTTAGGTTATATTAGACAGAGCTTTACCACAGGCGCTCTGTTGAAGAGGCCTGAGGGCTTGACGGCCGCCTGTACGCCATTAAGTGCTCCACTCCGTGCGTTTTCCCACCACTGATAAGAATCTCACGCGCAACGATCTAGACCGTCATGGCGACTCCCACCATGTTAATCTCCAAGTGCCGCCGCGAGTTAATCTCCACCATGCCTCTATCCCCCCTGCTCCTCCTCCTGCTGCTCTCCCTCGCTCCCTCCGCCTTCCCCGCTGCTTCCGCTGCCGCTGTCAACTCACCTTCTGTTAACTCGCCTTCCATTGGCTTGCCTGCCGTTCGCTCACCCCCCGCCGCGCCTGCTCCAACCGTCCCTGCTAATTCACCCCCTGTTGATCTGGGAACGGACGAAAACGGCAACCCAGTGAAACCCGGGGAGGCGGCGTTTCAGCGGAACGTTCCGCCGTCCCCGCCACCCCCGCCGCCGCCCCCTCCGGTCGTCTCTTTCATGCAAGGCACCTACATCAACTGCGGCAGCAACGAATCGCTCAAAAACCCGCTCTACACCTGGGAGGCGGATCCCTTTTCGGGCAGGTTCGGGAGGAGTTTCCGGGCAGGCGTGATCAAGACGAGCATGACTGGGAAGGTTGCGGCGGGCAGGATGGGGAATGGGAAGGTTGAGTTTAGCGAGACGGGGGTGCTGAAGACGCCGCCAGGGGTGGATGCGCGGGTGTTTGAGACGGTTCGGTTCTTTGATGACCTCGCCCCCAACGTTTCTACTTACTCTGTGCCGGTGAGTGCTGGTCTCTCGTCGGGTAGAGTGCTGAGGCTGGGCTGCTCTGGTTGCTGCACGCTCTGTGCTGTGGGGTATGATAAGGTGGGGGTGGATGCGAGGGTGTTTGAGACGGTTCGGTTCTTTGATGACCTCGCTCGCCCCCAACGTTTCTACATACTCTGTGCCGGTGAGTGCTGCCTGGTTGCCTGCGTGGGGCTGGTTGCTGGGAGGTTATGATAAGGTGGGGGTGGATGCGCGGTTGTTTGAGACGGTTCGGTTCTTTGATGACCTCGCTCGCCCCCAACGTCTCCATCTACTCTGTTCCGGTGAGTGCTGCTGGATGTTTGTGACTCCACAATCCAACTGTACTTCAATGTGTGTTCTCCCCGTCGCTGCTCTCTTGCCTGCTCACTTCCCTCTCCTTCCATTCACACACACCTCCCTCTCCGACCTTTCCCCTTTCCCCCAGGTCCCTGGCCCCCCCACCAACGTGTTCGTCCGCCTGTACTTCGCTGAGATCGTCTACACGACAGCCAAGCTGCGCCGCTTCCACGTGGCAGTGGAGGGCGCGCCCCACCCAACAACGCTAATACAAATGCCCCACCCCACCCCACCCCACCCCACCCCCGGCCCTCTACTTTTGAGGCGCCTCAAAAGTGGAGGGCGCGCCCCACCAAACATCGCTAATACAAATCCCCCACCCTACCCCACCCCACTCCACCCCCGGCCCTCTCTGCACTGCAGGTCCTCTCCCCCACCAACGTGTTCGTCCGCCTGTACTTCGCTGAGATCGGCTACACGACAGCCAAGCTGCGCCGCTTCCAAGCAACTCTGAACCCAAGCAATTTCACTTTCACCCCATGGTCCCCACCCATCTTCCCTTTCCCCAGGTCCCCGGCCCTCCCACCAACGTGTTCGTCCGCCTCTATTTCGCTGAGATCGTCTACACGACAGCCAAGCTGCGCCGCTTCCACGTGGCAGTGGAGGGCGCGCCCGTGCTGACCAACTACAGCGTGCCACGTGGCACTGTGCGAGTGGAGGAGTTTGTCGTGCCTGTGCTGGACGGTTCTGTGGACATTGCGTTTATCCGGGGCGAGATTGGCGAGCCCATGATCAGCGCCATTGCGGTGAGTTCAGCACCTCAGAGCACCTTACAGTACCGCACAACACCGCACAGGTGCCACGCTGCACCTCTCATAACCGCACAGCAGTTTCTGTGCTGGACGGTTCTGTGGATATTGCGTTTGGCGAGCCCATGATCAGCGCCATTGCGGTGAGTTCTGCACCGCACAGAACCGCACACCACCTCTCAGTATTGCGCAGCATCGCTCAGTGCTGAACTGCACTGCACAGCACCGCACAGCACATCCTGACTGTGGGTGGGCTTGCTGTCACGGGGATTATGTGCTGCTGCACGTCTCTCATCCCCCATGCCACCCATCCCCCATGCCACCCATCCCCCATGCCACCCATCCCCCATGCCACCCATCCCCCATGCCACCCATCCCCCATGCCACCCATCCCCCATGCCACCCATCCCCCATGCCACCCATCCCCCATGCCACCCATCCCCCATGCCACCCATCCCCCATGCCACCCATCCCCCATGCCACCCATCCCCCATGCCACCCATCCCCCATGCCACCCATCCCCCATGCGTCCCATCCCATCCCCTGCAGGTGGTACCACTCACACCCGGCATGCAGAACCTCTCCGCCCCCACGGCCACATCTCCCATACAGCTTGCTGTCCTCTACTCACATCTTCCCCGTCTGCCTGCCTCTATGCCTCTGCCCTCCCATCCGCTGCAGGTGGTGCCGCTGACACTCGGCATGTACAACCTCTCCGCCCCCACGGCCACGTCACGCATCATGGGTACGTTGCCTGCCATATTTGAGTCAACATGTAACATGTTCCAACATGTAATTCCCGCCCCACCGGCACACCCCGCCCCCACCCACGGCCACTTCTCGCATCATGGGTACGTTGCTTGCCACATAAGTCGAGTTTTGAGTCGACTCAAATCTCGACTTATCACACACGTTGCTTGCCATATTTGAGTCAACATGTTCCAACATGTAATTCCCGCCCCACCGGCACACCCCGCCCCCACCCACAGCCACATCCCATCCCGCCACATGCTGCTTGCCGTGTGCTGCTCTCGCTCTCCTCTCCCTCCCTCCTGTTGTTCAACCGCTCTTCCCCGTTCACTCCCGTTCCGACCTCTCTGTTCTCATCTCAGCTCTCCCTGTCTCTCCCCCTCTCTGTCTTTCCCTTGCGCTCCCTTCCCCCTCCAGCCACTGACTACCGGTTCGGCTGCGGGCTGTACCTACCCATCACCGATTTGACCCAGCGCATCTGGAACCTGCTACGCTACCCTCTCACCCGCTCGCACCAATTCTTCTTCAATCCCTCTCCCTCCCGTGCTTCCTTCCAGCCAACGACTACCGGTTCGGCTGCGGGCTGTACCTACCCATCACCGATTTGACCCAGCGCATCTGGAACCTGCTACGCTACCCTCTCACCCGCTCGCACCAATTCTTCTTCAATCCCTCTCCCTCCCGTGCTTCCTTCCAGCCAACGACTACCGATTCGGCTGCGGGCTGTACCTACCCATCACCGATTTGACTCAGCGCGTCTGGAACCTTCTGCCCTCTGAGCTCTACACGCCCAAGGACCCCGGGTCTCGCCGCTACAACAAAACCGAATCAGCAGCCATCACGTGGCCGCAGACTGCTGACAACGCCGACAAGCCACCCTTCATGTTCCCGCTCGACCTCACCACTGTAAGCCCTTAGTCGACTCAAACCGTAGGTCTAGTGCTTAACCACAGGAGGGAGGGCCCCTAACCAGCTCTACCAACTCCATTAGTTCAACACTGTTTCTCTGTGTCTCTCCCGTTTCTCTGCTTGCCCCTCCCTTTAACCCGTTTGCTCTCCTCCTCCACAGGCGGGGCTGCACTCGGTCGAGTATTCGAGCTACGCGGGCTACAACGACAGCACATTCCTCAACTTCCCACTTCTTCAACACTGCTTCTCTGTGTCAACCCTTCCCCTCATCATGTGCTCACTCCCCCTCTGCTCTCACCCTCCTTCCCTCCACAGGCGGGGCTACACTCTGTCGAGTATTCCAGCTACGCGGGCTACAACGACAACACCTTCCTCAACTTCACCCTGTTGTTCCCCCTGCCATCCCCCCCGCCTTTTTCCCTGCCATTCCCCTTCCTCACCCCATCTCCCCCTCTACAGGCGGGGCTGCACTCAGTCGAGTACTCCAGCTATGCGGGCTACAACGCCAACACCTTCCTCAACTTCTCCCTTCCTGCTGTGCTGTGCTCTCCCTGCCTGCTGTGGTCCCCCTGTCACCCACTCCCTTCCCATCTCCCCCTTCACAGGCGGGGCTGCACTCAGTCGAGTATTCCAGCTACGCGGGCTACAACGACAACACCTTCCTCAACTTCTCCCTCCCCGTGCTCCCATTGTCCACCCCCTGCCTGTCACCCCTTTTCCTACCCCATCCCTCTACAGGCGGGGCTGCACTCAGTCGAGTATTCCAGCTACGCGGGCTACAACGACAACACCTTCCTCAACCTCTCCCTCCCCGTGCTCCCATTGTCCACCCCCTGCCTGTCACCCCTTTTCCTACCCCATCCCTCTACAGGCGGGGCTGCACTCAGTCGAGTATTCCAGCTATGCGGGCTACAACGACAACACCTTCCTCAACCTCTCCCTCCCCGTGCTCCCATTGTCCACCCCCTGCCTGTCACCCCTTTTCCTACCCCATCCCTCCACAGGCGGGGCTGCACTCAGTCGAGTATTCCAGCTATGCGGGCTACAACGACAACACCTTCCTCAACTTCTCCCTGTTGTTCCGCCTGCCGTTCCCCCTGCCATTGCCGCTGCCGTTCCCCCTTACACTCGGGCCCTTATTCCCTCCACAGGCGGGGCTGCACTCAGTGGAGTACTCCAGCTACGCGGGCTACAACGACAACACCTTCCTCAACTTCTCCCTCCCCGTTGACCCCAACACCGCCTACCGCATCGACCTGGGCTTTGAGGAGCTCTGGTACTACTACGTGAGTGCCTTGTCCCCTCTTGCTCTCCTTCTCGCACTACTACGTGAGTGCCCTCTCCCCCTTGCTCTCTTGCACTTTCCGCTCTCCCTCCCTGCTATTACCCCTCTCGCCCATCTCTCTCCCTCCCTGTCGACCCCAACACCGCCTACCGCATCGACCTCGGCTTTGAGGAGCTCTGGTACTACTACGTGAGTGCCTTGTCCCCTCTTGCTCTCCTTCTCGCACTACTCTGGAGTGCCTTGTCCCCTCTTGCTCTCCTTCTCGCACTACTACGTGAGTGCCTTGTCCCCTCTTGCTCTCCTTCTCGCACTACTATGTGAGTGCCTTGTCCCCTCTTGCTCTCCTTCTCGCACTACTACGTAAGTGCCTTATCTCCCCTCGCCCCCCCTTGCTCTGGTAAAACTATGTAAATGCCTTATTCCTCTCGCTCTCACATTGTCCCAACATGCTTTTTTGAGGCGGCTCAAAAGTCCCGTCACTGCTATTACCCCCCTCCCCTACTCTCGTCGTCCTCCTCCCCCTGCCATTCTATGCGCCGCCCGTCTGCTGGACTGGACATCTATGTGGACGGCACGCTGACCTGGCCGCTGACCTCCCTTTCCTCCCCCACTCCCTCCTCCGTTCCCCTCTCCCGCTCCCCCTGCCATTGTATGCGCAGACCGCCCGTCTGCTGGACATCTACGTGGACGGCACACTGATGCTCAAGGACCTTCCACTGACTCGCATGCTCTTCAACCCACCCCTTTCCCCCCCCTCATGCAGACGGCCCGTCTGTTGGACATCTACGTGGACGGCACGCTCATGGTCAAGGAGCTTCCACTCACCCTGTTCCTCTCCCCTTTCACTTCACCCCTGTCCTCTTTTCCTATCCCTCCCAACGCTCAGACCGCCCGTCTGTTGGACATCTACGTGGACGGCACGCTCATGGTCAAGGAGCTTGACCTGGCCACTGTGGCGGGCGTTGGCGTGCCCTACACCGTCACCCTCAAAGGTCAGTCTGTCAGTCTGTCAGTCTGTCAGTGTGTCAGTTTGCCTCTGTTTGTTTGCTAGTTCACTCGGTCTGTTCTTGGCGGGCTGATGGTCAAGGAGCTTGACCTGGCCACAGCGGCGGGCGTTGGCGTGCCCTACACCGTCACACTCAAGGGTCAGTCTGTCAGTCCCCTTAGCAGTCAGTCAGTCAGTCAGTCAGTCAGCCGGTCAGCCAGTCAGTCGTGAAAGATCAGTCAGTCCCCTATGCCTCACTAGACTCAAGGAGCTTGGTCTCGCCGGCCACTGTGGCGGGCGTTAACGTGCCCTTCCTCACACTCAAGGGTCAGTCCCCTTAGCAGTCAGTCAGCCGGTCAGCCAGTCAGTCGTGAAAGATCAGTCAGTCCCCTATGCCTCACTAGACTCAAGGAGCTTGGTCTCGCCGGCCACTGTGGCCGGTGTTGGCGTGCCGTGCCCTACACCGTCACACTCAAGGTTCAGCCTGTTCGTTTCTCGGGTTTTGTTTTACTTTTTTCTTTCTTTCTTTCTTTCTTTCTTTTCCGTATGGATGGATTCACTTGCTAAATGTTGCCCTCTTTCTTACTCTGCTCTTCTCCCTGCAAACTTCCCCCTTCTTCATCAACAGCTGTGTCCGGCCCCTCGGGCTTCATGAACATGTACCTCAACACCTCCACCGGCTCAGTGCTCTCACCCTTCCCTTTCACCCTCCTCTTCTCCGTCCCCTCTCCCCTCCTCCCCCTCCCCCTCCCCCTCCCCCAACAACAGCTGTGTCCGGCCCCTCGGGCTTCATGAACATGTACCTCAACACCTCCACCGGCTCAGTGCTCTCACCCTTCCCTTTCACCCTCCTCTTCTCCGTCCCCTCTCCCCTCCTCCCCCTCCCCCTCCCCCTCCCCCAACAACAGCTGTGTCCGGCCCCTCGGGCTTCATGAACATGTACCTCAACACCTCCACCGGCTCAGTGCTCTCACCCTTCCCTTTCACCCTCCTCTTCTCCGTCCCCTCTCCCCTCCTCCCCCCTCCCCCTCCCCCTCCCCCAACAACAGCTGTGTCCGGCCCCTCGGGCTTCATGAACATGTACCTCAACACCTCCACCGGCTCAGTGCTCTCACCCTTCCCTTTCACCCTCCTCTTCTCCGTCCCCTCTCCCCTCCTCCCCCTCCCCCTCCCCCTCCCCCAACAACAGCTGTGTCCGGCCCCTCGGGCTTCATGAACATGTACCTCAACACCTCCACCGGCTCAGTGCTCTCACCCTTCCCTTTCACCCTCCTCTTCTCCGTCCCCTCTCCCCTCCTCCCCCTCCCCCTCCCCCTCCCCCAACAACAGCTGTGTCCGGCCCCTCGGGCTTCATGAACATGTACCTCAACACCTCCACCGGCTCAGTGCTCTCACCCTTCCCTTTCACCCTCCTCTTCTCCGTCCCCTCTCCCCTCCTCCCCCTCCCCCTCCCCCTCCCCCAACAACAGCTGTGTCCGGCCCCTCGGGCTTCATGAACATGTACCTCAACACCTCCACCGGCTCAGTGCTCTCACCCTTCCCTTTCACCCTCCTCTTCTCCGTCCCCTCTCCCCTCCTCCCCCTCCCCCTCCCCCTCCCCCAACAACAGCTGTGTCCGGCCCCTCGGGCTTCATGAACATGTACCTCAACACCTCCACCGGCTCAGTGCTCTCACCCTTCCCTTTCACCCTCCTCTTCTCCGTCCCCTCTCCCCTCCTCCCCCTCCCCCCTCCCCCTCCCCCAACAACAGCTGTGTCCGGCCCCTCGGGCTTCATGAACATGTACCTCAACACCTCCACCGGCTCAGTGCTCTCACCCTTCCCTTTCACCCTCCTCTTCTCCGTCCCCTCTCCCCTCCTCCCCCTCCCCCTCCCCCTCCCCCAACAACAGCTGTGTCCGGCCCCTCGGGCTTCATGAACATGTACCTCAACACCTCCACCGGCTCAGTGCTCTCACCCTTCCCTTTCACCCTCCTCTTCTCCGTCCCCTCTCCCCTCCTCCCCCTCCCCCTCCCCCTCCCCCAACAACAGCTGTGTCCGGCCCCTCGGGCTTCATGAACATGTACCTCAACACCTCCACCGGCTCAGTGCTCTCACCCTTCCCTTTCACCCTCCTCTTCTCCGTCCCCTCTCCCCTCCTCCCCCTCCCCCCTCCCCCTCCCCCAACAACAGCTGTGTCCGGCCCCTCGGGCTTCATGAACATGTACCTCAACACCTCCACCGGCTCAGTGCTCTCACCCTTCCCTTTCACCCTCCTCTTCTCCGTCCCCTCTCCCCTCCTCCCCCTCCCCCTCCCCCTCCCCCAACAACAGCTGTGTCCGGCCCCTCGGGCTTCATGAACATGTACCTCAACACCTCCACCGGCTCAGTGCTCTCACCCTTCCCTTTCACCCTCCTCTTCTCCGTCCCCTCTCCCCTCCTCCCCCTCCCCCTCCCCCTCCCCCAACAACAGCTGTGTCCGGCCCCTCGGGCTTCATGAACATGTACCTCAACACCTCCACCGGCTCAGTGCTCTCACCCTTCCCTTTCACCCTCCTCTTCTCCGTCCCCTCTCCCCTCCTCCCCCTCCCCCTCCCCCTCCCCCAACAACAGCTGTGTCCGGCCCCTCGGGCTTCATGAACATGTACCTCAACACCTCCACCGGCTCAGTGCTCTCACCCTTCCCTTTCACCCTCCTCTTCTCCGTCCCCTCTCCCCTCCTCCCCCTCCCCCTCCCCCTCCCCCAACAACAGCTGTGTCCGGCCCCTCGGGCTTCATGAACATGTACCTCAACACCTCCACCGGCTCAGTGCTCTCACCCTTCCCTTTCACCCTCCTCTTCTCCGTCCCCTCTCCCCTCCTCCCCCTCCCCCCTCCCCCTCCCCCAACAACAGCTGTGTCCGGCCCCTCGGGCTTCATGAACATGTACCTCAACACCTCCACCGGCTCAGTGCTCTCACCCTTCCCTTTCACCCTCCTCTTCTCCGTCCCCTCTCCCCTCCTCCCCCTCCCCCTCCCCCTCCCCCAACAACAGCTGTGTCCGGCCCCTCGGGCTTCATGAACATGTACCTCAACACCTCCACCGGCTCAGTGCTCTCACCCTTCCCTTTCACCCTCCTCTTCTCCGTCCCCTCTCCCCTCCTCCCCCTCCCCCTCCCCCTCCCCCAACAACAGCTGTGTCCGGCCCCTCGGGCTTCATGAACATGTACCTCAACACCTCCACCAACTCCCTCCACAAGTGAGCGCTCTCACCTTGGAACACCTCACTTCCCTTGCTGCTTCCGAGTCGACTCAAAAGTCACCTCGTTGACTTTTGAGTCGATTCAAAAGTCACCTCGTTACCATGGCACACGACACCTCAACCAACTCCCTCCACAAGTGAGCGTTCTCACCTTGGAACACCTCATTTCCCTTGCTGCTTCCCCTGATTCTTTCTCCATAAGCACGCTAGAGCTCTTCCGGGTGATTCTCATCGACCCCACTCAAACACCCCTCCCACCCCCCCATACCTCCCTACAAACCCCCCACCTCCCCCCCAACAGCAACGTGTTCATAAGCACATTAGAGCTCTTCCGAGTGATTCCCATCGACCCAACTAATCCCCCTCCCATGCCATCCCTCCCCTCCTTCCCCCCCCTAGATCTTTACCGAGTGATTCCCATCGACCCAGCCAACCAGGCAGCTCTCCTCTCCTCCCCTTTCAATCACTCCCCCTCTCCACCCTCTCCTCCCTCTCCGCCCTCTCTGCCTTCTCCACCCTTTCTCCCCTTATCCCAACAGCAATGTGTTCATAAGCACGCTAGAGCTCTTCCGAGTGATTCCCATCGACCTCACCAACCAGGCAGCGCTCCTCTCTGCTTCCAAGCCCCTCCCTCCTCCCGCTCCCTTTGCTGCTGCTGACACCACCGCCGCTCCCGCCTCCTCCGAATCCTCCTCTGCTGTAAGTCTCCCATTAGGGATTTCCACTGTATCCTCTCACTCCCTCTTGCTCTCCTCTCTGCTGCCAAACCCCTCCCTCCTCCCGCTCCTTTTGCTGCTGCCGAAACCACCGTCGCTTGGTATCGGCATAGCAGTGGGCATGGGCATCATTCTCCTCCTCCTCGCCTCTTGAGCCAACTCTAAACACACCATCACCCCTCGTACCTCCTCCCCCCCCGCTGAACGCGTTCATGGCGCTGGGTCGCCCCGTGTGGCAACGCACTCGCACTGCCCTCCAACGCCTGCTCTCTGGTGAAACCACCTGACCAACGACCTGATAGAAACGCTCACGTTGCTTCCAGATGCTCCGCCTGACATAGAGCTTGGTGACTTGGTTCCACACAGCCTTGCCTAACCATTGTGGTTGTGATACTGTGCATGCTTTATATGCCACATATTTATTCCATACCATACATTGCCATACATAACCCATTGCACCAGCAACGTTCCCCCACTCACCTCGCCTGTGCACCGCATGGCATCGCTGCCTCGCCCATGCATGCACGTACTGCACGGCATGGCATTGCTGACATCAGCGGACGAGCCAGCACTGAGAGACAACAAGCCTCTGCGCGCCAAGGCCTTGCTTCCTCAGGTGGGATCTATGATGCCAAGTGCCTTCCGCGCTCAGGTGGGATCTATGATGCCAAGTGCCTTCCGCGCTCAGGTGGGATCTATGATGCCAAGTGCCTTCCGCGCTCAGGTGGGATCTATGATGCCAAGTGCCTTCCGCGCTCAGGTGGGATCTATGGTGCCTTTGAAAGCTTGTGCTGTCTTCATGCGGACGAACCAACCAAGCACTGTGTGATCTTCCTGCTTTTCGTGCCATATTCCACCCCCCCCGCCATGCTCCCTCCTCCCCATGCCTCAGGCGCGTGTGAGCATGGAGCTACCAGCAGTGGTGGGAGACTACACGGACTTTTACACGTCCCGCCTCCACGCGTCCAAGACCTCCATGCATCCCCACTCCCCGCTTGGCATGCTTCGTCATTCCTCCCCATGCCTCAGGCGCGAGTGCACATGGAACTACCAGCAGTGGTGGGTGATTACACGGACTTCTATGCGTCCCGCCACCACGCCTCTCAAACTCCCGATGCTTCCACCCCCCCAATGCTCTCGCTTTGTGTGCCCTTCCCTCCTAGGTGCGTGTGCACATGGAGCTACCAGCAGTGGTGGGCGATTACACGGACTTTTACGCGTCCCGCCACCACGCCTCTCAAACTCCAGATGCTTCCACCCCCCCAATGCTCCCGCTTTGTGTGCCCTTCCCTCCCAGGCGCGAGTGCACATGGAACTACCAGCAGTGGTGGGTGATTACACGGACTTTTACGCGTCCCGCCACCACGCCTCTCAAACTCCCGATGCTTCCACCCCCCCAATGCTCCCGCTTTCTGTGCCCTTCCCTCCCAGGCGCGTGTGAGCATGGAGCTACCAGCAGTGGTGGGCGATTACACGGACTTCTACGCGTCCCGCCACCACGCCTCTCAAACTCGCCGTGCTTCCCCCCTCCTACGTTCCCGCCTTGTGCGCCCTTCCCATGCCTCAGGCGCGAGTGCACATGGAGCTACCAGCAGTGGTGGGCGATTACACGGACTTCTACGCGTCCCGCCACCACGCCTCTCAAACTCGCCGTGCTTCCCCCCTCCTACGTTCCCGCCTTGTGCGCCCTTCCCATGCCTCAGGCGCGAGTGCACATGGAGCTACCAGCAGTGGTGGGCGATTACACGGACTTCTACGCTTCCCGCCACCACGCCTCCAAACTCTCCATGCACCACCCTCCCTCTCGCCCCTGCTTCCCTTACCCATTCTCTCCCAGTCTCGTGTGTGCACATGGAGCTACCAGCAGCGGTAGGCGAATACTCGGACTTATACGCCTCCCACCACCATCGTGCACCTACCCTTCCCGCTCCCCCCCCTCTTCCTTCCCCATCCCCTCAGGCGCGTGTGAGCATGGAGCTACCAGCAGTGATAGGCGATTACACGGACTTTTACGCCTCCCGCCACCACGCCACCAACGTGGGCCGCCTCTTCCGCGGGCCTGGCAACGTGGGGGGAGGAGGTACGTGGGGGGAGGAGGTACGTGGGGGGAGGAGGTACGTGGGGGGAGGAGGTACGTGGGGGGAGGAGGTACGTGGGGGGAGGAGGTACGTGGGGGGAGGAGGTACGTGGGGGGAGGAGGTACGTGGGGGGAGGAGGTACGTGGGGGGAGGAGGTACGTGGGGGGAGGAGGTACGTGGGGGGAGGAGGTACGTGGGGGGAGGAGGTACGTGGGGGGAGGAGGTACGTGGGGGGAGGAGGTACGTGGGGGGAGGAGGTACGTGGGGGGAGGAGGTACGTGGGGTGTGGAGGAGGAAGGTGTGTTTTGGAGGAGGGAGGGCAGTGCGAGTGCGTTGCCACACGGGGCGCCCCAGAGCCATGAACGCATTCAGTGACGCCTGGTGGGGGGAGGAGGTACGTGGAGAGGGCAGGGTGCGTGAAATGAGGAAGAGGAAGGTGTGTTGTGGAAGAGAAAGGGTACGGAAGGTGGCACACGTTGCCTGATGTGACATGGCTCGCCCATACAGGTGGCCATACAACAATCATCCGTGCGACACTCTACCTGGTGAAAGCAGCCTGTGTCTTTGACTACGTCGCCCACTTCCCCCAGAAGCCCCGCGTCCGCCATAACTGACAGGTCTAGAACTTGCTCGCCTATCGCCACGCCCACTCGTGCCGAGCCTCCTGGTGAGGGTCGGAAGACGCCGAACGGGAGGTTTTGGATCGGGAAGTGGCAGTTGAGAGGGACGGGGACAAACGAGGCTAGCGGCGGTGCTGACATGGCGGCTTTCGAGTGGCGGCTAGCTAACTGGTTGTAGGAAATTCGTTCCTACTGACGGTTTTTCGACGCAGTAACGGTCGTCGGAGCAGTGGCTAGTAGCGAGTCGCGATGCAGGCAGCTGCTGTCACAGTAGCGACGGAGCTTGTCAGGAAAGCGTACTAAGCTTAGTAAGCGACTTCAGATGTGATGACATAGTAGGCTTGAAAATTCGCGTGAATTTGCGAAGAATGGTGAAAACCGGACGCGCAATTTCACGAGAATTGGACGATTGTCAGACTCGAGGCACGACATGGTTTGCTGGTGCTGAGAATCTCGAGCCACCTTGAACTCTGCTTGCTTGTCGCGCATTTCTGATATGGTGTTGCCAGCGCTTTCCGCTGAAGGCGGAATGAATATCTGACCTGGCAGTGACTCGTTCTGACATCACTTTCGAACTTCGCTGACACGAGGAAATGAACCGTCTGTTAGCAGACTCGTCTGCTAACTTCGTCTTTGTATTCTTCCTTAACAAAACACTTCAACTATGGAGGTATACTTCTTATCAATTCCTACTGATACAAGAAAGGACGGATATAAAAAGTAGTCAGAAATCAGAGTAAATCCTCGGAGTTCTATTGTACACACATTTGTTTGTCAAGGCTCCACATTGATTGAATCAAAAACCTCGACCCTCTCCGCCCCATGAGGTTATAAGCCGCTGCATTCCGGGGATTCACCCATCCATCCCCATAGATGTATGTGCATTTATCCGCGCCCTCCACTTGATCGTGGTCATACCACGCCGTGAAGAGCGGGTCTTGGGCCACCTCCGCTATCTCATGCGCGAATGTGGATAAAGTCGCGTCTACATTGATCCCGTTGAATGTGTCGCTGCACGGGGTGGGTTTGAGAAGTGGATTGGGAAAGCGATAATGAGATTACGAGGAAAGGGATGATCTGAAAAGGAAGAGCCACGCAGTTTCCATGGTGAAACCCACCCGCTCGTCTATTGCTCCTGCACAGAGGCAGACGGCACATTGTGCATGGCATGGCGGCGTCTCGCCATGAGCATTGATGCATTCAAGGTCACACGGCCAAGAAAACGACCTAGAGCATGTGCAGCAAGAGGCTGCTCTGATAATGGGCCATATGCTATGCAATGCAAGTATTGCAAGTTTTAAACGAGCTAGTATGTTTCTGGTAACCTGCAAGAGTCACTCATCATGGTAGCAAGTCACTCACTAGGAGAGCGGTCGGGTGCACTGCGAGGGGCAGCGAGCAGAGTGCCCCGCGAAGCCAAACTTTAGAGCCTTGCCCAGCGCGTCTTGCCCGTAGCTGTGGTAACCGCAGAAGCGCGTGCAGAATCCGTCCTTGGGATCGCTGCTCTTCACCTCCACCGTCGGATCCGTCATGACCATGTAGATGCCGTCCGTGTCGAATGGCAGCAGCTTGTTGCGCAGATGATAGTTGATGACTGCATGGGGGCGTCAGGGAGGGTGATAGGGAGCGGGTGAGTGTTGGGCACAGGCATGATGAGGCGAAGCGGAAGGCAAGAGGCAGGAGGCAGCGACGGTGCTAGAGTTTGGAAAAACTAGTAATTCGGCAGACAGTGGGCGGTAGTGAGAAACAGACAGCCACATATTTTCCAAGAATGCGCCTGACTGGGATCTTGGAGAAGCTACATTATCAAGTCCTGTGGCGTTTCAAAAGTATGACGCACATGTCTGCAGAATGGTGCCGAGAGTTCGTTCACTCTTAACAAAATTGAACTTAGGAAAGCGACTTACTGGCTACCACGTCCTTCTGGTAGTTGCGCAGAACCTTCCCGCCGCCCGACACGTAGTTCCGATCCAGAACCGACTTTCCAAGCGTCACAGTCGAGCTCACGCGCTTGCCGTCCGCCTGCGTGCCGACCGCCGTCAGATCCCACCAGCGCGTCACATTGTAACGGTCAGCCGGCGTCTTGTATTTCCCCGATATAGAGTCGACGAACTTGTGAAACAGCTGCACCGTTGTCGCGTCCCAGTCGCCGTAGAAAATAAGGTAAACCCTAATTGGCGACTTGGTCATCACGGGGCCGCCATGGTACGTCACTTTCCCGCCTTTTCCGAACTGACCGTTGCCGAATTTCATCTCTTGCGCGGATGATAACGAAACCCTCCGCTCCTTCCCGAGCGTCCATCCGCCGTTCGGCCCGCCGCGCTTCTTCTTCGGCGGTATTCCCCCTCCGCCGGTGCCGCCGCCGCCGCTGCCAGTAGAGTTTTTGCCCCCTGGGATAATCACGGGGAATTTTCCCGCGCCGCTGTCGCTCGTCCCTCCCGAAGCCTGCCCCCCTCGCTTTCCTCGCCCCCCTTTCCCCGGTGTGATATCGATCGGCGCAGCTAGTCTAGTCCCCGCCCCTCCGCTTCCCCCGCCCTGCCGGGCGCTGTTTTTCCCCCGGTGATAGAACGCCACGCCCTTGGGAATGACGAGAGCTTGCTCCTCCGCTTCCGTCCACGTCTCGCCACTCTCCTTCCCTTTCGCCGCCGCGTTCTCAACTCCCTTCAGTCTCCGTCGCCCCGCCTGCGCGAATTCGGGCGATACGACTCTAAAGACGCGTTTAGGGACCGGCTCGGCGCGCACTATGAAAGAACCTTCGCTCTTATCAACCGAAACTTCGCCTCGAAAAGCGGGACTGATTAAAGGAGTATCCACTAGGACGGTCCGTTGTTGCGAAGAGGGACGAGATGTTTGTAACCCGTCACGTCGTCGGTGAGCGTGCGTCCCGCGCTGTGGTTGAGATTTGGCGGAGATGAGGAACTGGAATGCGCAGAGGAAGAGGATTGATGCGAGGCAATGAGCCGAGCGTCGCGGCATGGTGACTGAAAACTGAAAGCGCTGAGTAGTTAAGGATCTGTCGTGAGAAAACGGTTGGCACGTGCGTCTAGTCCTGGTAGACTGACCGAGAGGTGATTGTGCCTGGCAGCTGGGAAAGCTAACGTAGGTGAGATTCGAGGCTGCCGAATCTGGAATTCGAAATGAAAGCCACCGTCTCTGCCTTGCTAATTGTCTACCCAGGGCTTGCGACGAATTCAGCTTGTGATTATGGTGATGGCTTGAGGAAGTACGGAGGCGCAGTTGAAAGTTGCACGGAAAGTGGGTCCGAGTGGAGGAGGGAAGGCAAGAACTGAGACAGGATGGTGTCTGCTTCTGCCTTTGTCAGTTTGGCAGCGCAAATTACAAATCGAAGCGCATTCCCATTGCTCAAGAGGTGCTTCTTCTTCTGACCCTTTTTTGCTGGTGTTCAGCCCCACAGTTCAACCAGGTCATTGAAACTTTTAGATGTGGTGATCCATCTTTGTTCGACGGACTATTCCTACGAAAAAAAGCCCCATAAAGTCTCTCAAGCCTAGATTAACGTTTCACAGCATTTTCGAAGATTTGCCCAACGAGGGCTATCTTTTTCACCGAACTTTGGTTCCCTTGACTTGCGGTTGGGGGCTGAGGAACCAAGCCAGCCTTGCGATTGGTTGGGGTGTGTGCGATGCACACAACATTCTTTTCGCCGAAGATGGAGGCGGCTCGAGTCAGGCGGGGGTCGAACACCATTGGCCGGGAAAATGCCTTCACAGTCCAGCCAGTCAGTGGGGCTATGGCGAAGCGCCGGGACTTCGAGAGGCGTGGTGTCAGGCTTGTGGCAGGGTGTTCGTGAACTGAAAATCCTCGACAATAGACGATTCTTGTTAGCCTACGACGTTCTGGTAGGGATAAAGCACGTCATCGTTTCATGCTGAATGCATAAAATGCCAAGAAGAAGCACTTCGTTGAAGGAACATATCATCGGCAGCACCACGGTTTTCTTCAAATGTTTGAGACTAATATAAACCGCGAGAAACCAGAGTGAACCGCATAAGACGAAGTAAATCACGATGTGCCCTGCCCACCAACCAACCAGGGAATAACGTCGCACAGGTCGCACAGAGATTCTGTACGGAATCACTGACGACATTGTGCGATGATAGCAATGAACTCCAACCACGAACCCCCCACCCAGTGATATTCCCTCCTCGCAATGCAACCACCACCAGCACACCCCCGTGCTCACATTGCGACATATTCTCCACCTCATCTTATCCACACTGACTCTTATTTATAGTTGACTGAACACCGTCCCCGCCGGCGTCGCGGTTTAGGCCATTTGCTTCTAAAATGCTCTAACTTTTTTCATGCATGCGTAAAAGATGTCCAACAACCGGCAATCGCCTGATGGTTTCGCCGATTCTATCGCAAGCGATGTTGCGGGGGCAATTCCAGTCGCCAGGCGATCATCTTTAGAGCAACACACGTTGGCCATTTCTGACAACTTTGCTAACCCTAATGGTCTCGCCAGTGCTAGCGCTGGCAGTTTGCCTTATCCCGCTTCACAGCAACGGTTTGTACCTCCAACGCACGATGTTATGTCGGGTGCTCCTACAGGCTCTATGGAATACCCGACAGCAGGATTCGAAACCGAACCTCGTCGCTCTCCCCCCGATCGCATGCTTCCCGACGCCAGCCGCGGCAGTCCCGCAACTCAACGGGCCGGGGGCGGGGCAAGGCGCGGGGGAGGCGGGCTTGTTGGCGGAAGGTATGGCGCAAGAACTGGCGGTGTTGGGGATGAGTATGGCAGGTGGGAAGGCGCGCAACCAGCAGGGATGATTCAGCAACAGCAGCAACAGCAGCCGCCGCCGCAGGCGCGGCAGCAGAGGCCACACCAGCATCGGCGCGCAATGTCCGTTAGCGCCGTTGGCGCGTTCCAAGGCGGCGGCTCGGATGGGAATGGGTGGGACATGGGGATGGATGCGGGCGGAACCGCTGTGATGGCGGAGGACCTTGCGCGGGGGGTTGGCGCGAGTTCCGCCATCGCTGCTGGCGCGCCCGCGGGCAATGCCCGACCCGGTCGTGGCAGGGGCGCAGGGGGGAGTCATATCGCGGTGTCTCCCCGCGGAGCTCCGCCGTACACAGGAATGTCGCGCGGAGGGGGAGCTGGCGGGAGGATGGGGAGGGCGCAAGCCATGGTCGCGGGGAGAGGGCCTCAGGCTCGCCCCCATACCGGAAGCTCGGCTTCGGGGCCTTTTGGCTCGGCAGGAATGGACCCAGTGAGACATGCAGGGATGAGCATCGGCGGCCCTGGTTCGGGGTCCCCGAACCACTTGCCAGGTGCGGTACCGAACCAACTGGTTGGGACAGCACCGTGGCAGTCGAACCGAAGCATTTCCTTTGACGGGCCACGGGGAGAAAGTCCCAATAAACCCACGCCCGGGTCGTTTCCGCGAAGCAACACCACGCCCCTCCCCAGCCAAGCCACCCCTGGGGGCGGCCCAGGGGGAGGGGGAAGCCCTAGTAGCGGGATGCGGGCGGGGATAGGGGGAGGGGGGATGGGGGCGGGGATGGGCATTGAGGAGCATGAGATGGAAGGGCAGGATGTGGAGGGGGGCGTTGTGGGGGCCGGCATGGGCGGCATGGGCGGCGGTGCATTGGCTGCCCAACACGCGCAAATACAACACCTGCAGCAGCAGCAGCACTTGCAGCAGCAGCCACTGCAGCAGCAGTCGCCCAGGAGGCCAGTGCACCGCAGAACAGCGTCCACTCCCCCTGAGAACCTCGTGCCCGCTGCTGCTGCCAGGCCCGCATTCGCCGCCCCTGGTGCTTCCTCTGCTGCAGGCGCTTCTGGCTCTACTGCTGCTGCTGGTGGTGCTGGTGGGATGAGAGCAGCCGGGGCGGCTCCCGGTGCGTATGGGATAGCAGCGTATCCGCAGTCGCAGTCGCAGCAGCAGCTGCAGCAGCAGCAACATCAGGTGGGGAAGGGCAAGGTTTCAATGCAGGGGCAGATGCGTCGACCCAGCAGCGCATCGCCGATACAACAGGGTTACCACCAGCATCAGCACCAACAGCACAACCAGCAACAGCAGTGGCAGCAGCAGCAGCAGCAGCAGCAAGGTGGGTACGACCACTTGTCTCTGGACCGGCACGATAGCTTATCAGATGATGACTCAGATGACTCAGATGATTCTGATGATGATGATGACCATGCGGAGGCAGCCATGGCCACTCCCCTGCGTGCAGTCCAGCCCGGGTCACTGTCCGTGGAGGGAGGTACAACTGGGGGAGGTCGGTCTGGTGCTGAGGGGTATGGCCGAGGGGCGAGTGGAACGGGGCGGGGAGGAGGAAGAGCAGCTGGCAGGGGAAGAGGGCGGGAACTGATGGCAGGGGCAGGCAGGGGTTCAATCGGCCGAGGAGGAGGGGTTGGTATGGCGGGGCGAGGTTTGGTGGGTGGAGGAGCGGCAGGGGCAGCAGCACAGCGGCACAGGCGCACACAATCAGATGTGGTTTTCACAGGCGTGCAGGGGGGCGGGCAGGGGGGCATGCAAGGAGGCGTGCAGGGGACGCAGGGGATGTTTCCTGATGGCCCTTACCGGGCGGCAGGTGCTCCTGTGATGAAAGGGATGGGGAGGGGCGCAAGTGGGGGAATGGGAGGGGGGATGGGAGGGGCGACAGGTGCTGTGGGTGGAGCTGGAAAGGCTGGCGCAATGGCTGCTTCTGGCTCAGAATTTGGGTTCTATGAAAGCGTGAGTATGGATGCTGCTTCCTCGGGCGCACATGCCATGCAAGGCATGCAGGGGATGCAAGGCATTCATAGTACACATGGGTCCATGGCGGGCCCTCGCAGCCCTCGCATGGGTGGCTTTGCAACAGCAGGCAGTGCAAGGCAAGGCGGAGGATACGGGTCGCACGCAGGGGGATCAGGGCCGCACCAAGGAGGCCCACAGCAGCAGCGGCAGTCGAGCGTGGTGCCTGTGAGCCCCAGAGGCGTTCCCCTCGTCAGCCCCAGGCGGGCAGCAGGCACGGCAGCAGGGGGCATGTCTGGCATGGGAACAGGGGCCATGGGAGGTACAAAGCCATGGGATGCACTCGGTATGGGAGGCATGGGATCAACCGCAGCAGCAACAGGAGGGGCAGGAGCAGCGGGAACAACAGGAGCAGGGGGAGCAGCGGGAGCAGGGGGAGCGGCAGCAGCAGGGGGCATGCCTCCTCGCAGCCCCAGAGGCCTAGCCTTCCCTCTATCAGCCTCCACGTCTGCCCTGCACCCCTTCTTTGCCAGCCCCACGCGTTCCTTCAACAGCCCCACTGGCTCCCTCGGCAGCCCTGCCCACTCCCCCGTGCCGGGGCGTGAGTCCCTGGGTGGTAGGTCGCTCTTTGGCAACGACCGGCGCTTTGGCAGCTTTGTGGAACGGAGTATGCGCGTGGGGGGGAAAGGCATGGAGGAGTTTGCGCTAGGAGGAGCAGTGGGAGGCGGGGGAGGGGTGGGGGGAGGGGGAGGAGGGGGAGCAGGGGGAGGGGGGTTTCAGGGTGGGTATGGGCAGTGGAGGGGCAGTCCCCCGGATGGGGAGCAGGGGGGGAGGAGGCGGTATGCGCTGCGATCGGGGAGTTTCATCGAGAGGCGCACTGAGAATGAGTGGTTTGATCACAGTGCGCCTGGACCCTTCCCTGCTGCTCCTCATGCTCTTGGTGTTGGTGCTGCTGCTGCTGGTGGTGGTGCCAGTGCTGGTCACTTCAATGCTGCTGAGGGTCAGATGGTTGGGGGGTTTAGAGGTTTGTCGCTGGGTTCTGCTGGGTCGAATGCTCTCGGGCGGGTGCATCATCCTGTGGGGCGGGCGACTAGCTATAACAGCAGCACTGGCAGTGCCGCCAGTAGTGGTGCGAGTTCTCCTGCCTCTGGCATTGCTGCTGCTGCCCATGCTGCTGCTGGTGCTGCTGGTAGGGCGCATTCGAAGAGAGCAGAAGGGATGTATGCATCTGGAGGGCCGAGTAGACTGAGTGTGGCACACAATGAAGGGGAGGAGGGCGTAGAGAGAGGGGGGAGAGGGGGAGCTGGAAGAGTAGGTGGAGGAGAAGGTATGGAGAAGAAAAAGGCTGGAGAGAAGCAGATGAAGGGTTTGGTGGAAGATGGTGGTGAGAGGAGGGAGGGGAGTAGGAAGGGGAGGAGGCGAGGAGAGGAGCGAGTGAAGGACCTTCGGATGCAGACGGATAGTGATAGCCACAGCGAGAGGGATAGGGATAGGAGGCAGAGGAGGAGTGGGAGGAGGAGGAGTGCCAGCAGCAGCGGAAGGGAGAGTGGCAGAGGAGGCAGGGAGATGAAGGGGAGCAGGGGACGCAGGAGAAACAGCTCCAGGAGCAGCAGCAGCAGGTCGCGGCGCAAAGACAGCTCGAGGGAGATAGATACCGAGCAGAGGAAGGGCAAGGGCGGGCGATCTCGGTGGAAGGAAAAGGAAGAGCGAAGGGCGAAGGTGGGAAGAGGCGGGGTGGGGAGTGATAGAGAGAGTCTTACGGCGAGTGCGAGTGAGGTGGAGGAGAGGGACGTGCAGCGGTCCTCGAAGCGAGGAAGGAGGAGGAGAAGCCATCGGCGGTATCATAGGGTGGGAGGCAGCAGCAGGAGTCAGAGCGACTCCCGGAGCAGATCGCGAAGCAGGTCCGGAAGCAGATCTGGAAACATGTCTGGAAGCCGGTCCAGAAGCAGATCCGGAAGCAGGTCCGGAAGCAGGTCCGGAAGCAGGTCTGGAAGCAGGTCATACACCAGCCAATCCCGAAGCAGAAGCCGATCACCAAGCGAGTCTGGGAACACCTCCCGTAGCAGATCTCCTAGAAACTCCCGTAGCAGGTCCCGCAGTGGTTCACAAAGCAGCTTCCGCAGCCATTTGTCGAGGGAGAAGTTGTCAAGCAGGGTGCGAGGCCGGCGCAGCCATCGCAGACAGCCTAGCAGCAGCCATTCCGACGGCAGTGCCAGCCCCAGCCAACGCAGCAGTCGAAGCCGCAGCAATAGCCACAGCTGCAGCAGGAGCAGGATCAGGAGCAGGAGCAGACGCGGGAGCCTGAGCCCGAGCAGTGCAAGTGATGGGTATAGACGCCGCAGGAGTGACAGCAGGAGCAGGAGTGACAGTAGGAAGGGGAGCAGGAGCAGGAGCAGGAGCAGCAGTAGGGACAGGAGCAGGAGCGGCAGCAGTGATAGAAGTGGGGAGAGCAGCAGGGATAGAAGCAGAAGCAGAAGCAGAAGCAGCAGTAGGAGCAGGCGCAGGAGCAGTAGTAGTGAAAGAGCGAGGGAAAGCCAGCGGAGTGAAGATGAGGGAGGGACAAAGGACTGGGACCTGCCAGATGTTGAAGCAGATGCAAGCAGGGGAGGTAAGGCACCTCAGCCAAGGGAGGTGGATGTGAAAGTGAGAGGGCAGAGTGCGAAGGGAGGGAGCAAGGAGAATGGGGCGCGGGGAGAGCGGAAGCTGAGCAGTGCAGGGTCACGGACAGAGAGAAGGGAGCGGAGCGAGAGGGAGAAGGGGTTAGCAGAGGGGGGGAGGGAATTGCGTACAGCCGGGTCTCGAAAGGAGAGGGGGGAAGGACGCGAGGGGAAGGAGAGCGAGGGGGAACGAGGTGAGAGGAAACTGCTCTCTGGTGGCTCTAGGAAGGAGAGGAGGGAGGGAGGAGAGGGTGGAGGAGGGGACACAACGGGGGGCAGGGAGAGGAAGCTGCACACAGCAGGGTCAAGAAAGGAGAGGAGGGAAGGAGGTGAGGGTGGAGGGGACACTAAAGGGGCTTGGGAGAGGAAGCTGCGGAGTGGTGGTTCCAGGAAGGAGCGGCACAGGGGGCATGGGGACGGCAGGCGAGTGGAGGATGCAAGCAAGCCTGATGGTGGCGTTGTTGCTGGTGTTTCGGAGGTCAGACGCTCTGTTTCTGGTGCTGGTGCTACTCGTGCTGGTGTTGCCGGTGTTGCAGGGGGAAGTGCAACCAGGCCCCATCGTCTTCATCCCCACAGCAGCAGCCACAGCCATGGCCACACTCATGCGCATGCACACACAACCAGTGGCCACAAGGGGCGGACACCTACCAAGCGAGATGTAGAACCGGGAGCATCCCAAGCCTCTGCACCTTCTGCCACCGCGAGTGCTTCGAGCTTTGAATGATGTGAGCTTTGAATGAGGTGAGGGGAAGCTGTGGTTGAGACAGACTGGAAGAAACTGGACCATTCAGCTTTCGCACATTCGGCTGCTGGTGCTGGTGATGCTGCTGAAGCTGCTGGTGCTGGTGATGCTGCTGAAGCTGCTGAAGGTGCTGAAGGTGCTGGTGCTGTTGAAGTGTTATTTGGGTTACTATGTTGGCCTGGCTAAGGAAGCACACAGACTGCTTGAGGATTGCCCTCATGGGTCCCTCGTTCGCTCCTTGCTTCTTAGCTGTGATGCTGTAACTGGATTCAGGATTCAGAGTACGTACGTGTGTGTGTGTGTGATACTTGCTGGAACCAAGTTGGTATTGACAATGAATCAAAGAACCTTGCTCATCACTGTTGGTCAATCCTTTGTGAGCATTTTCCCTGTAACTGTGAAAAAGTCAATGATCCTGCACACAGAGCATAGAATCAGACGTGCATACCGTACAATCAAATGAACAACAGGTGCATCAGAATGGCTAACATCCACTGTGATGGTTACCGGAGCAGCTCAGTTCCCCAGCCAAAATACAATGTTTGTCTTGTCTCCCAGACGCACATCCACATCCAAAAGATAAACGGCTGCAGCTGGTGCTTTATCCAGTGCGCAGGATAATGTGCACCCCACTGTCCGTGTCAACAATGCCGCTCATCTCCCCCACATTGATCCCGAACGTCGCTTCCTCGAAGGGTCTCTGCATCTGGCCTCGGCTGAACCAGCCTGAAACGAGGGATCGGACGGAAAGAGGAGGGGATGAGAAAAGAAATGGAGAGTAAAATCGGAAGAGAGGACGGTCGAGATGTCTAGACGGCACTAGACTACACCTGTGGTATACATCCGTTTTTCTCATTTCTAAGGTCATTGCGTACGCAGCTGCTATAACCAGCGACTGCACTAATGTCGAGATACGAAGGAAGATGGACAGATTAGGACGTTCTCATGGTATCTACTTCGCAGTCTAACTCGTGGCATATTTCATTCTTTAACGAACCCCCGATTAGAGAACATTGAGTACACTCCGATGCAACTGACGTACCCAGATCTCCATTGTTTCTGGCAGAGCTGCAGTGCGATTCAGTCTTCGCAACCTGGCCAAAGTCCAGCTCGCCACTTGCGATGCGTTCTCTAATCGCCAGCAGCTGCTGAATCGCCGAGTCCTTCGTCGTTCGCCCTATTGTCTCTCCATTGGGATCCTTCCAAGATGCCGGACGACGAGAGCCTTGGTGCTTGATGAGAATGTGAGAAGCGCGGACTTGAGACATGGTTTATGGTGAACGGCTACGTTATGGCGGGAAATATTTGACGGCACGACAGAAATCTGACTGAGAAACGTGCAGATTTTTCTGGTGCCTGGACAAAGGTGATGGGTGTGACTGAAGAACAGCTCCCTCGAAACAGCAGGAATCTGGCGGTAATGTAATGAAGGAACTCCTGCAAGGGCAGATGTTCATTTCGGTTGTGCAGGATGCTGTGCACTCTAAAACGGTTTGTTTTCTTGATCGCCTTAAACCGCTACACACCAGGCTGTATGGCATAATATTCCGAGGACATACCTCGGGAGTTTCTGAAGCACTCATGAGTTGACTCCTGTATAAGAAAGATGTGAGTCAATTGAAATTTGTCGCATACCCCTAAAAATAAATCCCCTCTTTTAGTCCAGGAGGAACCATTTGACCTGAGCTAGTTCAGTATGCAATTGAGCAGTCTTTTAGTATCCACAATAGTACTAGCAGCAGCTGGTGTTACTTGCTGGGAGTAAGGTACAAGGTAGTAGATATTAACAATACAGATGGCATAAAGCTGTACACAAAATGCATTATCACCTACTCTGTTACAGATTGGCCTTGAACAACTCCCAAGGCATTGTGGGGACGTGGAGGGGGAATGAGCCCAAAGGGCCCCACTTGCACATCAAATAGCCGGTTGGAGTTGCATGCAAGCATTAGAAAACTTCCATGCATTGTGCCTCGCTTCGATGGCAAGGGGGTGTAGCTGATGTACTCAAATTCCGAACCAAGATCCAAGATGGGTTGCTTGCCAATAACGCCAGGACCAATAACCTGTGCACCAGGAAGGAAAGAAAATGAATCGGTTCACGATATTTAAGCAACAATGCAGCTTAATGCTTCTTCCCAGTGCAAGCAAAATTCTCAATCTACACTCCCACTGCTCACATGCACAGACTATACTTGACAATGACCCAAGCAGCAACGTGACTGACCTCCTGTATTTTCCCATCAAAGTCCTTGATAACCCACTGCCTGCTGACAAGCTGCACCGGCTCATTCACTCCCTCATTGCGAATGCGGACCTGGAGAGTAGAAGAGGAAAAACGACAAAATCTCTCGGCGTTTGTGCAACACAAGGACACAAGCAGACAGTGCAAGGATGGGAGAGGATGAGGGAGAGGGGGGGGAGGTGGGGAGATGTAAAGGAATGCTTACTCGGTAGTGGTACAGAGCGCCAAAATGGATCTGGTCCATGACTTGGAACTTGCTCTGCACTTCCACTCGGACGCCATGGCTTAGATTGTCGCTGTGATCGGTAGCGGAGTGTGTCTGCAGCACTGCCAACCGTCGATTCAACACAGCAAGCAGCGACAGGGCTTGAGACGTTGACCCCAGTCCTCCTGTCAATATTTCCGAAAAAATAGGGGCGAACGAGGAAAAACGGCAGAGAGAATGGGGAGGGTGAGTGAGGTACTCTTCGTGCAATAAGCAGCATGAAGCTGCTCGGATAAAGCTGTTAGTCTGTGCTTACTTGGGCTTGCACGGAGCCTGGCTCTCCCGTCAGCGGCACTCGAAATTCCTGCCTTAGTAGCGCCAAGGAGGCGTCCCTGCCTCGCTTGATGGCTCTTAAAGCGCCTGGCGTGTTGTCCTGCAGCCATGAAACCTCGGACTGCCATGTAAAATGGGGATGGAACGATGAGGAATGGAGGAAAGACAAGCCACTGTGAGGAAATAATTTGAAGCCACATGACCACGCAATGTATTAAAATCACAAAACTACGATACACAGACAGATTCTCAGAGCATCAGGCTTTGACATTCTGGGTGAAAGGAATCAGACTATCGGACGAAGTAGAGATACATATTTAGTTTCACAAGCACGAACCAGAGAGAAGACGTCGGTAGTCTTGTGCCGTTCTATTTCCGATGCGAGCCGTTTCGTCGCGGCAACTAGAGCACGATAAACTGGTCTAACAAGACCATGCCGTTCCGCCATATCCTAATCGAAATCTGCGGTATGAACACGATGTTCGGAAGAGCTGAAAGCGAAAATTAGAGTCTGACGAATGGAAAAACTGGCCGTACTTTTGCGTTGCTACTAACTGATTCTAGTCTGACGTCGTCTTCGTTTTCGGGGGAACACGGTAAGAGCGATAATCTTATTTCGGTGTGTCGACGGTCTGGATAATAACCACTCTCTGACAGACACAGCACATTCACCTGTAGTACCTCTTTCCAGTTTGTTCTGGTTCTGCTCTGCCACGATGCCTTGCCAGTGGCAGACTGCCACTATCCTTCTGAAATATTTGCTTTCCTGCTGCGAAGTCAGGCTATTCTTTTGCGAGAGTTGTCGTTCAAATATTACAACTTCAGCGAAGGTTGACGAAATCGAGGCCAGTATTCGTGCTAGGAAGTTATCAGTGTGTTGCATGGTGTTGTTTCTGCGATGAGGTGAGCCGACCATTCATTGGTTGACAGCCCCATGCCACGTCAACGTGCCCTGTCAGGACTCAGGTCAGGACCACGATGGATTGGTGCATGCTCCCATACGCGGTTAAATCATTTCTTCCCGCTAAATTCATAGTCGCGTATGCTCAAACACTTGCCCACTCTCAAATTGAGGAGCCACACAAACAAGAGGTCACCTTTGATTTGAACTCTCTCAGGATCCAGTGCGAAAAAAATTCCCTATCTTCTGCTGATTTTCCTGCTTTCCTTTGTCCCTTCTACTCTTGTTTTTTCCAAATCCACCCTTCCTGACTCCCCGTTTCTTTGTCCAACCGCCCAGAGCTCCCTTCCTCTCTTCAAGCTCTGGCGGCGATTTTATATGTTGTCGTGAGAAGCATGCCAGCAGTCGTTGCTGCTGCTTGACATCCACAGTTGAGAAATCAAACCCGGAAGAAGCGGGAGAGCGAGAGCTCCCCAAGGCCGAACCGGATGGCTCGGTAAACTCGGAACACAAAACAGGCTGTTCGGTTGCCAGGATTGCCTCGTCCCTATGCCGTTGCACATCCTCCTCTTGTCCCTCACAAGCATCATCACCAGTAACCGCTTCATCCCCACCTGTATTGTCGCCTTGTACCTCAGCAACATCATCACCTTTCACCCCGCCAGCCCATGCCCCCACTCCAATCACCCCGTCATCCCCTCCCCTCCCATCACATCCCCTCACACACCCTTCCATGCCCCCATCATCCCTCCTGCAGTGCCGCACTGCACCTTCTCCAACCGCACCATCACGCCATTCCGCCACCTCTTCGCCTCCCTCCCCTTCTTCCCTACCATCTTCCATCTCTCTCGCCCCCGTACCCTCTCCTCTGCCCTCGTCCCTCTCTCCCCCCACCTCTCCCTCCGTCATTGCAACCACATCTCCCTGTAAAACACCGTTTCTCCCTAACCTCTCTGCTCCCAAGTCATCCTCCCTCACACCGCTCCCCTCCCTCCCCCCCCCCCACATGGCCCCTCTCTCCACCACCCTCGCCAGTGACTCTCCACGTCGAGAAAGCCCTTGATTCGTGTCCGCATGTGGTACCAACTTTCCTCCTCTTTCGCACTGACGCATCTCCATACTTCTCACTCTCACTCCCCACCTCTCTCTCTGCCGCTTCCTCCGCCTCGTCAGCACCGCTCTGCATCCCTCTCAGTGCGCTCGCCACTCCTCCACCACTCGCCCTTGCCTCCCAGCTTCTGCCACCATCTGCTGCTGTGCTGGCCGAACCCCCTGTCACAGCGTCCACACCACTTCCCACCACATCCACACCACTTCCCACCACTGCCCTATCTCCATTCATTCTCTTCTCCTTCCGAGGCTGGCTCTCACCCAAATCCGCATCTTCCATGCCTGTGCCCTCATTCCTCACTCGTCTCCGACCCAGCATCCTCACTAGAGCCCCTTCAACAGCACCCCCCTTGCTGTGTGAACCCAGCCGTCCTTTGCTGCCCCTCGCTCTTCCGCCTCCTCTTCCCTGTCCCACTGATTTCCTTCTTCTTGAATCTGTCCGTTCCCCTGTCCCTTGCTCCCCAATCCCCCGGTTTTCTGAGCCCCGCTCCTCTGTTCCCTTCTCCTCTCCAGTACAAGCATTGCCTTGCTCTTCTATTCTTAATTTCTTACTCTCACGCCCCCCCACTCCTTCAGAACCCTCCTCTCCCTCAATTCCCTCCCCTTCTTCCCCTCCTCGTTTTGTCGCCCCTCCCCCACCCATGTCCCCCCTCTCCCTGACCTCCCACGCGCCCCCTTCCACCAGCTCTCGTTCTGCATCTCCTTGCCTCTCCTTCTCTCCTTGCCTGTCCGCCCTTCCGTGCTTCTCCATCACATCCTCCCCCTCGCTATGGGCCTCTCTTCTTAACGCAGAGCATCGACTGAAAGCTCTCAGCAAAGGGGAAGACGAGTCACGCACTGCTGCTGTGCCATGTGCTGGGCCGCGTGCAACGGGCACAGCATGACCTGACGCATCAGCTGCTGTGCTTGCGGTACTTGCATGGCATGGCATGGCGGCATGGCTGGGAGGAGGTGTGGGCAGTGCATAGCGGGCAGCAGTTGAGCGTGCTGTTCGACGGGAGAACATCTGATCGATGGATTGCATGCCCTGGTGTGAGGGCGGGCGGGATGCAAGGGAGGGATGGAAAGGCAAGGAGACTTTTGAGTCTGATCGATGGATTGCATGCCCTGGTGTTCGTGTGTGTGTGTGTGTGTGCGTGTGTGTGTGCGGGGTGCGTGGGATGGAAAAAGATACAGATTGGGTCGAGTTAGAAGCAGACGCAATCGAGAGCGCTGAGCGTTTTAAGATAGTTTGCTTCCGGGCGAAACTGGAATGGAGGGATGGGGCTATATGACAAACATGCATGCCCATGTACGCCTATGAGCATGCAGGGAGGGTGACCACCACGGAGGTGCGGTGCCTTCCTGCTTCTCCAACCCACCTTCACTCTCAGCTGCTCGAATCCTGAGGCTGACAGGGCCAGGCGAGAGCAGGGCGCCCACGCGCACGAGATGGGCCGGGGAGAGTGGGCGGGGAGAGAGTGACTGCTGGACTGGCGCATTGATAGATTGGTAGAGCAGCTGATAAATTCCACGCCTTGGTGCTGCTCACTGCCATGCAGATGCTGTTGACCCGGTTGACCCTGTTGACTGGACTGACTGGGTTGACTGGAACCCCCTGCCAGCAGTGTTAGGCCAGCAGCACACAGCAGCGCCTGCAGCTTCTGCCTCTCCTCCTCCATCCACCCCCCTTCCCCTTCACACGCGTCCTCTCCCACACCCACATCCTTTGACCCGCCTTCCACACCCACATCTTGCTGCGCCCCCAGCCCCGGCCCCTCTTCCACACCTGCGCTTCTTGAGGGCACTTCCTCCCCTTGCCGCACTTCCTCCCCTTGCCGCACTTCCTCCCCTTGCCGCACTTCCTCCCCATGCCTCGCCTTGTCGCCAAGCTCCCCTCTCCTCGCCTCAACCTGCTCCATTCCCTCCACCTTCCCTCCCTCCCTCCCTTCTTCCTTCCCCTCCTCGTTCCCCTCCTCCCTCCCATCCACCCTCGCCTCTCTCCCCTCCTTCTCCCCTTCCCGGCACCATCGATCCACAAACCCTTCAATCACCCTCTCTATGTCGCGAGGCATGCCACACGACCGTGACTTCTCCCCTCCTCCGCCTCCCCCCCACCCACCACTGCCGCCGCCACCGTCACTGCCACTGGTGCCGCCCCTGTAGTGCAGGTGCAGGGAGCGCGGGCGGCGTTTGTTGTCCTTTGCGTCCTTGAGCATGCGGAGGGAGAGTTCCTGAGCTAGGACGGTCATCCAACGACTGTCACGGGGAGCGAAAGCGGTGGGAGAGAGAGAGGGGAGGGATGGGGAGCCAGAAAGGAGTGGGGAAGATGTAAAGTGGGTGAGGTTGGTATGGAATTAGGAGGGGAAGAGAATGAGGAAGAAAAATCAGCATTACCTGTTGAACAACCGCCTTAAGCGCTTGCTCACGTGGCATTACCAACCACAGGCTCTCACACCCCTCACCTAACCCATGCTGACGTGGACTCACCAGATGTCATCCCAGGATGACGTGGCATTGAACGACTTTGCAGCGAGCATGGACTTGGGCACACCCTTTTCCTCCACTGAACCCCACATTAAGGACAGGCAATGGAGGGGAACGAAATGGAAACGAGAAGGGTGGGTGCGAGGCACTCAGAGTAGCATACATACAGGCAGGGGAAGGCAGGAAGTGCGAGCAGGCACAACGATTTCATCTCGCTTCGCAGGAATGAGCGGAAAGGGGAGGTGCGGAGGTGCGGAGGGCACACCTGGTGTTTCATCCAGCCCCCTCACAGCTCTCCACACGTAATTCCCGAGCCTGTCCCCGAACCTGGCGATGAGGTCCGGGAGCTCCAGCACCTGTGCCTGGCCTGCGGTTGCACACCCAATTGCCTGCAACTCCTGTAAGAAATTCGCATCACAGGCCAACAGGACTCAGGGGAATTAGCATTACACCCCATTTCTCCTAATATGATCAATCAACTTCTCCCTCCCTCAACCCACATGCCGCCCACCCACCCACCTCGCCCCTCCCGCCTCACCTCACCCCACCACCAGCTCACCCCCCCCACCGCACCTGTCCCAGTTTGCCGCCCAGATTGCGGATCTTCTTCAGAGGAACGTTCTCCATCAGCCCAGGGATGGCACGCGGTGGCACCTGGTAGGGGGCGTTGCGGACAGAGGGCGTACCATGCAAAAAATGCAAATTGCAAAAATGCAAATTGAGGGTGCAGCGATGAGAGTAGTTGGCAGAGTCAATGTTCCTAGGGCACTCAAGTCGCTTTTGAGAATGTAAAAAAAAAGGGTTGCGATGGCAGCGGTCAACAAATTCAGTGCTAAAAAACCAACTTGCCTCTTAGTGCACAGGACGGTGAGCAACGGAACCGTACACTACCATGGGCACTCACTCACCACAACAATGACATAACATGCACCCCTTGCCACGGAACTCGGTTCACCAGTCAAAGTGCACTCACCACAATGCCATGCCCGCCCTGATGTACCTGTCATCGCCTCACTGCACTGATGATGATGGCACCGCAACATGGGCGGCACCCACCACAGTGATCCCACCACTCACCACGTTGACGTTAAAAGTGCCACTGCCATGACACTCACCACAGTGATCCCAAACGGCTTGGTCATGGCAGAGACCATCTTGGCGAGCAGCTTGCAGCGCGCCACAAAAGGCACTCACCACCACCACAGTGAGTGGAGCCTAATACACCAGCCATTGTCTCACCACTCACACTCACCACAGTGATCCCAAACGGCTTGGTCATGGCAGAGGCCATCTTGGCGAGCAGCTTGCAGCGCGCCACCCCCACGCTCACCGTGTAGCCCAGGGATGACAGCACTTCCTGTTGAAGGCGGTGCGCTATCACCACTCCTGCCTGCAGCCTGTGGATAGCGGGCGGACAACAGCAGGGAAAGGGGCGGGGTAGGGTTGTGCTGCTCACACTCTTGCAGCGCGCCACTCCCACACTGACCGTGTAGCCCAGCGATGCCAGCACCTCGTGCTGCATGCGGTGGGCTATCACCACTCCCGCCTGCAGCATGGTGGTGAGGGGAAGGGGTGGGGGGAAATGGGGAGGCGGGGGGAAGGGAGGGATGCAGCACACACTCTTGCAGCGCGCCACTCCCACGCTCACCGTGTAGCCCAGGGATGACAGCACCTCGTGCTGCAGCCGGTGCCCTATCACCACTCCTGCTTGCAGCCTGGTGGGACAGTAGGGAGGGACAAGAGAGGGGGGGAAAACGGAGCGGGGGTGTCTACACACACTCTTACAGCGCGCCATTCCCACCACGCTGACTGTGAACCCCAGCAATGGCAGCACCTCCCGCAACAGACGGTGGGCTACCACCACTCCTGCCTGCAGCCTGGTGGGACATACGGGAGGGACAGGAAAATCCGCACACTTTCTGCCCTGCCACACATGCTAGCAGCGAGCTCAGAGGCGAGAGGGTGATAGGTGAAGAGAGGGGGGCAGAGGGAAGGAGAGGGGCGTCGCACCTCCTTTCCACAACGTCCCGTGCGTCCAAGGGTCCCTCCCGCACCACAAGCCGTGCCTTGGGAACCGCCAGTGCCTGTGCTGATCCTCCTCCGCCTTCTTCCCCTCCATGCCCTCTCTTCGTCTCCCCCACCCGCTGCTGCTCCTGCTGCGGCTGTTGCACCCCACCCTTCCCCTCCCCTTCCTCCCCTGAACCTTCCCCATCCGTTCCGTCCCCATCACCACCTCTCTCAGTTTCCTCGGCATTCACTTCAGTTGCATCCCCTGCCTTCGCTTCAGTCACACTCCCTTCCTTTACCTCAGTGACACTCTCCAACAGCGCCCTCCACTGCTCCTCCCAGGCAGCAGCAGGGGAGGTGGCACCTGTGGCCGTGCAGGCCTCATCTGGTGCAGGCGGGACTGCAGGGGCTGCGCGTGAGAGCATGGCATCCACCATAGCAGACACATCCATGTATGCTTCGTCAATGCTCGCGCGCTCCACAGTGGGGCACACGCGGCGGAAGGCAGAGAACACGCGCTGGGAGGCGGCACGGTAGCGCTCCAGAGACACCTTGCCGGCATTGCGCCCTGCTCCTGGCGCCCCCCCCACCGTCTCCACGTGTATCAGCTGTAGCTCTGGACACTGCAGTGAGGAAACGTGGGGGAGGGCGGAGGGGTGGGGAAGGGAAGGATGACATCACCCTCCTCCTATCCTATGCGTTGCTCCCCTCCCCGCTCCTGGCACACGGGTTGCAGTCGCCAGGAGCACTAGAGGCAGCGAAGACGCGCTGAGAGGCGGCACGGTAGCGCTCCAGAGACACCTTGCCGGCATTGCGCCCTGCTCCTGGCGCCCCCCCCACCGTCTCCACGTGTATCAGATGCAGGCCCGGACACTGCAGTACGGAGGTGGGTGAGCGGAGGGCGAGGGGAGGTCACAACCGATGGCGTCCCACTCACATACACGGCGTGCAATGCTCAGCACAGCACGTCCACCATCTGTGGTCTTTTACGAGTTCTAAAAAAACGCCTGATACACGCGCACGCGGAGCATGCAATGCGTCCCATCCCATAGACAAGCGCACATTCTGCTTGGCCTGGAACAGGCGGTCGTGCCTCTGCACTCCCCTCGCCCCCACCACACAGCCACAGCACACTATGCTCTTGCATGCACATCGTGCAATGCACAGCCGCACAACACACAGCACACAGCACACACGCACCTTCTGCTTCGCCTGAAACACGCGGTCGTGCCTCTGCACGCCCCTCGCCCTCGCCGCATAGTTCACCGCAATCAAGCCCTGACGGTGAGAGAGAATGAGAAAGAGAAAGAGGCAGCGATTGGAGGCACAATGTTATGACTCGTAAGGCGCCTCAACACTTGCCGTGCGCAAACAGCAGAGATGACGTGTGAGCTGCCTGATAAGGAGGCTAAGATGGTGAAGTGCTAGGAGGCTTCGCTCAGACACAGACGCGTGAATGATGGAGGTGCGGTGTGAGCATAGCGTGGAGGTGTGGTGAATGGATGGAGGCATGGCGCGACATATGTGCGTGCACATGACAATAAAGCTGGAGGATGAAAAGAGGGAATTGCGTGACATATGTGCGTCTCACCTCCCACTGCTGCACGGCTAGCGGCGTGTCTCGCGGAATACCAAGCCGAACTGCCTCCACCTGTGAAGCAAGCAAGCCCACATTGATAGGATCAGACTACATGACGGGAAATGCTAGAAAGACATGCCGCCTGCCGCCGCAAGCACACATTGATGCTAGAAAGACTCTGAGTTGGACCGAGCAGGCGGCGATAAAAAACTAAGAGTGACAGAATGGAAAGGGAATCTCGATTAGCGAAAGGTTATCGGAATAGGAAATGAGAATTACGGACGGGTCCTACTCGCAAATACCATCCTACTAGCCCATTCGTAACCAGAACTCAGATATCGCAGAGTATCTAAGTGATCGAGAAATATTATAAAGCGCACCGCGGCATAGAAGCAGTCTAAATCCACGTGGAGGATGACGCGGCCATCCGACGTGGCAGTGCTTCCCTTCGGCCGGTCATTTGAAGTCTGCGCCATAAGAGGATCAATACGTCGAACCAACTCAAAGACCAAAAATATACCCCAATGTTACCATATATTTCCTAAACTATTGTCGCGTCGCGTAGTATCTAGGAGGAATTAGGCACTGAGACCGAGCACCAGCGAGCTAACTTTGTTGACTGACAGCCATCAACAAAGAGTGCGGTTGACGCTGCTGAAGGGAAGTGATTGAAAAACACAATCTTCTGCAACAGAAATGTCTCAACTCTACCCAACCATTGTGTCGTAAAAACAAAACGGTCTGCACCGTACTGTAGAAAAGTGGACGCGTGTGACGACTTGGCGATTTCTTACAACTTAGTGTTACAGCGGTAACTTTCTCGCGACAGACCCAGCCAAGACGAATTCAGACCGAACGCCTCAGCTCAACGCCACAGACCCCTACACAGTAGTTTGATATGGTAATTGTTTTACGTAGGAAGGGAGGCCGCGAAAGCCGGATGCAGCAGTGTCTATATTCGATAGAACGGAACTGCTCTGTTGCTCACGTCACGGCTTTACGAGGCCCTGTGTTAGTAGTCCTCGCGCCAACGGTGTTGTTGGTCTTTGCATTCACTACGCGCTTCGCCATCCGCTCCACCATCGCACCGAGGATCTGGGCGTCGCCATTCAATTCGCCGTCGCACAGAGCTTCGCCATCAATTCAATTCGCCGTCGCACCGTCCGTCAGTCGCGCGATGGTCGCACGAATGCGCGAGATAGGTGGTGAGCGCGGGCGGGAGGGGGATGCGACAACGGCGCGAGGCGCGGGCGGGAGTGAGCGAAGGCGCGACAGGAAGGGGGAGGTGAGGGGAGGTCGGATTGGTGAGTTCGGGGGTTGCGGGCATTGGTGGGTGTGCAGTTGGTTGAGTGGGGCAGGAAGCTTGGGGAATAATCCAATTCAAAAATTGTGGGGGGGCCCAACTCACCCCCAACGCAGGTTACCTTGGGGCTACCTACAGCAACTTCGCCAAAACTCTTCCCGAACAAGACCCGAAGTCACAACTAGGCTGCAAAGTGCACCTCGACTGAGCAGACATGAAGGTTGAGTTGTGTTAGGGGGGGTTGGGGGGAGGATGGGGGGAGAGTGTATTTTTGAATGTGTGGGCTACGGGCCTGGTTTCTGGACGGTGTGCGGGTGCGGGCTGCGGAATGGGCGGGGTGAAAGGGCTAGGCCGTACCCCTCGCGCTCCAAGTTGCGGGGAGTGGCGACTGGGGGGCGTGGGCTGTGGTGCGTGCAATCCGGTTTGTTGGGGTAGCTGGGCGAAAGAGGACGGCAGGTGCGGGAACGAGGGGTAACTCACAAGCCCACAGCCCTAATCTGTGACTAGGAAGGACTGCGTTGCATGCGATTAGGGCTGTGTCCCTGTGGTGTAGTTGGGGAGCTGTGCCTACATATTCTAGGCGCCTCGAAATTAGGGCTGTAGGCTGGAGGCGTAGGGCTGGAGATGTTTAGGGGCGGCGCGCTGGGGATGGGGGTCGGGCGCAGGGCATGTTGGCCGGTCAGGTCAGATTGAGAAGGCGTGGGTCGGAAGGAGTAACCGCAGCATGTGCAGGGGAGCGGGTGTGTGGCGGCGGCTGTGTAGCAGTGGGGAGAGGAAGGAAGGGAAAAGGAGGAGAAAGGAGGAGAACTGAAGGCTTGAGAAGGGAGGAGAATGGAGGAGAAGGGGTGGATTTGAAGGATTGCGTGCAGAATGTGAAGGGGAGCGGGGCAGGAACGGAGAGGGGCAGGAACGGAGTGGGGCAGAAATGGGGATAAACAGAAATGGAGGGTGAGTAATGATGGGTGTGAGAGGCTCGTGGATCAGGCTGGAAGGGGAGAGGTTCAGAGGGAGCAGAGGGAGCAGAGGAAGCGGAGGGAGCAGAGGGAGCGGAGCAGAGCAGAACGAAAGAAAAGAAAGTACTTGGTGCTGATGGATATGAGGGATATGAGGGATATGAGGGATATGAGGGATATGAGGGATATGAGGGATATGAGGGATATGAGGGATATGAGGGATATGAGGGATATGCGGGATATGAGGGATATGAGGGATATGAGGGATATGAGGGATATGAGGGATATGAGGGATATGAGGGATATGAGGGATATGAGGGATATGAGGGATATGAGGGATATGAGGGATATGAGGGATATGAGGGATATGAGGGATATGAGGGATATGAGGGATATGAGGGATATGAGGGATATGAGGGATATGAGGGATATGAGGGATATGAGGGATATGAGGGATATGAGGGATATGAGGGATATGAGGGATATGAGGGATATGAGGGATATGAGGGATATGAGGGATATGAGGGATATGAGGGATATGAGGGATATGAGGGATATGCACTGCTTTTCCATCCGCCCACAACTCTGCCCAACTCTGCCCAACTCTGCCCTCCTCTCTCCCCCCCTCTTTCTCCCTGGCCTTCCCCTCTCCTCTCATTTTCCCATGTGGTTCTCATCCTTTGTGCCCTGCTTTCATTCATCCCTTTCGTCTGGCCTTTTATTCGTTTATCTTCTTGGTTTTTGCCCCGCATTTTCTCAGTTGCCCATGCATTTCCACTCCTCTCTTTCCGTCAGTCCTCCCCCCTTTTTCTGCTCTTGCTTTCGAATTTTGGTGTTTTGTTGCTTGTGTTGTTTCTCCTCTGCTTCCTGTTAGCTTCAAGCTCCTCACGCCTTATCTTCTAGATTCCTCTTCATTTGGCCTTTCAGCATGCGGCACTAGCTGGGATGGGATATTTACGCAACTCCTTAGCATGTACCCTACTGGTTTGGTGGAGGCTTGTTAGTCAACTGAGACTTGTGCACATAGTTGGTTGGGCGGTACCGTATGGCTTTTTTTTCCACCCAAAATCTTTGTTAGACTTGGTCTTGGCAGAAGGCAGTCCTGTATTTTTAGACAACACCACACCACACACGGCAAGGCGAACTGTTACTAGCCTCGGCAGTCAATCCACCCTCTTGTGAGACAAGATCAGAGTCAAAGAGAACATTCCGCACCGCATGTAGAATCTAAACAAGGTTTCTACAACATCAGCACCAAAATCACAAGCACTAGTCATACCAGAGATGATAATCTATTCTCAAGCCATACATCAATTCGACTTCAGGGGGCTGTAAGCGCATTTCACTGTCAAAGAGGTGCCCGCTAAGTCCAACGCTCAAGTCACGCAGCATTTTCATCTCAGTCACGTCCTTTGGCAGTGCAAGCAGCTGCTTGCAACCAAACAGATTTAGTCTTGCAAGACTGGCCAAGCGCCCGAAGTTGGGAGGAAGCGAACGGATTGCCGTGCACTCCAAATTCAGCTTACGGAGGCAAGACAGTTGGGTAAGAGATGAAGGAAGGTGCTCCAAGGCAGCACATTCGGGAAAGTTAAGTTTCCGCAACCTGGATAAAGCACCGATGGATTCAGGAACGGAAGTTAGCTTGGATTCATGGATCACCAAGGATGTCAGGTGCTGAAGCTTGGTGATCGATGCTGGCAGCTCAGTCAGAGAATTCGCATCAATAATCTTCAGCTTCCGCAGCTGCTGGAGTGCCAACCCAATGCCTGGGAGTTCTTTCAGGCTCTTGGCGTTATAAATTTCCAGGGTGTGCAGGTCCGGAGAAAATCCCAAGGGAAATGGAAACTTCTCAGCATCTTCTCCCAACACCATCTTCAAGTGCTTCAGATTCACCAAGTTTCTGCTGATCGTCTCTCCAAACTCCACATAACCCAGTCTCGATCTCAGATTTGAGCTGTAGCAGTCCCCCAAGCTCAAAGTCTGAAGGGAGGATGGCAGCACCTCAGGAGGTTCATGCGGCTGTGAGAATCTTGGAAGCTCCAGCAGTTTCAAATTCTTACAGTTGTCCAGCCTCTTGGGTACCGAAATCCCTTCTGAATCGCGAATCACTAGCACTTGTAGATGAACAAGGCACGTAACAGCCTCTGGGAGCTTTCTGATAGCGCAGGAGGTAATGGTCAATTCTTGCAGCCTGCTCAGCTTCCCAATGTCTTCCGGAAGCTCGCCTATCCTGAACTTATAAAGTTTCAGCCGCTTCAAAGAAGAGAGCTGGGTGAACGAGGCTGGAATCTGCTGCTGGACGTAGCTGTCGTAGAGAAAAAGAGTCTCGAGATTAGTGAGCCCTCCAATGTCCGATGGGAGTGCCGCTAGTGGCAGCCCGACGAAGGCCAGCTTCCTGATAGTTGTTAAACTGCAAAACCTGGCTGGTAGTTGCCGGATAGAATCGCTTCTGACCAGAAACAGTGCTTCCAGGGTCATCAGTTTACAGAACGAATCAGGAAGGTGCAATCTAGGCAGCCCATCCAGCACCAATGCTTTCAAAGAAGGCAGATGTCCGAAATCTTCTGAGAGGCTGGAAAATAATTTGCAACAAGAGATTGCCAGGCTCTCCAAACAACTTAAAGTGGTGAAGTCACGAGGCAGCTGAACGAGATTGGTGCATCGAATGCTCAGTTCCTGAAGAGACGGTAAAAGCTCCCCAATTTTGTCAGGAAGGCGATTGAACCGCTTGCAATTGCTCAATAAGAGCCGTTGGAGCCGGCTGCCCGTAGTTTTGAAAGGGAAAACGAATTTCAACGGCAGACATGAATCGTTGAGTTTCAACGTGTTTAGACCAGGCAGCCATGCCATGTCAAGAGCTGGAGCGGTCTGAATATTTCGATGGAATGGGCTTTTAGAAAAGGAAAGGTTAGTAAGGTTCACAAGCTGAACAAGAGTTGATAGCTGCTTATATCTAAGACATCGGGAGGTAATGGAGAGACCGTTGAGCAACGTCAGGTTCGTGAAAGCAGGAACTTCTAAAGCAGACGAATCTGGTAGCACTAGACTCTGGAGATTTGTTAGGTGGAAAAACGAGGCAGGGAGCTTGACGTTGCTATGAAGGCAGTGGAGCGAAAGATGCTCTAGCTGAGTAGACTCCCGGAAAAAACGATCCAAACCAGCCTCACTGACTGGGTGCAACTCCTTTCTCTCATCATAATTCGCTGTAATGTCAGTTCCGACGTGGAGAATCTTCAGCTTGGGGCATGACGAAGCAACGTGGGTAAGGAACGCGTCATCTAGGCTCTCTACGCTGGCGTCGCACAGATGGATGTGGGTCAGGTTCGGAAAGCAGGAGATTGCTTTTGAGAGATTATGAAGAGAAAGTTGCAGGTTCTCTCTGACAAAAAGTGTCGAAACGTGATGCTGAGCTAGACGGCGCCATCGCTGACAGACAGATGCGATCTGGAGAGAGAATTCTGCATTCGTGAAGGCAGGAGGGGTTGGCACTAGGACCATTTCTTGCTTATCAAGAAGCTGCCTCGAATCAAAGCCCTAACCATCACAGCAAACTTCGTTCGGCTTAATATGCATTTCCTTGGAAGGTGGAAGCCATAGAATTCGGACGAGGAGGCCGTCGGGAAGATGATCGATGTGAGTGCAACCCTCCATTATCTAAATCCTAACTCGGAAGTGAAGTTTCTGCGAGAAGGATCGAGTCAATAGACGTGCTGAAATGAAAGCTCAACTGCATGAAATGATGAATGTCACTCTTGATCTACAAAGCACAGATCCACTAACCTGACCAGGTTGCTTGGAGGACAACGAAAGCCCGTAGGCTCCAAGACGTAGCGTGATAGTTCTTCAAACCTTAGGCTTCTCGAATTCCCCGTGAGTACCCACGCGTTTCGAGCTATCACGAGTCTGACAGATCTGAAGTGAAATGTGGACCCAGCTGACTGGATTTTGTGCTGGACGAGGGCTGGGATGACACGGCTGGGCTTTATAGAAGGGTACTGATTTCGTGCTGGATTTCGTGCTAAATTTCGTGTACGGATCAATTCTCGGCTGGAAAAGTCGTAAAACGCTGCATTTTGGGAACTGGTTTTGGTGCAACCCCGTCGCTGTTTCGGTTCTATTGGTGAAACGTTCTTCGAGGAACGCCTTGAGCACTGCTCTACTGTCACACGGAATTTCAAGAGTGAAGTTGGTGGATGAGCCTTCACAATCCTCCCTCACGCGATGGAGGCTGACGAGTGGCGAAAAAGCGCCGGTTCAAATAGTTCAAGATATCTCAACACTACCTAACCATTGTGTCATATAAACAGAACACTCTGCACCGTACTTCAGAATTTTGGACGCGTGTGACGACGTGGCGATTGCTTCCAACTCGGTATTACAGAGGTAACTTTGTCGCGCCAGCCAAGACGAATTTTGAGCGAATGCTTCAGCTCAGTCACTGAGTGCAGGCCGCAAAAGCCCCCTACCACGGTGGTACAGACCCCTACACGGTAGTTTGATGGTTGTTTTACGAAGGAGCGCAGGCCGCAAAAGCCGGAGCGGAGTGTCTAGATTCAATAGAACTGAACGGCTCTTTTGCTTCGTGGGCGGCGCACGACGACATGTGCATCGCGGCTTTATGAGACCCTGTTGTAGTAGTCCGCGCCAACGGTGTTGTTGGTGGTTCCAGTGTCATCGTTGCATTCCCCACGCGCTTCGCCATCCGCTCCTCCATCGCACCGAGGATCTGGGCTTCGCCATCCAATTCGCCGTCGCACCGTCGCACAGAGCTTCGCCATGAAATTCACCGTCGCATAGTCACTTCGCGTCGAGTGACGGCCTTCCGTCAATGATCTCATGAAAGCTGGTCGCTTGACATCACTGCTTCGGCACCGTCGCGCAATCACGTCGCTCAATCAGATGATTCGATTCTCATCGTGATACGGCTCTGCCGCGTCATTCCCTGCTGTATGCACGCCCAGTGCTCGTGACTGACGCGAGAGGAAACATGCGGGTATGAGGGTTGCGAGGACAGTGGGGGTGCGATGACAGGCGGGGAGTAGATGAAGCTGGTGTGGGAGATGGCGTGAGAGAGGAGCAGGTGGGCGCAAATGCGTGTGAGGGTTGAGAGGAAAGGTTGAAAAGAACGGAATGACATGCTGCCAGAATGATGCATGATTGGATGATGCATGATGGGATGATGCATGATGGGATGATGCATGATGGGATGATGCATCCAAATCTACCAACTCGATCAACAAAAACAAAAGCAGAAAAATATGATGCATGATGTGATGATTCATAATGGGATGATGCATGATGGAACGATGCATGATGGGATGTAAGATGGGATGATGCAAGATGGGATGATGCATACTGGGATGATGCATGATGGGATGATGCATGATGCGATGATGCATGTTGGGATGATGCATGATGCGATGATTCATGATGGGATGATGTGTCATGGGATGATGCGTCATGTGATGATGCGTCATGGGATGATGCGGCATGTGATGATGCGTCATGGGATGATGCGTCATGGGTCCCCCTCACCTGTGGGTCAGGTATCTCATCCCCACCCTGCACTCACCGGTGCGGCAGGTAACGGAACCCAGCACCACGTGAGTCCCCAGGGAGGTTGCGATAAGATAGAACCTCTCCCCAGCCCCACGGCCGTGCCCACCTCCCTGCATCCCGCATGTCGTTCTGCAGTGTGCACCCCGGGTTGGGGTCACCCTGGCCATACCCTTTTTGGGAGTCACTTTTGAGTCACGCATCCCGCACGTCTCTCTGCACTGTGCGCTCCGGGTTGGGGTTGCTCTGCCATACCCCGCGTGGTCGTAGCTCACCAGGCGAATGCTGTTGGCTTCCAGGAACTCCTGGGGTGGAGATGGGTGGAGATGGGTTGGGATGGTGGGGACGGGTGGGGACGGGTGAGGACGGGTGGGGATGGGTGGGGACGGGTGGTGATGGGTGGTGACGGGTGGGGAGGGGTGAGGAGGGGTGGAGGGATAAGTGATGCTAGGCTGGCTGCAGTGTGCGCTCCGGGTTGGAGTCGCCCTGGCCATATTCCGCGCGAACCAGCCGAATGCTGTTGGCTTCCAGGGGTGGGTAGATGTGGGGATGGGTGGAGAGGGGTGGGGATGGGTGTAATGGATATGTAACCCGTCCTGATGCACTGAACATGTCATCACAGACAGTGGACACGTCACGACCCTGAAAAAGGACACGTCACCCACCTGCGTGATGTTGGGCAGCATGCTCAGGTGGCACATCTGCCAAGCGTACACCACCAGCACCTGGTATTTGGCCACGTCAGCAGATGCGCCCAATTAATGGTACGCCATGTGGCGGCCATCCGAGAGCAGGTCGCGCGGGCTGGTGACGTCAGCGTCGGTGAGCGGGATCGGTGGGGGTCTTGAATGGCACGGCAAATAAAGATGACCCAGATGGCGATTATAAGCGCCACTCGGAGAAATCGAGTGACGTGGCGACTGGAGGAAGGGCGGGAGGGACGGGAGGGAGGGGGAGTGAAAAATGGACTCAAAACCGTCAGATCCAGAAGCACTGGCCATCATACGGTGAGGAAAGATGCTGCATGTCGAAAATATAGACTCACCTTCCCCGCACAAACCCAGATCCAACTCTCCAGGAGCGTGACTTGGTACTTCTTCTCCGATGAATGGTGGATCTCGCCAGACAAGACTGAGAGAGAGATATGATGAAAGTCGTTTGGATTCCCGGGGGGTTATGAGAGATATGACGAGGGGAGAGGAGAGGAACAACGACAGCTAGGGGCAATGCGATGCAACCTGTGGTTGCAGAGATTGTCGAAGGGGAGGGCTGGTATAGCAGATCCTTACAAGACAATCGACCACCTTAACTTACGTCATGTACTGTAAAACCTGCTGTCATTCGTGTTGGGTGCCCAGGTGACCCATGCCAGGGTGTAGTTCCGTAATGGGAGTCTGCATTTAAGAAAAGGGCATTCAAAAAGGGGAAAACGAACTGTAAGATATTCAGTAGTACCACCTAATTTTCCACCACATTTTGTCTAGAAGCACATTCATAGCATCACTAGGTTTAACCTCAGTAGCAGATATCTACGAATCAAAGCCCCTAATTTCCAGGCAGCACTTAACTACACAACAGCAAGATAAGGCTGGCATCCCTTGCCTATGCAAATCACCCCTCCTTCAACGCACATCTCCCTCCTACAACTTTCAAAAGGTCCTGACCTTCTATCTCCTTTCCCCACTTGATCCTAGGCGTCTACTTTCCTCAGCAGCAACCATCCCATGTACCTCCACTCCTTCACCATCAGATCACCATCTCCCTCCATTCCAGTTCCGATCCCTGCACTCCTTTTGACCTGCTGATTCAATTTGTGCGGAACCCCCTCCCAAAGATCGTCTGACTTCCGTTCGAAATCAAAGGGCAGTCAATTATCGTGCACTCCTGTAGCATCGGCAGGTTGTGGAGAGAAGGTGGCAGCTGGGCCAGCTGCTCACAATCACTCACGCGCATCTCCTTCAACCGACTTAGATCCTGAAAAGAATTAGGGAGCCTACGGAGACTCGGCAGAGAAAACAGATGAAGCCTCTGGAGGGAAAACAGGTTTCCAAACTCTCGTGGAAGGAATGACAATCTGGGGCAATTGCTGAGCGTGCAACTCCGTAAGTTGGGCAAATTGGGAAAGGACTTGGGAAGCTTGTACAACTTTGGGCAACCATCGATGTTGAGTGACCTGAGTTTCTTCAGCTGTCCGAATGACTTGGGAAGCTTCCGCAAGCTATCTAGTTCCTCCAATTGAAGAGACGTAAGTTGCGAGAGTCGGCCCACTGCTTCCGGTAGTGCTTTGAGGCACGCAGCTCCGCAGATGTGTAAGTCGGTTAGGTTGGACAGCCGAGAAATAGAATCAGCAAGTGCAGAAAGTGCATTCATACCCTGCAGCCACAGTGTCTCCAATGAAAGCACACAACCCAAGGATGGATCAAGTGCTTCGGAAGTAAGATTCAAGAAGGATATATATCTCAGCGACGGAAGCACGTTTCCTTCGAAGCACTCAAAAGTGCTGCTGCTGCCGCCACTGCTGCCGCCAACCAAGGCGTCCATTGTGCTCCGTTGGCCCAGGCTCTCGCAGTCATAAACCTGAAGGTCCTTCAATTGAGGCAGCTTCAACAACGACCGAGGTAGAGATTCCAAGCCATCTAAGTAGAAAAGCTCAAGGTTTTCCAGCATTACCAACTGCCCAATCTCCTCTGGTAACGCTTTCAGCTCCTTGCAACCATCCACTGACAGGCTTGTAAGAGTGAGAGCCAATCTGGAGAGCGAGGTAGGAAGGGAAGTTAGATTCGGGATGGAAGATAGAGAGAGGCGTCTAAGGCGTGTAAGGCTGTTGAAGCTCTCAGACAAGCAACCTCCAAAGCACTCGCTGTATCCAATGCGTAATACTTCAAGTGACGACAGTCGAGAGAAGGATCCAGGGACGTGGATTAGACCTTTGCAAACTATACGCAGCTTACGAAGATGGCACATCCCATCCCCCAAGCCCTCTGGTACAGCAGTTAGCTCCGGGCAATACTCGACCCTTAGAATCTCAAGAGAAGATAACCGGGTAAGAGAGTTGGGTAGCTGCTGCAGCTGATCACAGTGAGAAATCTCCAGCTCACGCAATTTCAGCAAGTGTCCGAGGGATTCTGGCAAATGATTGAGTTCTTGAAGGACTGACAGATGCAGAATCGTCAGCGCAGTCAGCTGCCCGAAGTCATCGGGCAGGGAAGAAATTCTTGGACGACCATTGGGAGCGGCACGCGTGACAATCCCGAAACTCGCCAGCTTAACGGATTGAAGCTTTGATAATCGGCCAATGCCATCTGGCAGGTCTGAAAGATTATCCACCCTTAAGTCGAGGCTCGTGAGGGATGACACATTAGGCAAGGACCGGGGCAGCGACGAGATTTGAGTAGAGAGGCCTTTGATGGTAAGAATTTGCAGTTGCTGCAGCAGCCCAACAGTCTCTGGAAGCTCCGTGATTCCGTTTACATCCAGGAGGCGTAGGTTTTCCAGCGCCGGCAGTCTTCCAAAATCCTCAGGCAGAGGCAAAAGATCTGCACAATCTCTTAACTCGAGCTCCTTCAGTCGTCGAAGCTTAGAGAGACCACCAGGTAATTGAAATGTCCCGCAGCCTGAGATGGAAAGACGGTGCAGATTCGCTAGCTGCTGAATGGATGTTGGGAGTGAGCGTAGAGAGCGAACGCGTTTCAGCTGCTATGACTTGAGAGAGACGAGACTACCGACATTCTGTGGCAAATCGCGCAGCTCGTCCATGCTTAGTTCAAGGTTTTCAAGCACCTGTAACGAGGTGATAGCGTCGGGAAGATGCTGAATCCTACGGGCTGTGAGGGAAAGTCTTCTAAGACGAGATTGGTTGCCGATGGAAGGTGGAATGGTACGAACACCCGATGGACAAACGAACTGCAGATCCTCTAATCGGGTGCAACCCTCGAAAAGGCGGGAAAGTCCATTCGTAGTGAAAGCATTGCCGCGTTCTAACATCTCCGTCATCGTGCCGATGTGAAGATAAACTAAATCAGGATGAGATTCGGCAAGGCCAGCGAGGAAGGCGTCCGGAACGACAAGCAAACTTCCGTCCAAAAGGACTAGTTTCTTCAGCCAACGAAACGCTGCGAGCAGAGCAAGCAGCTGACGATGATTCATGCGACGTTGATCGGACACGCTAAGGACGTCCTGCACGCTATACGCTATTTCACGCCACCCTGTGCACACCAGAGCATGCTGAAACTCGTCGGGTCGAACAACTAGGTGCAGGATCTTGGCAAGCAACTCACTGGATAAACGTCGGATCGGAGACTCGTGGGACATCGTAACTGATCTAGGTCGACGGGAAAGTACTACTTCGGCTTCCTGCGAAACTAAGGTGACTTCAACGGAGACTATAACTTCCCAGCTAACAAACTATCCTTATGACGAAACACGGAGTAAGGAAGAACTAACAGGATCCCGAACAAGCTGACGTCGAGGAGAAATGGCAGAGAGGAGTAAATGCAAAATGAGAAATGGCAGAAATGGAAGTGAACTCCTTAGCTTCCCAGATCGCTGGGATATAACCGTGTGAGAAGGTAGGGAAGGTAAGGTGCGAAGAATGTCACTCTAAACGAAGATGTCACTCTAAACACAGATCCACTAACCTGACCAGGTTGCTTCGAGGACAAGGAGAGCCCGTAGGCTCCAAGTCGCAGCCTGATCATTCTTCAAACGTTGGGCTTCACGAATTCCCCATGACCACCCGTCCAGAGCTATCACGCGAATTCACGAATTCACGAATCCCTGAATGCGTTTCCTAATTGAAGTCCCGTTCCGAGCTATCACGAGCCTGACAGATTTGAAGTGAAATGTGGACCCAGCTGACTGGATTTCGTGCTGGACGAGGGCTACGGTGACACGGCTGGGCTATGAAGCTGAATATAGACTAGAAGGGCGTGTACGGATCAAATTCCTGATTGATGCTCTGATTGATTGATTGTAAGGACCGCTGTATATTGGGACCTGGCTGGTTGTGCAACCAGTCGTTGTGTTGGTTTTGAGCGTACTTTTCTGTCCCACGGATTTCAAGTGGAGTTGGTTGGCGAATGCAGATTGTTCGCAAGCGGAGTCAGCTCAGTACTGGAGTTACCGTGACAGCTTCACAATGCTCCTATACGCGAAAGAGGCTGACGAGTGGCGAAAAAGCAACTGTCCAAATAATTCAAAATGTATCAACACTTTGTAACCGTTGTTTAGTATAAACAAAAGGCTCTGCACCGTACTCTAGGAGAGTGGACGGGTCGGACTGTTGGAGAATCGAGTTTCTGCCGCCCCAGCCCTTTGCACACAAGCAGCAGCAAGGGGGAATGTCGGCGATGAATCAGAGCTTCGGGAAGTACTTCGAAAGTTCCACCACCAATCAGATTTCAGCCGAAGACTCGATATAGTTCAAAGCTGCCTTCAAACCGAAGTGTTGGCAGTTTCTACAGGTTTCTACACATCAGAATCAGCTATAACAGAAATATCCAGAGTTTTCTTATTCATGCACCTCATGTGGCACTCAAAGTCACTCAAGGTCCATCCAATCTAGATTGTGCCCAAGTTACCAGGGAAGTTACATTGTCTATCAGCCTAGTTTGAGCTTTCAATCTGTCTTGTTTGTGATGCCTAGAGTTGTGCTTTAGTGGGCTTGTTAATCTTGAACATAGTGAAGTTTTACCTCATCCAATCAATTCCAGCAGCCCTGCTAAGACTTTCCAGCCAAGTTTCCAGCCCTCCAGTAGTCACAGCTACTCTGTTTTACAAGTTGGTATCAGAGCTTGTCGTTTCGATCAACCTAGCCCACCACGTTCCTATCCTAGCACCATACGAACATGGCGGGAGACAATCCATCTGGTCCTGCACTCCAGCCAGCCGGAGGAGCTTCAGAGTCAACATCAGCAGCTACTGGATTAGTGGAAGCAGTTGCACCAGGCAGTCCTTCAACAACATACTCACCACTCACCTCCTTCATGCCTAAGCTTCACCTCCCTAAGTTCAACGGCAAAGATTTTCCAACATGGGCAACTCAGTTTGAGCTCACTGCATCCCTTCTGGATCTGTGGCCTTACTACATTGGAGAAGCAGCCAAACCAGCAGCAGATGCTTCAGAAGCTGAAAAACGACTTTACGAACGACGCAACAAGGAGGCCTTCCTCTACCTACTCAATAGCATTCACGAGCAGCAGTTGAAGTCGCTCCTGCCCTGTTCTACCAAGGCAAACAGTGCAGAGGAAGCATGGAGCCGACTGAAGACTATGCACCAGTCAAAATTCGAGAGCAGCCAAGCCGAGATGTGGAGCCGCTTCATGAATCTGAAGATGGAAGAAGATGAATCAGCACAAGCCTACCTACAACGAGCTGAAGCAATGCTGGAGGAAGCAGCAGCGATCGGCTTGGAGATTCCAGAGTCTCTTTTCAAGACCGTCATCCTCACCGGCCTTACACCGGAGTGGGACACTTTCCGTGCAACACTACAAGCGCTCCCGCAGTCAATGAAGAGTCGTGCGTTCATCTTTGAGGCCCTTGTCAACGAGCAGCAGAGTCGAGACCTTTCACGGAACAAGCGGAGTGACGAAGGTGCGTGGAGTGCTGCAGCAGCCACAAGATATGGCAACCAATTCCAGAGGCAAGGAAATTTCAGCCCAAATTGCCCTCAACCCTACTACGGTACGAAATTTCAGTCACCTTCCAACCCATACAAACCCTCTCGTTTTCCTCAGTCAAGTCCTCCCTATAAGTCCAGTCACTATGTCCAGCCAAGGCCTTCGATTCCCAATCAATACCAGCCTAGGAATGCAAGAGTCAATATGCCAAGAGTCAATTCTTTCAGCCAAGCCCCGAATGCTAAAAAGTTTAATTTTGAGTGTTTTTGTTGTCATGAGTGGGGTCACCCGTGGTATGCTTGTCCTAAGAAGCCTCCTAATTGGGTCCCCCCACCTCAGCTACTATCTGAAAAAGGTAAGGCAGCCATAGCAAATATAGCAAGTCATTCTACAAGTCAAGATGAGTCCAAAGAGTCCGATGGTCCTGTCCTTTTTAACGCTGCTACTTGCATGCACGTTTTCTCTACTAGTAGTGAGGAGTTTATTCTTGATAGTGGCTGCTCTGAAACCATGACTCCCTATCAGTCCATTCTCAAGGATTTTCAGCCCTCATATGACTCAAAAGCTGTGACTCTTGCTGATCTTGGCAAAGTACCAATCAAAGGAGTCGGCAAGCTTGAGTTCGAAAAGGATGGTAAGTCATTTTGTGTCAATAAAGCTTTGTTTGTTCCTGATTTGGGAGCAAACTTGCTCTCAGCCGGACAACTCGAAGAGAAAGGTGCCTCCGTTCTCTTGCAAGGGGGGAAAGCCAAAGTGTGGGACAGTGCAGGAAATCTGGTGGCTGAAGGCGAGCGTATCGGGCGGCTCTACAAGATGAAGTTGGAGATTAAGCGCGGTGCTAGCAACACGAAGAACGACGTTGTCTCGCTTCCCGCTGTTTCAACCGATCAAGTCAACAACAAACGGAGTATCTCCCAAGCTGAGGTATGGCATGCACGCTTGGGGCACGTGGGAGTGCAAGCATTGAAAGAGTTGGTAAATCACAAGAGCGTGGAAGGATTGAGTTTGAATGAAAGTGCAGTCAAGTCCCTTTCTTCCGTTCCATGTCCATCTTGTGTGGAAGGTAAACTAGCTAGAAAGCCATTCTTCCCTTCTAAGTCTCAGTCAAGGGACCTCCTAGAGTTGGTCCACACTGATGTCTTCGGCCCCATGCGAGACCCTACTCGAAACGGTAAGAGATATTTGGTGTCTTTCATTGATGACAAGAGTCGTTTCTCGTGGTCCTTTTTCATCAACACCAAGGATGAAGTTCACAAGTGTTTCAAGCAATGGCTAGCACTTGTTGAGAGAGAGCCAGGGAAGAAGTTACTCACCTTGAGGTCGGATCGAGGAGGTGAGTACATGGGGAAAGCGTTTCAGGGGGAGTTGTTGGCATTGGGCATCAAACAACAGTTCACTTGTCCCTATAGTCCTCAGCAAAATGGAGTGGCAGAGAGGTTTCATCGCACTATCCAGGCTATAGCTACCACTTTCCTTCAGTTCAAAGGCCTTGACAAGCTCTGGTGGGGTGAGGCAATCACTATGGCAATTAATGTTCGCAACAGGAGACCCACAAGGCCCTTACCGAAAGGTGTAACGCCATATGAGGCTTGGTTTGGAGTTAAACCAGATCTGTCTATGCTTCGTGTTTTTGGTTCCATGGCCCAATACCGTGTTCCAGATGCAAAGAGACTCAAGCTGGACAGCAAAGCTCATTGGGGCCTCTTCATCGGCATGAGCAATGAGAGCAAGGGATGGGTCCTTTGGGATCCTGTCACCAAGCGAGAAGTGGTTTCAAGGGATGTTGTCTTCTATGAAGACATGTCCCTTGCAGGTTGGCATAAGTTTTCCTCTTTCTCCTCTCTACCTTCTATCCAACAGGAACCAGCAAGCGCACCTGAGGAAACAACACAAGAGGAGGAAGAAGATGACACCGATTCTGACCATAGCGGACCGATCATCGATCTCCCTCAAGCCGTCGTCAACGAGTCCAACCGTGCCACGCCAGTGCCACCAGCAGCTACTCAACCAAGTGGAGATGAAGTTCAGCCATCAAATGAAGACAATCCACCGCAGCAAGTCACCGTTCCATCACCACCAAAGGAGCAGCAGCCAACAGTCACAAACCAGCCAGCTATATCAACACCAACCTCACAATTTCAACGCCAACCGGATCAGCCCACCACTACGCCATCAAACCCATCACCAGCCATCACTCCAGAGGCAACTACAGAAGCTCATCATCATCCCATGCAGCAGCAATCAACAGCTACAAGACCCCAAGTACCTACATCAACACCATCTACGACTCTTCCTAGCAACAAGTCAACCGTCACCGCAACACCTCGTTCTCATACCACACGTTCATCACTTGTTCCAACGTCAAGCCAGCTCATAGCACGAGGATCACTTCAGCGAGTCACCACCAACACCAGCTCCAACAGTCCACTTCTTCACCCAAGACCTTTCTCAACTTCACCCCCACGTCCCGGATTCGGTCGTCATCAGTTACCACCATCTTCAACACCGAGCAACAACACCAACCAGCCCCAACCATCACCACCTCTCGACAAGGCAGCGTCATCATCAATTCCCAAGCTTCTAGTCTCAAGATCCCCACCAAGAGCATCTTCACAACCAACTATGCCGACAAACGTTTCAGCTTCACCGCCACGAGTCACCATACCTAATCCTCAAGTCAACACCGATAATCAAGATATTTCCACGCCAGGAGAAGAACAAGCAGCCGTGCCGCCGTCGCAGCCGATGTCGCAGCCGTTGTCTCAGCCGCAAATGACCGCATCAACGCAATCAAACACTGTGAGACCGAACCCTACCACTAATGTGTCTCAGCCAACTGAGGAGTTTGGTAAAGGTAAACGAGTCCGCAAGGTAAAAAAGCCCTTCAATTTCATGGTTGACATGTCATCAAGGTGCACATGTGAGGAGAGTGAGAATTGCATTCACAAGAAGGTAGAGGCAATATGCATGGCAGCATCACACCTTCCGCGAGAGCCCTTGAGTCGTCGTGAGGCAATGGCAAGTCCCGAAAGAGAGCATTGGTTGAAAGCTGAGGAAGAGGAGATTGAGAGTCTCATGAA